AAAACTGCATATATAATGAGTCAGATCCGAAAGAAATAATAAATTTCTTGCATAATCACAAAAATTATTATTTAAATTATAAGTTTTTCATATCATATGTTTTTATATATCATATATGTTCTTACATCATACACGTTTTTATGAAATTATATATCGATATTAATATGTCTCTTTTTTTTACACATATTCATTGTCATATCAATATTATTTTATGATATATAACAATATATATTTCATATATGTCAAAACAAGGCATTTTAACATATAATTTGCGCAAAAATGATAAATTCATACATAAAGATGATTTACATTTATTAAAAAATTCTTCCTGAAATATCTCTACTGGATCTCATCATTTTAATACTTAATTGAGACAATGCTAAGTGATCAATCAACATAAATGGATGAGTTATAAATAAGTTAGGACGAAATTGATTATAATTAGTCATTATACAATATAATATTATACATTATAATAAGTTATCATACAATCAGTTATACAATAATCATAAAGACATAAAATTAATTATCCTTCTCAGCGCATTCCTCATAAAACAAATTAAATGAAATTTAATTCAATTGTACTATAAAATGCTTCTCCTGCTTTTAGAATGAAATATTCAGCCTAATCTATTTTAACCCATCCATTTTGAGGCAACAGATTTATCTATAATCTACGATCTACATCTAATATCTACGAATCTCTGTCACCTCGATATAAAGTAAAAGTTTCTCACTCACCGACCGATGCGCAAAAGCAGAGTGATGGCAGTGATACTACTCTACCTGTACACAAATAGAAAATTAAAATTATAGTAGTCCAAAATAATAAATAATAAATATTTTAAAATATTATTATGCACGCGAAATAATAAGCAGTTCTTTAACGAAATAATTTTATAAATTTTCAAAGATATGGCTAATAAAATTTAATTTAACCTGAAATATAATCTAACCTCCTTCATTTGCATAAAATATTTATAATTACATAAAATATATTTTTCTTCGATTCTTTTAAATCATCTAAATAAACAAAACCAAATTACGCGATTTATACACACACAACTGAATATAATAAATATATATTAAATTACTCACCTCAGGATTGCTTTGTCGGCGCCCGATGCCTCTCCTTCTCTTGCTCCTCTCGAGTTGTCAGGATCCTCAGAATTCGTTGATTCACACGCGCGATATTTTGAACGGCACTCCCGAATTTCACGAACGCAAAATAATATGCCATTTCGCGCTATGAGTCACTTGCGACTCATAACAATTACCGTGTTTTGAGTTTACTTAACTTTTCCTCTTTAGATTAAATCTCCTAGGTATTGAATCCTCCCGCCAACGGCGCCAAGTACCCATGTACCCATTGGAGAGATTAGGTTAGGTTATATTTATAATTTTGAGGATGTAATAAAATATACAATTTGTAATTTATTTTATAATTAAGAGATTATACCTATATCGCACTTTTTTCCTCGACGAAAAGACACGCGACATAAATATATTTCAAAAGAAACCGAGTATTAAACAAAAAAAATTCGCTTCTTATCGAATACTACAAGACATTTTTTTAACTATAAAAAATAAATTACGAAATATATCACAGATTGTATAAATAATTACATAACATAAATGTCTTGAAATGTTTAATGCATGAAGAATTAATTATCAATCGACCGATAATTATCTGTGATGCGATATTCAAAGTACAAGAAATGTATATAGGAATCGTTAAGTAAATAGTTATCACTTGCAAGTGTATCGGTGATTTGTAATTCTTATTTTTTACCTCGTTTTATATTTCGAATGACTGACATATTTGTTTCGATAAATAACTGCCATCTTGAGACAAATGCAAATTTTCAATCGTAATTCGTAATCGTACGGCTAATAATCGTTAATTCGTGAAGAATGATCCGGTTTCAAGAAGCGACATACACGAAACTATGCGTGCCACTACTGCCAGCAATCGCCGCGCGAATGATAAACACGGCAACCTTACATACGCAGCTGCGTATAAACAAACGGTAAGGTCACGGCATGCCAGCAGAGATTTCTTTTTGTCGCTTCAAAATATTATTTTACGCCAAATCCCTTTAACGCTTTATGAAAAATGTTTATAATTTTACGTCGAATATTTTGCTATTTATTCTGGCAACCCTGATTGATTAATAATAAACGAACTAGAACATATCGACTTTTCGTTATCTAAATCACATATGTTTATAATATATATTAGAATAAAAAAAGATTAATAAAATATTAATAAAATATATAATCAATCCTACTTGAAACATATGTATTCTGGAGTCAATTATAATTATATGGATTTACAAAAATTTTACCGGTAGTGTCGAAAATTGGTTTTCGTCTACATAATTCCACGTAACCTCTAAAATGAGTGTAGATAGCGGTACTAAACAAGACTAAAACCTCTGAAGTATGTAACGAAAAAATCGATGGGTTTGAAGATAATTGTAGAACGACGATATTATCGACTGTTTGTTTGCACCAAAGATAACTGAACGAATGTTGTAATTAACTCATCTAATCACTGTTTTATCGTCAAAAATATTTTTTACATAAAATCTTGACATTCACAAATATTTAAAACTAAATATCTATCACATTTGAACACAAGCTATTCTAAATTAATCTACTCGTTATATACTTCTACAAAAATGAAGTGTATAAATAAAAAATTTTTCATTAAAAACATTTATAAGGTTTTACAATAAACTGTAATATTATTTACATATACTTTATAAAAGAAATAATCCCTGTAAAAAAATTCTTATAAATCGAAAGATTAAAAAATTAATTAATCAATAGATTTATAAACTCTTTGTATAGGGTAATAATTATAATTGCGAATAATACATTCAACCGCAATTTGCTCTCCAAACTTCTTCTTTCTTGATGTTTCATTAAAATTAATTATAATTATTTATGCTTATAAAAATAATTTAAAATTAAAGTTATGAAAAATTGACAATCCGCATAGATCCTTCGGAAATAATAATCGAATCTTACAAGATATTTCCACAAGGCATCAGGAAATGAAACGACAGTGTATATTGCGAGTTTATTAATTATTAATATTATTATACTTAATATTTATAACATATATATGTATGTGTGTGTACATATATGTATATATACACGCATGTCCGACACGCACACCTTCACATACACGCATAAAAAGACCACCAGACTCACACCACGCACGCAATCGCAACGAAATTTGTCGGGACATGCGAGTATATACACAAGACACCCTGTACGTTACGATACAACCGCAATATGTTTAAATAAGATACATGCAAAGAATTGTATATTAGCTCAAACAAGATAAGCCGTACTATCGATAGAGGTTGATTCGTCATACATAGGCATCTTTATATCAGTTTCCTCTTTCTTTTTCTCATTCTTCTTGCTAGATTCTCTTTTTTTGTACCATTCCGGCACACCGCTCGGTTGTACCGTCTTTCACAGAATATCCTGCAGAACGAATATGCATATATGTATACGCGCGACTGTATGTATAATGTGTGTATATGTACGCAGCCGAATCGGCCCTCTTTCGAGAAGGCCGCTTCGACTCTTCATAATTTATATGAAAAGCGTGATAACACATGTATACTGCATTGTGTACGGAACATCTATTTTGTCTGCCATACGAATTCTATGAGATGTCTAACATTTCTTCGCGAGTAAAGTCGAGTTAAATTCGGCATAGAAGAAACGAGCAACGAGGTGAGACACCTTGTCGATCGATTTCTTTCTTTCGCTCTCGCTCTATGGAATCTCATCCAATTCGCAGTATTGTTACATAAGACAACTCCGTCGCACGTTTCTCTTTCAGTGTGTGTATATGTGTGTACTTATGTTTCTGGTAGTGTACTGTTACACACCACCGTATTCTATGCGATTTATTTTTCTAAAGCTTACGATAACTCAGTTTCATCGAAACGTCTTCAACTAGCACTGATATCGACGGGTTAATCGCAACGTCTAAAAGCAAGGGGTGAAGGGAGGTTGGCGTTGTGTGAATTTCTCATTCTTCGTAAAGAAGGCCAACCAGTCCCGCCAGTTATGCATATACCTGCGCAATAACATAGAGGCTTAGAACAATTTTCGAATTTTATAAAAATTGCAAATCCACGATATATTTTCACGATTTTTCTTACGTCTAGAAACTTTGCAGATTCCGTCATTTAGATCTCATTGAATTTTCAAAGATTCTGGATAAAGATAAAACGTTTAAAATAGAAAGTGATATTTTTCCTATACCACACACAGAAGGCGCAAACGGAAGAGAGAGTTTTCACATACGTATTACGAGTAGTTTTTAAATTAAAAACAATTCACGAATTCGATTCAACAGTCTGTAATCAATACAGAATGTTAGAATACAAATAAGCGCAAATGCTGTACGAACTACAATGCATAGCTTTAAAAAAAAATCGAGAATTTGATAGAATTTACAATACATAAATAAAACGTATGTTGTTAAAATTTGTAAACATATTGAAAAGTGATAGAATTTATATTATATTTAAGAGAATCTCAAAACAATAAATATAAATTTCGTCACATAATATTAGCAAAAATTATTATAAATATTAATTAAACTTTATATATATTTATATATATTATATATCGCAAAAGGAACTGACTTCTATACGTATTTGGCTTGTCAGCATCTGAAATATATAATACAAAATAGAATAAATTTTGATAGAGACATAACATGCGAATCTAGCAACAAAATTAAAATTTAAAAAGTTTATACATTTTTACACAAGCTCACGATTCTTGCTTAATTAAAATAATATATCTAATATCGAGGATTTTTTTCTGACAAAGAAAATACTAATTATATATTATTTAAAAATAAAAGATAATGCTTTCACAATTTCTTTCTCTTCTGCTTAGTTTTACGGACATTTTAATAAAGAAGAAAATAATCAGAAATAACATATATGTGAATAGATTTTGAAAATTCTTTCTCTCTCTCTCTCTTTCTCTTCGGAATCAGCGATAAAAGTATATATTTTCTCGCCTATACTAAAAAATTTCACATTACTCTGATAAAATACGATATTAATGCAGTACAACCAGAACTATAGGTACCAACGATGCTTATTTTTTTTTTTTCAAACGATTTAAAATAGGCTGCCAATCTCCGTACGCTAAAAAAGATCGGCGAGCAGTGTAATCGCATTAGGCTCTGGAGAAAAAAAATGAATTATATATACAGTTTCTATACGGTTCCCCGGCGACTTGTTCATTAGACCAGCCGAGCTAATGTCAAAATCGATTATACCCTGCCTACTCGTTGCTATCATGGGGAACACAAGAGGCGTCAGCCAAGTCACCCTGTCGCGATTTGTGCGATACACGTAAAATATGCGTGAAAAGATAACCGCATCTTAACTCTGCTTCAATTTTGCAAAATCGATCTCGGCATAGGTAAAGTTGTCTTGCGTGGACACTGGCGATATAGGTGACGGATTACCAATCTCCGGTAGATCTAGATGAGCGTAATGCAGAATCGTCGCGCCTGGTTGAAGCTTCTCGTACCCCTCGCTGTCTAATGGACTCGGCGTAGGCGTGGGCGTAGATGTGGGCGTAGGCGTAGGAGTCTCATCGATGAACTTGGGCGAAGATGGTTTCGGCTGTTGCACAGTCGACGGCTTGAAACCCGTCAGAGTGGGGCTAGTGTTCGGCGAGGCCGTGACGAGACGCGGTTTCGACACCGTCAGATCCGAGAGCTTTTTCGTTATGATGTTACTGAGCATACTATATTCCGACATAGGTTTTGTTGCAACCCGTACAGCATTTTTTCCTACCGAACTAGGCGATTTCTCATTATTCGCACTTGACTTCGATGTCTCCGTCAATGGGGTAGAGTTCAACGCGGAAAGCGACATCGAAGAATTTATCATTTTTGCGGGTTCCAACACCGCATAGTCATTGTTCTTATTTTGTTTAGAAACGTTCGCCATGGAGAATTCGTCGCTCTTTTTTATAAAAGGCTTCACGGGTGATTGAGGACTGTTCAGAGAAAAGGGAAAAATCGTAGCCGATGAACCTGTCGGCGTTGCTCGCGGCGGTGAAGCTGGTGTGCTTGCCAGACTCTCGGACATTGGGCTTCCGTTCAAGGGTAAAAAGCTAGGGGTTTTTGATGGCTTACTACCCGCCTGAATTGCGATTGGTTGTGATCGCGATTTCTCTTTACGATTGCTAGTCCGTGATTTACGATTATTCCGATTGTTTGCACCCATGTTCATATTCATGTAGTCCTGGTCTAGAGTCGGTCGAGTTTTAAACGACATTTCAACGTATCCCTCCGGAGGACGCCTCGGTTGCGGAAGATCTACCGGTGCTGTTCTTGTGCTACCTAAACATTCATCATAATTTTTACAATTATTTTCTTTTTTTTTTATTCTGATACGATAAACAACAATGCTTTTGTTAATGGAGAAATCTAATTTATAGCGCGGACTTACCCGGTGGTCCATTTGTATGATAAGTATCCTCTTGTATAGGCGATGACACTTGCTTCGGACTTGCGTTCGGATGCGTCCAATCTTCCGTCGTACCGTCCATTTTCATATAAGGTCCCTCCGCTTCCTCCACTGGCTTTAAAGTCGTAATTATAGGTTTATGAGCAAAAGCTAACGATGATATATGCATGTGGCTATGATTGTGGTTGGCAGTGATTGTATTATTATTGTTATTGCGATTGATCTGTAAGAAAAAGATATCTGTGTCATTTTAATACAACTATATAATTTTATCGGCAAAACGAAAATATCGATTATATATCGACTATACCTTATTGCCACTCATATCGACGTACGGGGCAGTGGTCGATACAGGAGCTTGTCCGGGCGACATGTCGACATAGGAACTAGTGTCAGTGGCAGTAGAGTACGATTGCGGCTGCGACTGAGGCTGAGAACAAGATGACGGCGGCGAGGAGACAGTGGTTGGAGCACTGGATTTCGTGAAATCCAATTCCATGAGATCCTCCATTCGATCGGACGTTCCGGAACAGCCTGAATTGTGTCCCCAAGAGCTTGATAACAATGGCGCGGAACTCGACTTAGAGTTTGAATTATCCGAACCAGCTGGTAATGGCGCGTTCATTATACTGGCCAGTCTTCCAATCTCAGGTCTCTTGGAACGACTGCCTACAGAAAATGCTCGCACTCTATTGGAGTCTTGCGGAGTGATATCCAATCTGTATATATAAAATAACGTAACGCGTTATATTTCGCCTTGATACTTCTGGCAAACCTAAATAATATTTGAAGCTTGTTTTTTAAATTTGAGTTTGTTAAAAAGATCTATTTTTTAATAAATACTCTCGATATATTTTCTCCAACCATTATGTATTTCGATATATATAATAAAAATAAAAATGTATATATATTCTCAGAAATTATGTATGAATTTTCCAAAATTTTCTTGATATCTCATCCAATGCGCCAATAATGTATATTATGCACAGATGAAATACCTTAAATCAATATACTTGATTATATAAATCTTAAATGTGTAAAGCTCGTACGTATACCTATTTTTACGATGCCTATTCGCCTGTTCCGGTCTAGACCCGACAGAATAAGCTCTAGTCGGTCTGGCTTGCAGATCTTCCCCAGGTGGTAGAAAGCTGGTCACCTTGTCCAAGTGATATTCGGAAAATCGCAGATCTGTGCTAGGCGTACCAGATGTAACGGAACAGCTACTGCCATCGTTTTGCGACATATCATCTGGGAAGTGACCGTTATGACTATTTACAGGATCCATGTCTACGTAACCATCGTCGCCGACTGGCGCCATCGGCACGTAACCTTCCACATTGCTTTCTTCCACGAGAGATGATCCACGGGAATGCGAATGGATCGTCGTCGCTGGACTCATGGGCATATACGCACCTCCACGGCCGGGACTCGAACCACAAGGACTGTACATTTCACTCTGATAGGAACTCTATGAATAAGATGACAAGTTAGAATACAAAGATAAAAACTATTTCAGTGAAATATCGTTCTTTTATTTGCAACTGATACGAGCCGAGCATAAGTAAAAATAGTATTCGTGCATCGCTCATAATTATTTCATCATCATAAGAGAAAATTAAACTTTATTACATAGTAGCAATTGTGTAAAATAAAAAAAAAATAGCTTACTTGATTGACAAGCGGCACAAATATGCTCTCACCTGAGAGGGCGAATGAGATTTAAAATTTGGCGAGTATTTCAAATGCGAGTGCGACGTCGACCAGTAGATGTAGTCGTCGCCCTTCTTGTCCAGGATCACGGGCTCGTCGGGTGTCAACGAATGCCCGTATCGCGAGACAGTGCTTTCCTCCATAATATTCTCACCGCACTCATCCATCGAGGGCGACGATCCGGCTGAGTCCGACGAGCACATGTCGGAACCAGGGCTGATGGGCAACGAGGCGATCGGCGGGGAGTACGATGTACGTCCGCACATGGAATGCGGTCGTGGCACATGAGGAATGGCGTGAGTCCCTCGAAGATTCAATGCCGTAACCGTGGCAATTGGCTGTCCCTCGTTGTTGGTACAAGCTCTCGATGGCAAACTGTCGCATCGATGGCGCACAGTCGCACCTGTAAAAGTATCTGTCAGTATCTCCCAATGATAATTTGCTCACGCGCGCGTATAATGGAAAAAAAAAGAAGAAGCCAAGTTCCATCATAGTCCCACAGCATAGCAATGGTGGTTAGTTTTTCACATTTTCGTATGTATAAATTATTACATGTACATATACATATCGAAAAATTGTTTGCTGTTAAATATAATATGTATTCTCTCGAGAATGAAGCAATCGATCTTGTTAATCGATCCTGCATTTGTAGAACTGTTATATGTGAAAATAAATAAGTGAAGCACACCAGAAGAAATTGTAGTAATCAGTTTCCATAAGGATTGTTATCCAAGTCCATCAACAATGTTGCGCATCCACACAAAATGTATCCATTCTTTTTAAAATTCCGATAAGGTGAACAAACAGAAAATATTAAAAATCTAAGCTTCGTAAATATATCGTGCATTTAATAGCATGCTAGTACAGCAAAACCGTCCATTGGTAAATACTGCAAGTTTATATTAAATAAATTTAACATCGATCGATCGGATTTTATATACGTTGAAAATATTGCGGGAAAATATCGAAAAAACGGAAAGAGCATAACAAGCATATTGTAGAAACATCGAGGAATTCAAACAGATTCGGCTCGATTATAAACAAATATGACGGAACGAAATACATACACCGTAAAACGGATCTTTTAGATGGTTGCGTTTGATTGATAATAACAGCAGCTAAGGGCAGCGACAGGGTTCTCTGATGGGATATTGTCGCGGTTGTGGTCATCGCGGTGATGGTGGTGGTAGTGGTGATGGTAGTGGTGGTTGCGGTGATGGTGGTGGTAGTGACAGTGGTCGCGTTTGTTGTTGCTGCTGTTGTGACATGAGCGGATTGGGAATTATTGACGGAATGAGGATGACTCGCTACCGAATGACGACGTCTAGCGGTACCGCCACTGTTGGCATTAGTCGTCGCGTGCCCAGTAGTCCAAGCCCCGGTACCAGCAACGGCTGCAAACCACACACCTCTCACTATCGCAACTGTCTATTTTGTCTTATGCGCATCTCGTGCCACATCTTTCGACAGATATGGCACGGATATGTTAATCGTGCTGTTAAACGCATGAATCTTTTGTGTTTCACGCGATGACACATTCTACTTCGCCCTTTCAGATACGCGATACACGCTTTAATACGCTTGAATTGAAATAATAAAACATCGAAAAAATGATAATAAAGCGTATAAAGTTTTCTATCTTTTCTTTTCTTGTCATTATTTTGCAACAAGTTGTTATATAAATACATATATTATTTATATGATATCTGACACACCAAATAATTTACAAATTCAGATAAATTATTGACTGTATTAGTCATGCTATTTACACCATGAAGCTGACACTCAGAAAACGATAGCATAATCACCATGTATATTGGCCCAGACTTATTCTTTTAATACAATTAATCATTGCATTCATAAAAAATTTATATAAAAATCTACTTACATGATAAACTCATGATAAAAATTTATTCTCTTTAAATATATTTAATATTAATTGCAGAAAAGACTTGTAACGTTATTAAAAAAATAGCTTTCATTTGATATTAATTTTTTTTCATGAAATACAAAATAAAATAAAATAAAAATACACGCTATATGATGTCTTGCGTTTACTATTTTATCAACAACTGTATGTCACAATTGTGCTCTCACAACGATTAATTATATGTATGTATATACAACTGTATATATAGATGCAAAAGCTAATGTCTCATTATTAGAATTGTATGAAGTGAAAAATGCAATGACCAAGTCTTTCATTCTATACTCCATGAAATGAAATAAATAGTTGAAGAAAAATAAACGACATGTTCACACACACTGCTCTTGTATATCCTCTTTGCCATTTAAAAATCCATAGAACGCGAAAGGAGGAAAGCGGATAGCTACTATGACAGAGAACAGACCCGTGACTGTATTGGTGGAGAAGGTATTCCGAGATTGATTACACTGTGTAGGAGCATAAGAAGTAGCGATCTGCTCTTGCAATGGTTCCACTTGCTCCTTGTGTGTCCTCTGTTCCTCTGTAAACCCCGTAAACCCATTTGTGTTACTCTAAAGCCGAGCTCTTTGTGCACACACGACGAGATTCACCTGATTCTTTATACAATTTAACATATGCATGTACAATTATGATAATAAAAATGTGTTAAAGAACAGTGTATCAAATCAACATTTCAAGTTTGGATAAAAGAGATTTGCATAAAAAGAATTTATAAATACAAATTTGAATAACTTGTTCATTTAAACAAAAACCAGTATCTCTTTGATAAAGTCTGACTTATAGATGAACATGTAATGATTGGTGTGTTTCACATACATAAAAGTCACATTACAATAAATAGAAATAAATAGTAATACGAGAAACATTTTGTAATGACCGATATCCCACATCTTAATGTAAATCACATTGGTAACGATATATACAAGAAAAATGGGTTGACAAAAATCACAGCTTACCCAGAGGCGAATAGCCATAACCAAGTTTCTGACCCGTCTGCCGTTGTTGGAGAACGGATATAGGTTTACTGGCTTCATTGGCAGAGGAACTTCTTTGACGAGGTTCCATCTCGTTATCCTTATCCTTATTATCCTTGTCTTTGTTATCTTTATCCTTGTTATTATCCTTGCCCTTATTATCCTTATTCTTGTTGTTTTCTAATAATCTTAACTTCCAAGATCTTGTCTTGGAAGTCTTCATCGCAGTCGTTATTACACTGTTCATATTCAATGCGATATTGTTATCTTCGACTGCCATCCAGAATTCACCGTCCCCGGTAACAGCGGATCGACCAACTTCTATATAGAAGATATCATCCGCGAAACCACATCGTCTAATGTAATTTAGCTGCAAAAATAAAGAAATTTTTAATTTTTAATTCAGAAGTTTCGTTAGTTTTAACATCAAGTTTCAATTTACAAGAACAAAAATATTAACAAGTACTTTTGATAATAATACAGCTCATAATTAGTAAGATTTCATCAAATTTTATGTACGATCTACTTGTTATAAATTCATATAAAAACAAGTAAAAATATGAAATTATGATAGTCATACATACAAGCGTACTAGTTTAGAATAATTGTAACATATTTCCCTGTAATCACTTTTTTATTAACTTACTGAAATCTCGACAGAGTCAGAGTCCTCTTGTGCCCCAACCTTCACTAAACTTAAAGTTTGATCGGTGAGACATAATCTGTAGGGTCCGTGAATATTCTTCCGTGCTCCTAGACCCTTCTTTTGCATTGTAACTTGCCATATGTGTTCTGCAAATATAATAAAGAAATGCAACTAATCTTGTTCTAGTCTCACATTATGGAAATAACATGTATAATATCTTAACTATTTTATTTTAATAAATAAATATGTATGTTGTAATACGTATATAAAAATTTAAATTTATCTCTCTTCTTAATTTCACTTATTACAAATTATCATCATATAAGAGACTTTGGGACAACCGAGTCAAATTCACAGAAATAAATTACTAATATTTGCGAAAGAGAGTTTTTATTATTTTATGCTATTGCAATTCTTATTCGCGACCTTTTTTATTCTATTGTTAATGATTTTGCCGTACAAAATGCATCCTGAAATAATATAATATTTTAATCTTACAATATCATAAATATCTGTGCGATGCAAATCAACTTTCAATATTATGTATATATAAATTCATTACTGTTTTGATTATTAATGTAATTTTTTTGTCGTACAAATTGAAATTATTTTATATAGATATTTTATTTCTAAAATATTATTTATTAAATACATTTAAATTATGAGTATGTATGTAATAAATAATATTGCAAATATTTCTATGAAATAATTTTAGTTTATTATAATTTTAATTTATATTTGTAAACAAGAAAGTTATATTAATAATCAAAATAATAAATAATAGGTCAAAATAATAATAAATTTCTAAAATTAAAGGTGCATAATAGTAATAGTGCAATATAAAACAAATGCATTTTACGTTGTATTTTATCATTGTTGTCCTCCTCTTTGTCTTTATTAAGAACGCAACAATTGCCAATTTTATTTTGGTTCTAAGGTTGGAAAAATTTGTTGAAAATGTGAAAGTCACAAACGGAGAAAGCAATGATGCGCTTCTTTATCGTACTCCGTACGTGTTTTCATGCCAATTTACATTTCTCACGAAGGCTTACACAATATTGTCTACAGCGCCAACACGTGTATTCTAAACAAAACGTGCGAATTGTCCTCAAAGACGCTAATTGAAAGAGAAACTCGTATTCTCGGGCATGTCGATCGAAAAGATGGTAAAAGATAAAATTCGAAAAAAGAGAGAAAAGCGAATTCCAAAGTCGTCGATTCACTCTGTTGAACGTAAACAAACAAACGCGCACGTGTGCGACTTGACGTGTGCGATTCTGTCGCTACAGGTCTCTGCACCGGTCGATATAGGTAAGTGCGCAATATAATCTCTATCTCGTCATCGCTAAAAATTGATTACCCGTCCTCGGGAAAAGAACACGACGGATTCGTATTCTTCCTTCCCCAGGCATGACGCATTTACACGTAAGAAATCCGTATATATCATGTATATATATTAATATCGTGCGCATATTTAAACGCGCCAACAAAGTATCCTCCGGATAGAGAAAATTCCCGGAAAAGGCGCGCGCATATTTGGACCGATAAGCGTCGAACGCGTGACGCGCGTGACGTTTCGTTGACAGTTAACGTGCACGCGGGTCCCGCGTGCGTTTTCCGCTCGGGCGGGAATTCGAGAAGGGACGATGATTCCGGGGAAAAAGGCGCGAGACGCTCACCGAATGTAGGCCGCGGTTGTTCCCCATCGGGCACGTCCCCGCTCTGCAGCCTCAGCATCGCCTCGAGCCACTCGTCCAGCTCCTTCTCGGTGTCGAGGATGAGGCAGAAGCACTCGTCCTTGGTGTACAGGGCGATCACGTGCTTGTGCTTGGTGTCGCCGCGCTTGTTGATGTTGAAGCAGCTGTGCAGGAGGATACTGCGCTTCGGCGACTGCCTGTTGTCAAACTTCTTCTTGGTGTCGTAGTACTCGAGGCAGGCGAGGTAGCCGGGCGCCTCGCCCCGCAGGACAAAGTACTTCTTCTTCATCGTCTTGAGCTTCTTCAGGTGGCCGCAGAGGATCACGGGCCCGCCCGAGAGCGACGCCGAGCCCTTGGCCGTGGACATGGTCGATCGTCGTCGGTTACGAAGGGAACTTTCACGAGTGCGACGCGGGGCCCCTCGTATCCGTATCATTCACATGGCATCGTTCGTTCTCGCGCGAGCTTCCCGCTGCCACGTCCTTTCTCCTCGTGCATACGATCTTAAGGAGAAACCGCACGGGGATTCATGTCGACGAGGAGGAAAATTCGCGCCAAACGTCTCTCTCTCTCTCTCTCTACCTTTCGAGCAACGTCGCAACGCGATCACAACGCGATCCGCGCACTTTCGCGAGCATAACAATAACAACAAAAGCGGCTGTCAAAGTGTCAACGCGCCGAGTCACTGATGTTTCTCTCTTCCTCTCTCTTCGACGGGAGAGACGCTCCTGCTCTCGGCCTTGGCGCCGTCGCGCTTACGTTAGCGCACGAGCACGTTTCGGGAGGTAAATAAGCGACGATGCGCACAAGCAACAGCACCACCGTCGGTGCATGTGCACTCGACGACGCTCGCTCCCAAGGGCGTGCTTCGGCGTGCGTCGTTTCGCGCTCCGCTGCCTCTCCTCTCCTCTCTTCCTTCTTCTTCCCTACGGCCGCGCGCGGACGTCCACCTCGCGTCCCGTAGGTAGGTTAGGGGGAACGACAACAATAATAACGGCTGCCACGCGAGAACAACGCGACACACGCTCGATCTTTCCCGCTTTTCTCGTCGATGTCGGAAAAGCAAGTAGGGGAAATCCTGCGATCAGCGTCGAACGCGCCCGACGACTCCGAGATGTCGCGACGGCACTCTCTCACTCTCGCTTCGCACTCCCTCCTTTGGTCCGTGTTACTATCTATCTCTCTCTCTCTCTCTCTCTGTCTCTTTCTATGTCTCGGCACGCCTCGGAATCCACCTGTCACGCGCGGTTTCGTCTAATTTCGCCTGCCGCGGCGCTCCGAGAGAGCCGTCCGCGCACCATCGTCCGAGGCTCCGCGACGGGACGTGTGGCCCCCGTTTAGCGAACGATTCGCGATTCACCCGCCTCTCCCTCCGTCGCTCCCCTCGAGGTCGGGAACGACCGGAATCGTCGCCACGAGGCGCGGCCGCGAGCGAGCAAGCGAGCGGGCGAGCCGCCCTTTCTTCCCGCACCTGTTTATCACGCCGAATAACGCGATTTACTGCGTGGTCCACGACGGTGACGTGTATACACAAGAGTATGCGCGCGCGCGCTTGCACACAGATACACGCACCACACGCGCGCCCGTACGCGCGCGTGCGCGCGGACGGAGCGACGATGTATGGATGGATGGATGGATGGATGGATGGATGGATGGATGGATGGATGGATGGATGGATGGTTAGGCGGATGGATGGATAGCTAGCTGGATGGATGGATGGATGGATGGATGGTCAGCGAACTAGACAGACGGCCGAGGAGCGCGAGCGTGCACGGCTCGCGACACGGGACGGGGCCGGAAGGGATAAAAGGGGAACCGCGGGGAGGGGATTCACGGCAAGGCGTGTTCTCTCTGGTCGCGAGCGCGCGCGCGTCCCGTCGCGACGTTCCGACGAGGACGCGGTTGCACGACGCGGCGGGGAAGAGTCCGCTCGACGGCCTGGCCGAAATTCGCCCCTAATTCGGTCCGCGCCTTCTCCTCTCGGTAAATAGGCTACTGCCAAGGACAGCGCGGCTTCTCCGTCTCTCTCCTTCTTCTTTGCGCTCGTGCGTCTCCTCTTTTTTTCATGCGCAATAGCGGCGGGAGCCCGACGTCAAAACAACCGTGGCGGCGACATTCCAGGTCGATGCGGGGGAAACGCGGCGGCGACTCCCTTCCCTCTCCCACTCCCCGCTGCGTCGTTGCTGCGACTGGCTGTTCCCGCAGCTGCCGCTTCCGCTTCTGCCTTCCGTCGAGGAAGGGAAACGCACTCGAACGCACCGCGCTGCCCTCCTTATCGTCGAGCTGCCGGGCTCTCGGTCGTCGTCTGGCTCCTGGCGGGGAAACGCGCGGGCCACATCCGGGCGGGCGTCGAGCGTGGAAACGAAGCGGGCCTTCTTCCTTCCTTTCCTCCTTCCTCGGCCCCGCGATGTCCCGCGGCCGCGAACGACTTGTCGTTGCCGTACTTACCAGGAATCTATCGCGTGCCGCGCGTACGTCATCTCGTTTTCCTCCAGCGCGAGCGTCGTCGACGTCAACGTCGTCGTCGCGACGCAATTCGGCACTCGCGTGAATTTCGCGTCCCCACGCGCCGAGAACGTGGCGGACGGTATTCCAGCAAAAAGGTGATGTCTCGCCACGATACAGGACACTCGCGCGACACTTTTCTCCCTGTCTCTTTCTCCCGCTATCTTTCTCGCTCGCTCGCTTTTGCTAGCCGCGCGCGGGTTCACGCCTAGCCAGCCGAACGGACGATCGTGTCTATTTTGTAAAGGTCATGTGTACGGCGAGCTCCGCAGTTGTAAACAACATGTACGCAGGCGCGGAGCGTGCGCGCGCGCGCGCGCCCTCGAATGGCGGCGGCCGATGTAATTCGCGATGTACGCGCTCGATTGTAAATACGCTGCGCGCGTGTGTGTTTACGCGCGCGACGCAGGAGAGCGGCGGCGCTTGCAACGGCGTAACCATCGTGTCAACGGACGCCGCAATGCGGAAGGATCTCCGGACGCGAATACGTAAACCTTTCCTCCCCTCCTCCTCCTCCTCCTCCTGTCGCGCGCGCTATCCGGTATTTATCGTCGTCTTTACGTAATTTTAAGCGCGGGGAGGTTATGACACGCTCGTGAGCGCGTCTCGAATAAGGCTCGAGCTCGGGACGGAGGGAGAGAGAGGGAGGGAGAACGCGATCCACGCGACGAAATCCGAATCCGAATAACGTCCTCGTGTGACAAATGACTCTCATTTGTCCATGGACGGCGCGGACCGAAATAAGAGCTTCGACTCGAGAATGCGCGATGTTTACCAACGCTATTCCAGTCTGTTTAGTCCCGCGGGGGGAAAGGGGGAGGGGTGATGTGTGCGCCGACGAGTCGGGTGCTCGGTTCTTTTAGGGTTAGGGTGAACGCCGCGAAGGACGCGGTCAAAGTACGCTCGTGATGCTACAAATAAGCGCGATCCGATCTTTCGCGGAGTCTACTTGTTTTATAAGGGCGCTCGGTGTCTTTGTCGATTGAATTACGTAGATGAACTATTGGGATATTTACAAGAAAAGTATATTTTTACAGCTTGTCGAATTTTATCTTACATGTATATATGACATACATGTATGTGTATATGTATATAAAATATAATTTCCTTAGTACTTATCCATACATGAAAATGCTTTCCATAAAAATTTTATATAACTATGATGAAATAAAAACACTGTCATTGACATTGTTTGCGGAGATTCTTCGTTTCTATCTCTCTAAAAAAAAAATTGTATCAAATTCTGACAGACTTTTGGCTAATACTTAATTGTGTGAATGATTGATAAATAAATGTATGAAATAATTTTTCAATATTCGTTGTTATAAATTTCAACCAGCAAAATATATAGAAAGTTTCACAATTTAAGACAAACTTGAAATTCTTAAAGCATATGGAACAAAAATTCTTTCTCCAATGAAATAAATATATTTGATACATTTTCTTTATGTAATATTTTCATGTTAAAATGTATCAGAGTTCTAAAAACTTGTTATAATATATATATAATCATATGATTTTATATATTATAAATATAATATACATGTAAAAAAAATGAGAATATTGAAATATATGAAAAATTACTATGTGAATTTTATATATATGAATGTCTTTTCTTCTTAAGTCTTAGATAAACCTCGTTATAAGTTAATAAAATTAACTATTTTTTCCACATTGTAACAATCGCACATCAAAAAATTCTATTTCACACACTTTCCATTTAGTTTTTAAAATTTTTTCAACAAAATTTAATCCACATGCCATAAATATTCTTGTTGCGCTTGAAAATAATATTTCTCATATTATACGTTTAAGATTAAAGAAATTTGTTTACATAATTTGTTTACATAATTAAAAGCAATAAAAACTTAAAAATGATGATTAAAGAATTAATGCTAAAAATGCTATTTAAATGTATCATTTTGAAGAATAACTTAGTAAATAATGCTAGTGAGGAATAGCAAAAGAATTACATAGAAAATATGGAGATAAAGCAAAATTCCCTTTTTTTAAATGTATAAAATTGTCATGTTAATATTACACAGTTTTCAGTTACAGTTTTCTATAAATATATCGCTAGAAAATGTGTTACATTGTTCTCTCCTTTAAAAAATGCATATATAAAATACACATTCAAAATATCAATAAAAATTTAATACCTCACACGAGAATATAAAAAAAATATAACATTGAAGAGAAACTTTTCTTTCAATCTCACAGAGAGATTATTTTGGCGCCTATTAAAAATAAATATGCATAAATGCATAAAAAATAGATTCTCAAGCGTTTTACATACTGAAAAATTATGTATTTAGTTTTAAAAATAAACTATAGAAATTATATTAAATATACATTTACTTAAGTTACAAGCAATAGTAGAGAAATAGTAACACCCATATTATTAATTTACGAGATCATATCTTACTCTTTCTAATGCTTTCTAAGAATTAAAAAAGAAAAAATTTAAATTAATTAAATTCTCTCACACAGAGGTAGGTTATTGATTATCTTTATTTTAATATTGATTATTATTTAATGATAATTGCAAAGATCTAACAAGACTATAAAATAAGTCGAAACTAAAAAAATCAGATTCTTGTATTAGACGTTTCACTTGATTGCAATGCGCGCGAACTCGTCTAATTTTCGGTTGAATAACGCGAATAATTTCACAATTTCACTGTTGCGCAATTCTTAAATGAAACGTGCTTTATAAAAGTATAAAGCAACAAAAAAACAAATATAAATATAAATCAAATATAAATCTGTTATTATATAAAATATTTTTTGGTATTATGGTCTCTTTGTATGTAAAAAAAAATAAAGAACAAAAGTGAGAAATTTAGAATGTACACTATCTATGTATGTATGTAATAAACTATACATTGTTTGAGAGCAGCAAAATTTGCATTGGTATTCACTCGAGTGCTAAATGCAAAAGTTACTTTCCAGGTTAATACAAATGCAAATGTTATCTTGCTATTATTAATTGTACTCTATAGTCGACTATGTATTAAAAAAAATCTATGTATAGAGACAATTTCATCCCAAGTTCATTATTTGTAATATACTTGGTAATAGTCTTATTATTGTCTCATAACTTTGGTTATTCTTTTGTTGTATTCAATGGTTTGGTGAAATTGTTACGATTCATGATGGATATAAACTTTGGTATAGAGAAACAATCAAATAATTCATATCACATTCTATCATCCTTCTAAATGTTTTCCTACATTTGTACTCGATTTAAGGGGAAATAAAAAGGAAGAAAAATCTAGTGCGAATGAAAAAAATAATCAAATGGAATATAGACGAGGAAGAGTTACAGATAAAACAAGATATCCGACAGGGAACGATGCGGTTCGGCTTGAATATTTTGGCCCACTAGATATACGAGCTTATGCGCGTATTGACAAGGAGCAGGCACACGAATCGTACCAGGCCAATTATAATACAAGTGACAGAGTTTATACGTGAGTCGTTGCATGTGGTCAGTCTCCATATTGGACGAATCATGAAGAACAACGTAATGAGTGGGTGTTACCGTACCCTGTCGTACACTTTGCGGCACGAGATAAAAATCGTAATAATTTCGTCTCGTTATGTAAGAATCAACAATGGTACCCGCCGCGGGATTCTCTAAACCCCGCGCATTGATTTGCTAAAAATAAAGAATGTCAACTTGTATGTCAATTATCAAAATATTAATTGTTAAACTTATCACTAATGCGAAATACATATGTTTCCATCATCGCATAAAGTGAATTATTACGTAATACTCACGTTTCTGATGAACAATCGTGTATTGATACGTTTTTGAACTATTATTACACTAAGTTGCGGTTTATAATTCGGTTCAATGCGGTTAAACGTCATCATTAGTTGCTTCACTTCATATTTTTCGACATAATCTAGATCACCGTCGCCAACTCCATCGCGATATATAATTATACGCTCCGGACTACACCCGTTATGCTGAACAACATTGCACAGTACATTCATCATTTTTAACAAATCATCAATAGAAAGAGTAGTTTTAGTACATTTGAAAGATACAGAAAAATTAACATTAATTACCTTTTGATATGCATTGATAGCTGAAGTAAGGCACACCTGTAGCATATCCACCAATTCTTGCTTAGAAGCCTGCATACAGATTCTACTGTGCCATTTGCTTAATTGAGCATCTAAACTTGCAACAAATCCTGCAACACTTTTCTTTGCACCTCCTCCTACACCAGCATGATAGACATCTATGCCACACACCATACAATTTCTCTGTTCCACAATGACATAAAAAATGTAAAAATAATGTATAATGTATAAATAAAAATAAATGTGATAAAGTACAAGATTTTTCTACGTACCAGTGGCATATTTACAGTCCAAAGTGCACCTCCCAATTTACAATTGATTTGAAGTGCAATTTTTTCTGTGACACTTTTCAATTTCGGAGGCTTGGCAATTGTTTTTGAAATAATAACTTGCGATGGTACAGCTCTTTGCACGCAACATAATCTGAAAATAAATATATCAGACTAGAAAAGCATCTTTTCCACAACTTTACTATCATTTCAGTTATTGCACAAGCAAATGAAAATTACAATATGCAGTGTTTTCTACATGCTACATCTCTCTCTCTCTCTCTCTCTCTCGCTCAATTCTTGTTCAATGATAGAAAATTTTTATATTATATATTTGCATATAAAATGATTAAATAAATAAAAAAGAAAAAGAGAACTTACTTTTTGATAGCAGAATATCGATCAGTGCGATTAGTCGGAAATACAATGACTATTAATTCGACATTATTATTGATGCTCTTTTGAATGTTTTGTAGATAAGTCTCTGTTCTATCATCTCTTATATCTATTTTTCGTGGAGTGTTTATTCGCATTCCAATCGTTTTTACAACATTTATCAGCATCTCTAAGAAATCTAGTACACATTTCTCATCTCTCTTACAATATATAATATCCCAATTGGCCAAATTGGGCTAAAACACCAAATGATTTGTGTTCTTATTTAAAATCATTTGCTATATAATCTAACTTTTGAATTCTAATCTAACTTCTTGATTTTTTCTCTAATATACTTACAGTACGTAATACAGTATTTTTTACTGCAGCAAAACTCCAATCTCCGGGTTTGTCGATCGTCAGTTGGCATGTTTTGTTATTCCCAAAACGTATCACTTCAGGATCGAGACGTCTCGCGGTAAATTGAACTATGTCGTTGTTTAAATGTAAACCCCATTCTGATAATAATTCTTGGGTAACCTTATTTTTTTCTATCTCCTCTATAAATCGTTTAATGACATTTCTACGTTGATCGGGCGACGATTTCGTAATTGCGCTCAAATCTTTCATTATATAGTGATTGGAGCGAATACTATCTGTCAGACCCGCAGCATAGCTCAATTCCGGTACCAGAAGAATTACTTTTTCTTCCTTCTATTGTATTCAAACGATTTTTGGTAATGGCAAATTTCAAATAACAATATTATACTCAACGATATTAGATGCAACAATAGAGCATGCAATGAAAATGCATAAAATGACGAACCTCGCCAGTCGATGTTCTAATCGTAGCACGATGCACTAAAAGCGGTTGCTCTTTGTCTTCGATTTCTATGTTCCAATGTACCTTATAATAATCGATTATGGATATTTCCTCGCCATTTTTGGAGAACACATATTTTGGTGATTTATCCCATGCAATATCATCTATACGATATGTCTTATTATTATATCGTGTTAATACACTTGTACCAACTATCTCATTCACTACAGCATCTCTATAATTGTAGTGTTCTTTACGAATAATGTCAGTTCTGCAAAGTGATCACACAGAATAAAATTAAAAAATCAAAAAGAAAATGGCATAAGAACAAACGCGCGGTAGTTGGAGCGCAGAGAAATTCTCTGATCGCGAAAGATCTACCACGCGTTGGTTCTTATGCCATTTTCTTTTTGATTTTTTGATTACTTGAATCAAGTCTCTAATTATTAAAGAATAAAATTATTGATACAATTACGATATAATATTATATTTATAAAATAATGCTGAAAAGAATTACATATGATACTCACATTAAATCTCGTATAGTTTCTGTTCGCATTACTCGATGCTTAGAATCTAAACATAATTTTAAACCACCCTCGTATTCATTTATAGCAGTCACGTAACCAGGCCACACTTCTAATCGATGTTGATTTAATTTTTGCGCACCATTTGGATTAAAATTTTGTCTACCAATACGGACTAAACTAAGGGCACGCATAACACGATTAATCAAAATATTGAAGAACTGTACATTTTCACTCATGGATTGTTTCTTTTTATAAATGATACTAAGAGTTATTCGGGATCCATCCATTGGATGTTCCGAATAATAGTTTGTGACCTGAAATTTTTGACAATATTACGCATTATATAATATAAAGCATACATACATGTATATTAAATAATGTATGCATATATGTATATTAAACATGTATATTAAATAAAGCATACATGTAAATTAAACAATTTTAATTATAGAGTTTTAACTTACATCTTGTGGTAGTTTTTGTGGTAAATAAAGAATCATTCCATCAAATGTTTTTGTTCGCCCTAAAGTATTGGTATGTTGATTGAGTAATTTACGGCGTAATCCTATTGAATCTATATTTGGAGAATATTTAACTTCATACTGAAATAGACCTTTCCCAGGTTCTAATTTCAGGTCTATATAATTGGCGAATATTTCTATTCTAAAAAAGATAATTCTTATGTAAAAAATGTTGCTATTATTAAATTATAATAACATATCTCCATTGATATATATAATAGCTTTTCAATGTGATTTTATTTTTATGATTAAAAATTAAATAAATATTCCAAACAAGTATCATGTTGTCCATTTTTAAAATTTAATTATCTAGTGTAACTCATATAACTCAAATTTGTTTCAAAAGTTTTCTATGTAAATCAAAGATGGTTAGGTATACGAGTATGTATATATATGATGTAGATGCATGTTCTTCACATATAATTTAAACATATAAAATTAAAAATCATAAATTACTTTGTTCCACTTTTGCCTTGTCGACATACTGGCGTGGTATCTTCGGAAGGATATACATCGGATGTAGATGGATTGTCATACACCGAAATATTAGATAATTTTTCTAAAACTCTTGTGGAATCTTCCCTTTCAGTAGACATACTTGTTCGTGTAAAGGCAACTGATTCATCAGGGCTAAAAAGAGCATAGTTATCATAGTTTTAAATTTGTATATTCATAAATATAATTCACATATTACGTAATTTATCTCACACTCACTTGAATCTTTTTGACAAGCCTAAGAGAGAGGCTCGTCCCATTGCTTGTGTAGGGATAGATTCTGATCCACTACTGCTATGCATTTTTAATAAACTACTTAATTGACCTCGTCCACGACCTACACTAGTACTTGAGCCAAATGAACTTTGAGATGTCTCGAATGATCTAGTTGGTTCACTAGATGAATAACTAGGTGTTTCTACAGAATGGGACAATGCTTCAGATCGGGCACGTTCCGCTTTTGTTGTTTCTTTCATCATTTGCAATAATAAAGAACCACGTCCCTTCCCGGGAATGGATTTTTTATCATCCATTTTTGCTTGAAATGTATGTATGTCTTGCGCAATCTGTAAAATGAATAACATTTTTTAAATGTCTATCAAAGCTATCATTACTATCACAAAATAAAGTATTCGATTATTTTATTTACTATTCAAATATACTATTTTATCATTTATTTCTAAATAACTAGGAAAACTTTGAGATATAAATAACTTTTACAAAAGAAAATAATATACGTATAATAATAATATATGTGAAAAATTTCAAATTGTGTACGACTAATAATATCTCAATCTTTGAGTACTAGAATGGAATATGCAATTTTCTTAAATACTAACTAATATGGATTTACAAATTAACTTTAAAATATTGATCACAAAGAATTGCACTAAAATTTTGAACCAATATTCAAAATAATAAAATAATCCAAGAAAATTTTGTCAAGAAAATGAAATAATTTACCTTGGTTATCATAAAAATATTCCCTTATAATATTATCTTGATTATATCGTTAAAATATAATGACTGATTGATTATATTGTTAAAATGGCTGATTGAATCATATAGTACAAAAGGAACAAAGATTTTTTTTCTGATCAATCAAACTACCATATCAAATATATTTTCACATACATACAATAATCTTAGTATATAATCTCTTATAATCTTAAATAAATTGTTACTTATGGACTTTAGTTAGAATTTTTGCACTGCTCTGATTTTCTATTTTGAATTAAAATAGTTAAAATAATTAAAAATACATTTTATATATACATGGCAAATTATCGATATAATACAATTGAATCTTTTTAAATTTTTCATTTTAAATTTGATCCTGTAAATTTTAATACCATCCATACATATTTTGATTAACTCATATTCTCTCTATACATAATTATAATGGATAAATCATGTAACGAAAATTGTTAAATGGCGTAATTTATTTTTGAGTATTTTTCTCTCTTTTTCTTTAACAATTTAAGTCAATTTAAGAGTAATCAGCAGTAATTGATTAAATCATTAAAAATAATTAATTTTGATCGAACTATTATTTATTAAACTCTCAAGCGTAAACACTAATACGATTTTAGCCAAAAATGACTGCCAAATAACCAGAAATGCATTTTATATGACTTATGTGTGTATTCTGTTTTTATATTAAAAATCTAAAGTAATCTTAAAATGATGTGTAACCACTTCATTGATTGAACAAAATTTTAAGATCCCACCTAAGGTAATCTTAAATGTAAAAACGGATATAAATGCAAGCTTACATATAGATTGATTAAGATGCAAAAATTTTCGATATTTCCAATTGATTTTGTCACTTTTGAGCAAAAGGAATCTTATCCTATCAATAAGAAGTCATATAATATTCAAATTCTTTCATTTAGAATTTCTTTAAAGTAAGCATTCTCACAACTTCAAGAGATGATAATCTGATACTTGTATATGATACATATGTATCTTCTGAGCCCTTAAAATTCTTAGAAAGAACGTGTGTAAAATGCATTTTCTTTTTCACGTAACCGCATCGCTAAAGCCATATGACTCGATTAAAACTAAAAGAAAAAAAAATCGGTGTCGAATTTTTCTCACTGTATTAGCGAAAAGCATTCTGTGATTTCTTCATTGCATTTTCGCTAAATCAGGATATAATAATATCATGATTATGATAAATAAATATGCATTTATTACATTATACGTCGGAAAAAATTAATTTTTTTTTTCGCATATTATTCATGTTTAATAATATACATAATTATTAATAATATATATTTGACTTTTTTCGATTTCTGATTTAATATAATAAATAATTGTAAATCTTCATCAATTGTAAAAAATGATAAATTCTCGCTGCAAATTTAAAGCACGTGTAGGTTGAATTATATATTTAATTATTGACGCTTGAGAAAAATTATTTTATTATTAGCGCAAATAAAACTGTAAATTCTCGCTTCTAATATCGCGATTTATATATATATATATATATCATGATCAATAAAATAAGAACCTTAAAGTTATAAACTTCTAATTAATCGCGAATTTTCTATTGTCAATAACTAAAACAATTTCGATAGTTTAAATTTGATCATCGCGACTATGATAACTTTTATAAAGTTTGATAGAAAAACAGATATGGAATATGGAAAAACAAAGATAAAAAAAGAGAATGTGTATAAAAGAGAACGCGCGTTGCTCGCTAAAAAACGAGAGATACCCTTTAAAAAAAACAAGAAAAAGAAAAGGAGAAATATTTGTGAAACATCAAAACTATGTAGAAACTGATATAGCTCTACCAAGTTGCGCCCAAGTATTTATCAATGTTTTCGTTAATCGTAATGATACAAAAATATCGTGAATATACAGGTCCACAAAAACATTCTTTCCAAGTTATAAATCATCAAAAGTTAACGAAAAAATTTCAATATTATTTTGCTCATTCTTTTATAAAATCGGATATATGTATTATTGAAGTACGTATGAAAATATATAATTTTCTATATAAAATTAACATAAAACTTTCACGGTAACATATGATATAAAAAAACAATTTTTTTAAATCTGCATACGAAACATTTCCATGCATAAAAACACAATTTTTTACTTTATATATGCAATGAAGGGAACAGAGAGAAGACCGTCAAAATATTCGATATGGACGTAAAAATTTACGAAAACGTACATATATCTTCGCTACAACATTCTTGGAAACAAGTTAGATTAATAATCGCAGAGATCTTGTTTCTACAAAAAAATAACACGATCGGAGATAGAAATCGCAAACATGGTGGATTGTTCGTTAACCTCTCGCAAAAATACTAACGCAATCGAATACATAGCGTGCGAAAAGAGATTGCTCACTTGAAGGTAACGAGGTTCCAGGATCTAATGTTCCCTTCCGAGGATACTACACTCTTCCTCGTCGAACTCCGTCCACTGTGGGATCGCGACCCGCACTCCCTTAAGTCTTTTGATCCAGTGTTGTCTCCAGTGGTTCTCAGAAACGCTCTTCCTCGCGCATGCGCGTTGAACGTAGCCTCGGTAAAGTAGCAAATTTGTGGGAAAAAGGATTTTCTATTCTAACAACAAAATGAAATTTGAAGATAAAAGGAAATATCCGTCGAGATAATTGCAAAATTTTTCTCAGATCTACAATATGTTTCCCCTAATTAAATTATTATAGTATTGAAAATGGAAGAAATATTTGTCGTATGCATTCCTAAATTTTATTGTCACTACGCACACGCGAGTAAGAGCGTTTTCAAGGTTGCGTTTCGAAATTTGACAGTATTGAAAATTTTACAATATACTTACGTGAATTATTTCCAATAATAGCAGTGAATTTCGGAATACAGCCTAATCGTGAGAACAATATCACTTTGATCCTCCGATTCTTTTGATAAACCTTCGCGAGAGTTCGCTACCGACCGTGGACTGGATCGGACGCGTTTATCCTTTGTTTGAATTTTGGACCTTGTCTTTATTGATCTTTTCTCTTCCCTTCCGAAGATCGTAAAAATAAAATATTTTCTTTTATTCGTTCTTTTCTGTATTCATTTTTAGTGTATCAGTTGTTTGCTGGGTTGATTTAATCTTTATTCTTAACACTGGTTGGCATCACATAAGTCCGAAGAAAAAGAAGAAGAGAATAACCTCTCAAACAGAGAGGTAATACTGTGTTTTTTTTTTAATTTTCGTAAAAGAAAGAGTTTTGGCAGCGTCATCCAACACCATAACTTTTGCAATGTCGCCATCTTATGGAACACATCATAGGCTATTTGTAGTATATTAGTTCTGTCGATTACAGATCAAAATTTAATTTTTTAAAATTCTGTAAAGATATATATTATTATTGTCACCGACAAGATACTATTACAGATGGCTAAGATAAGTTTTTATGGGTCCGGAGATAATTGAAGATTGATAACATTATCGGCTGTGATTGCATTGAAAATAATCATGCGATTTTTTAACTCGTCCAAATATTGTTTTATTATCGAAAATATATCAATCTTACGTAACTGTTTTAAAAATAACAATTTCTGTAAGATTATCGGTCTTTATTATAATAATATCTCGTCGGCATTATTATACAAAAAATCTTTTATGCAATCATTTATAGATGTTAAATGACCGGAGATAATTATGGAATGTTGACACAAAACAAAAACAAGTCATTGGTCGCTATTCTATTACAGATCTTGATGCAATGTAATTACATCGGACTTATAATTCTGAATAATAATTATATGTATTATTGCGACACTATCAACATTCGATGTTCACAAACAAGTCGATATCTTTCATGATATCTTATCTGTTATTAACTATGAGAAAAAAAGGTGGTATTTTTTTAGCTGCACAAGATATCGTATATAGACCTTGTAAGTGTTGTATATCATTCGATAGGAAATTTTATCCAAAAATTTGTGTTGTGGAGGCCTCTGGGCTTCAGTCCCCCTTCAGCTGTTGCCTCCCCCCCCCCTAAATCGGCCCTGATCTCACTCAAGTGTTGATGATGTAATACTTTACTGCTTTACTGTAATACTTTACACGAAGCGCGCAATCGACCAGTTTTATCAGCTGACGCCTGGCGCTCCAGTTCAAAACGGCCGTTTTAACAAAACAGTCATCTCGCAGTTGTTCAGATACAGTTTGAAAGGCAATCAAGCCGGTAAGATTTATTCATCATGGTTCTGATGCCGAAAGAGTCCGCCAAGTTAGTCGCCGGCTTGGCGAAGAACGTGTTCATCGAGAAGGAAGGCGTGAAGAGATTGGCGTCCGCGATCCTCGACGGTATCAAGACACATAAAATTCGCACGGGTAATTTCTCGCAGATCAAATTTCACCCCAAGCCTGACGATCCCAGGACGGCGGATTGGATATTCGTCCTGGATACGTTGAACTTTTCATTCTGGACCGAGACCGGCGCCAGGAAGTGGAAGGTCGACGGGGAAACCGGATACTTTGCGTTTTGCGCCGCTGTCAAAAGAGCCATCGACGAAGGGAAGCCGATGTGGGATCCCAAGTATTACTCGCGAATAACGCAGCAGGACGCCGAGGTCATTTTCCGAGGCGACGACGGTGAGACTGACATTCCGCTCGTGCAAGACAGAGTCAAGAATCTGCACGAGGCTGGCAAGGTTTTGCTGGATAAATATCAGGGTACATTCGCGGAATGTATCAGGTCGTGCGGCGGTTCAGCGGAGAAGCTACTCAAGCTGATCGTCGACGAATTCGAATCGTATCGGGACGAGGCCGATTACGAGGGTCACAGGATTAGTATCTACAAGAGGGCTCAGATACTGATAGGCGATATATGGGTTTGCTTCGAGGGACGCGGACTCGGTGAATTCCACGATATAGATAGTATTGCGATGTTCGCCGATTATCGTATCCCCCAGGTTCTTGTACACTTTGGTGCTATGCGCTACAACGATTCCCTCGCAAGTAAACTTGAATCCGACGTACCGTTGAAGCAGGGTGACAAGGATGAGGTTGAGATACGTGCCTGCTCGATCGAGGCGGTCGAGCAAATTTGCGACGAGATACGAAGATTGATCGTGGCCGATCCGAAATTGGATTTAAACCCGACGACGGCTGTCAACGCGATCATCATCGATCAATTCTTATGGGATTATCGACGAGAGCACGCTGAAGAATTGGAGTGTATTCCATTTCATAAAACTAGAACTGTGTACTATTAGAGACCACATCCCATATAGCATCCTATGTCCAAGACATTAACATCCTGAAGTTGTTTAATCGCCCAAATATATTTTCTGGATTCCTTCTGGACATCTTTTGGATATACATGCTATGTAGGATAATGTTGGATATCAGAACCATTAAACTTTATACTCTGGAACAAGCTATTGTCAAATTATATGACCTATTTCTCAAGAAATTATAGAAAACAATTTATGTCTTTCTAATACACAGTATATTTTCATGTGATAGGAAGATAGTGGAATATTAACAAGCTTATGCAAAAGGTTTATGTGAAAAACGAATTACATTTTTTATTTTGTATGACTTTTACTAGTAGATTAGATAATCAGATGCTTGTTCCAATTAAAATATAATTCCATCATTAGGGTACAAAAATATTAACTGATTGAAAAAATATAATAAATTTGAATTCTTATATATACACAATATTACAATTTATATTACAATTTAATTATATTTTTTTAGGTTTTGTACATTTGTAAACAGAAAAAGAAAAAATAAAACTAAAATCTAATAAAAGTCATTGTATGTCTAATCTAAAATATATAATCTCCTTAAAATATTATATGACAAAAATGTAATAGATATTAACAAAGAATGATTATCGATTAAACAAATTTAATTTTTGACAAGATATAAAAAATATAAAGAATGTATATATCACAATAGTGTTATAAAAAACAAAAAAATATACAATTAAAAGAATAGATTTATCCCAGCCAGATTTTTAATTTTGACAAAATGAACATGTATGCACACATGTTAATTAATATAAAATACATTACATTTTTTTAAATATAAATAAAATATATTTGTATATTAAAGGCGAAAAATGTAATATTAATTTTGTTATCTCTTGAAAGTATATTTTTAATATATAAAAAAACAATAAAGCTTATAGACCATTGTAATAAAAAATAAATTTTATACAGACATGTAAAATCTTTCTTTGTAATTTTATAAATAAATATAATTAAATATTTTATATTTTTTCAAATATAAAAATAAAAACTAAAATAATGGAAAATGTGTTGCTATTTTTTCTCAATTTTTTTTAACCTATGTGTCTGGGAATTGAAATATAATTAAATTTTACTCAAAGCAATATCAATGATATTTAAAATTATCTTTAATAAAGCCATTCAATTATCAAAAAAATGAGACTGATTTATTAAAAGGTGTATCTTTTATCACAATAGAAATAAAAATTATTAATACTATATAACATTATAATTTTGGGAAATATTAGCAGAACTTATCTTTAGAAAATATATATTGCTTGGCTTGTAACGTCTTATAATATAATAGTGTTACGTTTTATAAATCATCATGAGAATTTTAGATAAATTATTCTACAATAGTTACATATTTTGATAAGTTATATAATCACATATTTAGAAATAAATTTAATATTTCAAAATTGAGAAAATTGTATGTGTCAGACTATATATCATCATATCATGATATTCTATTATATACCTCTCTCTCATTGTATTATTTTAAAAAAATTTAAAAAAATACATTTAAATATAAAGGTTGATAAAATGGTATTATAGATGGGTTATATAAATACTACTTAAAACATAGTTTCATTCTCGCAATGCTATGCGTATATTATACATAAGTCAAGTAACACATCCATCATCTCATACATACATACATTTATCAAATTTGTAGTGGATTTTTTGTTAAATTAAACAAAATATTTCAAATTGGTTTTTCTCTAATTCTAACTTTACATATAGATGAAATTAAATCTGAAACATAAATAAAAGCCATTACAAAATTATGTTTTTATATCCTTGTACAATAGAAAGCAGATTATTTAAATTTACCTGCACAGTGATTGTGGCAAAGATGAAATTATGGGACCATAACCTTGTGAGTTGTCATACAATTCAAATAATGGTGCAGCAACTAATTTGTAATTCTTTGGTACAGCAAACAAAGCTAAACATATGAAGAAAATTTAATTAAATGCACTCACGAAATCAAAATCAATTTCAATCAATAAATTTTTTCGAGTTATTGTTATACCTTTTTCTTGCAGCTGTACCAGGAATAATCTTTTGTGTTCTTTTGGTTTTGTGATATGTGGCGGTACATATGGATACTGAGGTGGCTCAAAGTTTGGACGCCACCAGTTTCCAATTGTATCTTCTATGACCCATTCTTGCTTTACTCCATCCTGCCGTCCAAAAGTCTAGAAATTAATCCCGTTTGTCGTCTGATACTATACTTTACTGAATTTTAAATAAACTATAAAATAAAATACATTCTTCTTCGGTCAGTCCACTAAGAACATGGTTGCATATATTACATTTCGAGACATTACTCAATTTACAACGAGTACACTTAATAGTATCGATTCTAACAATGCTCAAATTTACCGGCGATTAATATATATTAAGTTTTTTTTTGTTTTAAATCCAAAATTGATATCTTGGTATTTCTCAAAAACATGTACGTTTCTTTTCTCCTATGATATTTATATACGAACACCTACTTAAATGAAACAATTGCTATTTATATACTAGTAGTTTTGATCAAGATTATGGCAGAGATTACAATCTCAAGTTTGTCTTACAATTCAACAATTGCGAATGAATTTGTAATGAATCTCCTTTTAGATATTGATTTTTTTCGCAATGAGATTCTAAGCCCTTTGATATATAGTCAATTTTCTTATAGCTTACAAATTTCAAGAAAAACATTTGCTACATTTGTATACAGTCTTCTTGTGATTATTTTACATTCTTCTATTTTTTGTCTCTTCTCTGTTTCTCTGTGCTAACACATACACAATGAAAATAAGAACAATGTTCTTAGCCAACCAGATACATTAAATAACGAGCGGTTTTTTCATGAATTATCAACATTAAAGTGTCCGGGCATGCAGCACACTAAAAGTACAAAATATTATAAGAATAAAAGAATAAGCCCACATATGGAGCTACAGGCCCGGTTACATAAGTTCTACAAACGATTGCAGGATTTATACAATAATGATGCTATTTATAAAGACAATGTTACAATCTAACGATATGAAAGTGCCACTCCTAGCCAGCCTGTAAGGCAGCGTAAGACGTCGTGCTAACTGTTACCTCTGTAAGGAGCCGTTTTAGGCCCTCTACCTCATCTTCTCCTGTATTGAGTTCTCCGCCAGGCCTGAAACAATAAGAAAAGATATATTAAATTTAACATTATTATTATCCTGTCAATGTTTATGTAATATATATATTGTAAGAAAAAAAATGAAATAAAAAAATAGAAAAATTAAATAAATACAAAACTACATATATTTTCTTTTTAGGCATGTTAAAACATATTTTAGTTTTATTTGTTTCCAAATGTCTGCTTTTACATTTGTGCAATTTATTTGCCATACATTGTTATAATTTTATGCAATATTCTCGGAACTTACAATTTGAAGAATGTTGTGCCGAGTTGCAGAAGGAGAACGTGTGGCAATCCGTGCTCATGTACCAGTAGGACGCCTTCTACGCTTCTCCGCATGCCAATTTTGTCGAATTCATCTCTCATACGCTGAAATCTCGCTGGTACTGATGGATCTTTCTCGAAGAGTGGCTCTTTTGTTCCAAATGTATAGTTTGTCAAAGGATATCTATGATAAATGAGTTGTATTCTTTTGTTAGGCTCTTATATGTTTAACTTAATCCATAAAAATCCAGTTTCTTCAAATACAACTTGATGCGGTATTACAATATTCAAGTATCAAAATTATATAAGTACAAAAAATGTAACAATTTAAATTAAGTTGTCTTTCTACTTTAATAAGTAATAATACAATAATAATTTTCACATTTAAATGTAAATAATGTTTACTCTACTGATTTAAGCAACAGATGGAATATATATAGATATTAAAGATGATAAAATAAAATCAATTAAATTATCAAAAAGAGCCTTTATTATTATCAAGTAGAATTTTTCATTGATTTAATTTTTTCTAATTATAATTTCAAATATATTTTTGTTAATAAATATACATTGCATTAAATTTGCAAAATTTTGTAATGAAATATTATCATTCTTTACTGAGAATTTTAATACAATAAAATTTTTAATCTTTACTCTTTTTTTTCTTTACATATTTAATAGTAATTTCTGATTCTCTGACTTATGCTACAATTTAAACGTAATTATAAAACATAAAGCGAAATATGCTGTGTGCAATGTATAATATATATGTATAACATTTATATGCTTCATATGAATATAATAGCTTATTTGAATAACTTTTCATAACATTTTCGCTTTATGTTAAATCTTTACATACGCATATATATAAAAAATTTTTACAGTAATATATTTAAAGTTTTGGATTTACTTTTACATGTGGTACAATCAAATTAATTATACAGCAAATATAATTTCTTGTATCATTACAATCACACTTTTATAGTAGTTTTAAAAAATAACAATTAGATAAATATCGATTAATACTCTGCTAAAGATTCTTACATTTTAACATAATTTTTTTCATGTTTATTTTTCTTGTAACTATTTTGTAAAATTATATAATTTGGTTCTATGTAATTAATAATTTCTTCAAATTTTTTCAATGTAATTTATAATATATTTATAATATGATGATTGTAATGATATATTGCATGTGAGATTTAAAAAAGATAATAAAATGAAAATTTTTATGATGAAAGAGAATAAATAAAAAATAGCTATTAATATTTGATAAAAATGTAAATGCAAAAATCCCTCTGCATGTTACTGAAATACATTGATATACATATATATTTGTAAATATATATTTCACACAATATAGTTATGACTTAAACCATTGCAATTGCAACATTATAGATAGACATATAATCATTTAACAAAAATGATCATTTATATGACATGTCATTTATAATGTTACATAAATTTCATACACAACTGTGTTTAAGGAGCTTTTTCATTGCCTTTCATTGCCTTCTTATAATAAATTAGCCAGAATAACCACAATATACATATTACTCGCTATCTTAAAATATAAAATAAACCTAAATATATATATATAGATATAAACTACCTGACACAAGGTAGTACATATACACATATACATATAATACATATATACACATATATATATATACATATATATATATATATTATATTTTACATAAAGTATAGAATGCAAGAGTGAAATAATGGGAAAAATATATATGGGATTTTCTTAGCATGAAATATCGCTAATTGTACAAACTTAGAAAACAGCTTTGTTATTCAATTTATCATAGTTTCATTATTCAATTTAGAGTGCACAAGATCTTAAAATATTTTGCATTTTAATCGAAATCAAAAGCAAGACACAATAGAAATTTCTTTTATCATCGCACGCATATTAAGAATCAGTAATCAATTCATATTATGGTTGCAAAAGATAACCAAGGACAATAGTACAAACATTGTGTGAAAAGAAATAAAACTTGACATGTACGAATCAAAATATTGATACAGTACGAACAGTAGCTCTTGCGAATAAGATACATGTACTATGAATCTTAAAAATTGACAATTTTAGACAAATATCATCCAATAATCATATCAAATACAAATTGTGCACGAATTTGAGACAAATAATACTGTGTCCAAGACAAATTGTGTATAATAATACAATTATGCGTAAATTTCACAATTTTCAATTCTCTTACTAATTCGTGGGAAAAGAACACTCATCAATTCTCTTTATTAATTCATAATACATTTATACAATAATAAATAAAATGCGTAGAATCGCATATAAAAATATTAGACACGAATTGTCGGGAATCTTGGGATCTCGGCAAAAAAAAATAAAAAAAAGGTAAACAGCCGCTTAACGATTATTCATCGCGCAAAATACAACAGAACGTTTTTAAAAAGAGCGTAATTTCAATTATTATAAATGGGCTTATAATCGCGTTCTATCGACCGGTCCTATAGAGGAAAGAGGCATTTTAGACATATCAATTCTGGAAATATAGCGTAAAGTATGTTGCATATTATACGGTCACTTACAAATTTACAGTCCTGTTAATGGTGACCGATGGATTCTGCACCACCTTTCCCTCGAACGAGCTGTTGCTCGCTCGTCGCGGCCATCCGCTGCCCTTGACTTGATTCGTCGCCATCGCCATTTTCGTTCCCTACGCGAACCGCTCGCCGAATAACCAAACCAGCAGCAATGGACGCGAGCTCGCGAGTATCGTCGACGATGCAGCCAACTCGCCCAAAACAACAATCTGCCGGATCACTAACCTAACCTAATCCTAGCGCGCCAAGGCACAGTGGAGGGGATACGGACCGAGCGTCGCGATAGGCGAACGCGCACTCAGTGTTAGACGGGCCAGGTTTTCTCGCGCATGCGCATTGAATATGATATTTAATCGCAATGTATTTTATAATACTATTACTATTATATTTCTATAATAATATTACTTATTCTAAATTTAGAATAAGTAATATAATATAATAGTAGATAAGAAATATAATAGTAGAAGTATAATTATAGAAATATAATAGTAGAAATATAATTACTTATAAAAATATAATTACTATTATATTTCTATAATAATATTACTTATTCTAAATTAAGTAATATTATTATAGAAATAAAATAGTAATAATATTATAAAATACATTGCGATTAACTACTTCAGTGATATCCTGGCCCGTCTAACAACACTGGTTTGTCTCCCTCGAAAAAAATTCCCTATTCGATCGCGGTTGGGCGCGCTCGAGTCCGTTCGAGTTTGCTTACGTCACGGGGTTCACCCGACCAAGCGCAGGGCGAGAGGTCAGCCATTTCGACGCTCGCCTCATCCACGGCCGCATCTACGGATTCATCGAAGCGCGGGACCGATCGCACAAGTCGCGTCCATAAAATTCGTCATTTGTAGTCAGCGTCCTTCACGAAACCCGCCTCGCTTCCGCGTAAAAATCTCGGTGAGTCGAATATACCGGCAAAGTGCCGATTATTTCATCTTGCCAGATATCTCGTCCCCGATCGCGTCATCGACAATGGCGGATTATTGGATAAAGCTACGTAAAAAAAGAGACGCCAGTTATCGCGCGAGTTTCTCCGAGACTCTCGGCCCCTTGTCTTCGAGATTATTTTGAGGCTTCGTCGATCGCGCTGTATCGTGTTTGTCGAAAGTTCAAATTATGCGCACATCGATTCTTTTGCGACTTGCTTTACCGTTACGAGAGAGCTCGCAGAGTGACGAAATTACGACTTTTGTAGTAAAACTCGAGTCCCCGCGAAATTTACGTGAAACGAAATCGGGAAAATCTCCCACGTGCCGCGTTTGTTAGTGTCGCTTTGGTTTTTTGTATGTTATTATTCGTATCGTGTTTACGCGCATTGAGCGAGAGGTAGGAGCATAAAGTAAAGTCAATCGTGTAACGTGAAGAAATATTTCGGTCGTTAACTACTCGATTTTTCGTTGTAAAGTGCGGGAAAAAATGGTGCAGTGTATCTATAGAGACCACGTGGAAGGTCTTGAAAAATTTCGATCGATTCCTGAGTTCGTTGCAGATGATGTTAAAAAATAAGCCTGAAAAGTTATGGAAAGTGTGTGCAAGAATTCAAGCAAGGTATAATTTATGAATTTTCGTCGATTGCGGCTTCGATGTAGTACGATACGATAAAAAAGTATTTACGGATCGACAAAGGCTCGACATAACCTATTTTCAGTAAAAAAAAAAAAAATAATGGAGAAATTAGAAAATGGGAGAGATAGAAAAGAGATAAAATGTAATATTTAAAAGAGAGATAAATATTTTTTGAAAAGAAAAATTTATTTAAAAAATTATTTCTTGAAAAGATTATGTTTACCTCTCGCTCAAGCATTCAGGGCAGTCATTCAGATCATGTATTGGTACTTGATATCCCTTCTCTTTAGCTTTCTATTCTTAAATATGTATATAAACTCAGTCTTATATTTATATTTTGGAGTTGTAATATAATCTTAGTTGTAATACATGCTTGTAGAATATCACGTGGTAAATAATGTTTAATTCAGTAATTTAGTAATATTTTCCAAAAGAAATACAATTTAATATTATTATTTCACAATTATCGCATTTCCTTTCAGTCACAGATATTTTGATAAATACATACAACACTTTTGCAGAAATTATATTAAAAATTGTAAAACTTGAATAAATTATACTTGAAAACAAATTGATATAAGAATACTTTTGCAAAATCTTTTCAAAGACAATTTAATTTGGATGTATATATTTTGAGAAATATATTAGAAACTAAAATCTAAGACAAATAATTAACAAAATTTGTATCAGTTTTTTTTTTATAAATAAAAATCTGCAAGTTTGTCAGAGCATTATCTGCTAAAAGTAAATATCGCCATTGTGGGACATATCTGTGTAGAATATAAATTCAAACTCGTAGTTTGGCAAATAGTAATATCAAGGATAAGAAGTTGAATGCGGATGCAATTTGTAATTGCTGGAAAATTATTTAGGTACAGTGAGAGGGAACTTGATGTATGTTGCAGGGTCTTAGTGTGTGTTAGATATCAAGAACAGATTCAGCCTGCTCAGGGGATTTTGTACAATGACAATGGTGCAGCTAACTTTTCTGCTCCTACATTTCATTGTTCTTCATCACTGATGAGTGGCCTCCTTGGTTCACTGCTCGGTCATCTTTGTTCTTGATCGCCTCTTATCTCTCGTCGTACATTTTAGCAGAGAGAGAGACAGAGAGAACAAGAAACAGAGCACAGAAGAAAGAAGTTTCTGAAGTTTCTAAGATTTAAAAGGTAATATTCTATAAATCACGTAATAAAATTAGTTTATAATTTTGGAGGAAAAAATATTGTGATTCTATTATACAGACAAATTTAATTGTCTGTCATGTTTCTGAACGCTTTGTGAAGCACATTTATTTATGTATCTTTATATATCTATATTTTCTCTATATTATTATTTTTCTGCGATATATATTCAGAATCTTATATATAACGGTAAGTAATTTATAAACCCGAATTTACAAAAATAAAGAAATTTTTAAAAACATTGGTGCGAATGAAATGGATGACATGATTTGTATTTACACAATATATCTTCATGTGTCCTCCATAAAATATGAATCATAGACTTCTAGTTCTATTTGATTTATTAAATTTAAATTAAATAAAAAGCTAAGTACAACAATATAGCTTTTTTTTTGCTATGAATAAAATCGTATATATAAATGTTACTTCCTAAGGGAAATATGAGAGACAAATTGTTAAAAGTACCTTTTATGATTGAGATAATCTTAAAACAAATTATAAGAACTAATATGTATTTGTAATAAGAATTTTATTACTATTTTATATCTTTTTTTTATACTTTTATATAAGCTATTTTTAATTAATCATATTTGTATAAAGAATTATTTCTACTCGGATATTTATTATATTTTGTATAACATAACAGTTTTATCGTATCTTTATCGTTAAACTTTATCGTACTTTGGAACATTAAATACCTTTTTAATTGTGATAAAAAAGAAAGGTAAGTTTTAATTTGATCTATCATTGCTTTATGCAATGATGACTAATGTATAGTTCCTTTCTTTTTCTCAAAATTAATTTTATTAGAATAGCCGAACATTTCGAATTAAAATAAAAACTGTAAAATACTTACAAAATTCTAAATATTGATATTAAACTAAGCACAAAAAAATAAATAATGTTCTTTCATCAATTTTCTTTATTGTTAAGAGTCTCTGCAGATCGATTCTGCAGAGTATTATCAAAAGTTTATTAAAATATTTTAAAATATTTTTCAATAAAAATCTTGAAATTTAAGATAGAGACAAAAATAAGTTTTTTATTTTAAAATCTGAAAGATATAATTTCCAAGTGGGATATATTTAATTTGTCTTGAGGTGAAATGTAGTTTTGTAACGTGGCTTTTGGAGCCCGATCAAGATTGCATTAGACCAAAAGAGAGTGTTAAACTAACCATCGAATGTTGACGTTAATATATAATTTCTTTGTATTCCATTGGGATGCAAAAGCGCTAAAACTTATTTAATATAAACATACGCGCGAAATAAAATATTAAGCGTGAGAAATACTGTAAATATTATAAATAATATTATAAATATTATAAAAACTTTTAGATGCAAAAGGGAAGGAATTAATTGATGATATCTATATTCGTGATTCAAGGAAACTAAATAAACTAAACTTTCGCGCAAGAAAAAGTTCTTGTAGAAAGTTACCTCATATGCATGTGTACATGAAAGTATGCGACAAAATTTTCTTTTTGTAGCATTTTTCTACACACCTATTTTGATAATACTTCATGATTCGTTTGTGTGTGTGTGTGTGTGTGTGTGTGTGTCTAAAAAAGAGAGAGAGAGAGAAATTGAATTATTATTAAAGTAAAGAATCACGTATTACCATAATTGTTATTTCCAAATCGAAAGATTATTGAAGTAGGCATCTATTCGTAAAGAATGAGAGGATTCTTCTTGATGAAAGAAACGTTTCATCGAACCAGAAGATCTCTTTGGGGCTTTGGACGTTTTTAATTATCATACATACATTTTTACTTCTGTACAGTCTTATTATAGACCAATTACGATATATATATACATACATATATACATGTATGTATTTGCAATGCAGCGAGGAAGCGCAGCAACGACTGTGTTAGTGCAGCTACGATTTATCGACTTGCTTCCATCGTTGCGAACGCTTTTTATTGTGCATAATGCATTTCAGGTGGACAACATAGACCGATTTTTCTGATCTTTTTCCCTCACACGCGTCAGACACTTATCGCAGCCGAAAAATAAAAAAATGTTCGTTTCTTTTTTTTATTTTTTTTATTTTTCGTGGCTAGTGTCTATCGAGTGTCTGTTATTTTTCTTTCATCATACAATAATGTCTGCAATGGAATTTAATTATGTGAATGACAAGCAGTGTGTTTACGATCCTGGCCTGTCGACGAGGAGAGAAATCTAAAGAAATCTTCATGTCTTAAGTGATTAGGAGCAATCATAGATGAGGGGAAGACGTTGATACTGCAAGTTCAGATTGTTTCGACAAAAAACGACGACTGCAATTGTTGCTATATCTCATTGGCCGATGTACAACGTAGTAGTGCGTCTATATTTTGCGTGATTTCTTCTTCTTATGGTGTTCGAGCTGAATAGCAAATCGCGGAAATCCATATCCGTACACGATCCTCCCCCGAATCCTCTCTTTTTTTTTCTTGCAACTGTAAATTGTTCTACGTCTTGCGAAACTGTCTAACTTCATGAGATGTTGACAGATTTCTCTCTATCAAATTGAATAAATATATTCTTTCGACAGAATAATAATTTATCGAATATATAAAGCAATTTTAGACACGCGAATTATGAAGCACACTTTTTGCAATCTTACGATCTGGCATATGCTAAACGCGAGATTAAAAAGATATTAAAAAAGATATATAGAAAATTCTTAATTATATTTTATACAATAATATAATAAAGATAATTTACTACGTTTAATATAATAACATTATAATAATATTATTATAAAAGGTGTACACAAACACGACAAAGATTATGAATCCAGATTTATGGTTATATGGCCTATTAAAATTAAATTAATTTATTATTCAAATTAATCGTATATTTTTGAGCAATAACGTTGCATTGAAATTAATCAGTTGTTTTTAAATTCCAGCTTTATGTAATACTTTACTGTTAAGCAGAATACAAACCATTAGATGATAATTGTTACGATGTCGAATTGTTTTTTATCGCATCGGTATCGTAAATTAACTTCGAATGCACAATCTCCGAATTTCAATTTCGTTTTGTTTCGTTATTTCTGACATTTTATTCATTTATATTTTGGGAGAATATTATGACAAGATGATTATGGTAATTAGGTACTTCCTAGCGTTATAGATGGAAATTTTCCAACATAATGCATCACCGACATAATCGAAACGGCTATTTATCCGCACATCAATGTTGCTGGGATTTCGAATACATAATTGGATTCCGATTTTGCATCGCTCTTCGCTGTCTCTGTTGACATCGTTTAATTAAAATCCACTTAGAGAATATCTTAGACGATGAAACATCGCGTTCATCCTTGGCTCCGAAGAATTTGCTAAAACATTTGACGACTTGGTTTTCTCATTTTCGTCGCAAGCACTCTTAAGTACTTCGAAAGTACTCCTCTAAGCCCCGTGAAGAGAAGCTGTGCCGCGCTCTATCAACGATAGGATACTTGCGGAAGAAGCTTTTACACAATGCGTTCAACGTAAAAACCGATTCGTCGTTGAATCCGTGAGAAATTCACGAGATCACTTCGAATAAGCGCAACCTGTGACTCGTCGGGGTTCTTTTGGCTCGATTTCAACGAAAGGACTCAGCAGTTCACGTGGCAGATGGAAGAGACGAAGAGACGAGGAACGCGCGTGCGGCGTCGTCGTGCTCGTCGACAGAGACAGACACGTGTGTCTGACACTTCGCACTGTCCTATAAAACAGCACAGCTGGCGACCCGCCGATTAGTCGATCGTGAGAGATCGACAACTTTTTTTTTTTTCCTTGCGACACCGAACTCCATTCCGGAAAAAGGATCCCCGTGTATGCGTGCACGGGAATCGACCTGTGTGAAAAAAACTCATTGAAGTGAATTAATTGATGTTTACTGTGGTTTGCCTTGAACCTACGTCTAATGCGCGTGAAAACATTTATAATGATTTTTTCTTTTGGTCAGTTCTGTCTTGCATCGAGTCGCTCGTTTTAGGAGACGCACATGATAAACGATGTTTTCTAATGACGGAGTCGTGGCTGGTAATCACAGTGTCGCAACGGTGGAACGAGTAATATGTTAGTCGTAAATAGCGGTAATCAGGGATCGGCCGATTGCTACTTACATGGCGTGAAAATAACCGGTTACGGTGACTACCGTAACTAAATATACCGAAATACGATTTCCGAGTAATATGCAACAGAGCGGAACTCTCGACAAGTCGCCCCGAATGCTTTCCCTACAGAAGAAGTTTGTTTTCTTTCCGCTTGGTCAGTTATTTAGAGATCAAATTTTGTTTCGATTATGTGTAGATACTATTATTCAGAAATGTGGAAAATTTCCATTAAACTCGTAACACTTTGATCGAACTACATTTCACTGAATAATCGATATCCATGTTTATTTATTCATAAATGTAAACAATTTCCTCCTGAGCTTGGAATAAATACTTCGTGATCGAACTCTTGGTTTACTTGGAATATTTAGAGATTGAACTCGAGAGTTTTGTAAAATAATCTACATACATATCTATATTTTTATTTGAATGAAAATTATTTTTTCATCATTTATAATGGGAAATTAAATTGAAAAAGTCTTCTTCTCGTTCAAAGATCGATTTTAAAATTTATTCAATGAATAAATGATTTTTTCTTATTTAATCCAATATAATATATAATAAAATATATATTTAAAACATTTTACAATCAAACTTTTATTCAGAAAGATTTATACTTACTTTTTATTTGTGAAATTAGTTTCCTTATTTTTAACTCGTTTTAAACATCGAATAAGTTTTATTTCAAAATCAATACCTAGTTTCAGTCAAAAATGAAAATTATTTTTATATCGATCATTTAAAATACTTACAAATCGATTTCTTATGTAATTGATATCTGTACTTATTTAATATGGAAATTTTCATAAATCGACTAAATATCGATGGATTACAGTTCGATTTATATTTATGGGGCTCCGATTTTTGCGTATGTCTAAAGAATTTACGATCGACAAAGAAAGAATAAACTTAATGATTCAATTGTTGATGCACGGCCGCAACATGCGTGGGTGTTTGTATGTCTTGGAGCGCTCCTGTGCCAAACCTTCGGCGCCTTCGGAATTTGCTGTAATAATAAAGCCATCGAGCACATGTGTAGCTTTTCAGATGTTTTCTAGACTTTCAAGTCTATGAATGTCTGGATATAAAACATGTGTATATTAACACTAAATCGCTCGCTCTATCTTGATTTATTTGAAAGTGAGACTTGAAATGAATTTGTTTTCCTATCTGTAATGGATTGTCATTAACTTTTTGATCCTCCGAATCTTTATTTATTGAGAAAAAGAGATTTAAATTTTTAATAATTTTTAGGTGTTTGTATGCGTAATCGTTGACTACAATGATTAAGCGACTATTTTGAGTTATTTCGGATTAAAAATTAATAGCAATTGATTCAATGATTTATATTATTCTCTTTCCATATAAGATATATATTAATGAATATATAATATTATCAATTTAATTTTTTTCTCCGGCTATAAAATATATTAAAAATAGATTTTAGCACATACGCATACAAGGTACCACTAAATAATTAAAATAATTAAAAACATTTATTGTTATATCCATGAATAAGCTGTAATGCTCATAAAAGGATGTTTTCCTTTAATGCATCTTTTATACTATTCATTTGTTACGTGACTAATATTAAAATAAGAAAGATGCACAATAACATTTCTATTCTATCTCTATTTTAAATATAAATTATTAAAATTAGAACGTAGACTGAAGGGAAACTTAATAATAAACACAATGTTTGTTTACGATGACTTAATATAAACAATCAACATGCATGAACAATAATTTTCCTTTATGAAAAATTAAATTTAGAAAATTGTGCTATTTTTTATTAATAAAATATATTTAAGATTTTTAAATCTGTATTTTAAAATAAATATTATTTTCAGGAATTTTTATTATAGTAAATTATTTCAAATTTATATTTCATGCTAATTAAAATTAAATAATAAACTCAAAAATAAATATAAACCAATTTTATATACAATTTACATTTACATTAAATGTTATACAATGTTACACTAAATTTATATTTTTGATAATTCTGGTAATAAATTCTATATGTTATAAATAATATATCAAATACATTTAAATCACAAAACTTTTCCAAATAAATATGTCAAAATAAACTTTGCCAATTTAATAATTAGCGTATATAATTAAATGCAATACAATCAAGCATTAAAACTTTTCCTGCCCGTTATAAAAAAAACAGAGTTGTGAGTCTGGATTTTAATATATGTTAATTAAACTCTTTAATAATTACTGCATAAGTCAGAGAAAATAAACTCCTTAAATCATCATTATAAATAGATAATGATAAAAGAAAATACTCTCAATGTTTTGACATTACAGCGTCAATTTATTATAAGAATTAAAAATGAAATGAAATCTATGTTTTACAACTTCTGCAATGGGATGCTAAATGTCAGCGGTAATAATTCTAAATGAAATAATTAATTGCTTGCGCGACTGAAATTAATTTCCTGAAATTAATAAAGCGGAAAATTTTAAGCCATGTGATTATATTAGTTGCGCAAATGTGAAAACATGTACGTGCAACATCCGAATGATTAATAGTACTACAATTAACAGCCAGTACTTCATACAAACTCATGCAAGCAGCTTAACAAGGACGCTCGCCATATAAATTCAATATCATCATCGATATAAAAAAAGACAACACATTCGGCAAGAAAACGGGAAGAGCTCCGTATTTATATCTTTTTAGTTAATTTTATATTTTCATTACTTATATCAATAATTTGATTCAAAATAAATTATAATAATAATAATGATAAATTATAAATATCACAGCAAGATAAAAAAAATATAAATAAAGTCTCTATATAAAAAATAATTTATAATAATAATAAAAAATAGAATAACGTTAAAATAATATTAAAACTAAACTTTTATAAAATAAATAATATAAAGCTATGAAAAGTTCTATGTTATATGACTTTATTGAAAAATCACTAGAATATTTCGCGCATTCTTAATTTCTTATTCTCTTAAATTTATAAAGTTATTTATTATATTGAATAAATTTAAATAATATAAATATTTCATATCTTAAGGAAAGGTTTAAATAATAATGTTAATGCTAAAACATTGAATGCCTTTGATGTTACTTTTCATTTTACATCTTTCTTTTTATGATATTCAAAATAAAAATTGATAAGCGATTTTTCTTAACAGCAAATTTACCTATGATTAAAATAAAAAATTTAAATATTAAATAAAATATTTGAGACAAAAAATTTGTTTCATTTAAATGCTGAAATTGATATATCGTCGACTATATAATAAGCACTTAAACGTTCATTTCATGCATATGATTAAACATATAAAGCGCATGTCTTTCGTGGAAACATCGCTCAAACACCTTTTATGCTAATGAATCCGATTACTCTCTCGTTTCTATTCACGTGCCTATTCTTGCGTGCCCTTCAGCAACGGTTCAGCGCACACCGTTAAATGCAAACGACGGATTGTAATAAAGTATCCATAACAATATCTCACCGCTTATGCATTCACGAAAAAAATGAATGAAGCAACTTGGATTATTTCGAATACTAGGAGAGTCATCGATGTATGTGTGTGTTGCTTGATTAAGGAGACGCTTCATTATCTGCTATCTTGTTCGTACAATCTTATCCGTTTTCATCGGCAATATAGAGAGAAAGTTTACTTGCCTTTACGAAGCATTGCGCAAGTCGTGACAGAAACACGCTGCGCGTGAATATGAGAAATGCCCGTCCATAAACTTGGTCGAAAATCGAAGATTATTTTTATTTAATCAGTTAAAGAGAGCCGTCACACGGAGATTAGGACACGCTACGAAAAAAATGTAGGATTTGAGGAGATAAATATGTTAAATATTGTTTTCATTTAAATTTTCTTTGTACATGTAATTATAATTATTATCTAAATATATGTAAAAAATAATCGATCGCTATGAAATAAAAAATGTACGCAAGCTATACATTGTATGGACAAAAACGTAAATCGTAGATGTGTATCGACCGAATATTGGAACGTTTCAATCTATTTTCTTTTCCTCAGCATAACTTATTCAAGTAATAATGCAACATGTACTTCTGTTTACAACATACAAGCAAATTCAAATATTTTTATAGTGAAATTAAAATGGGTGCCTACATCATTGCTCATCTCGATCTGTTAAGATTACTTTTATAAGGAGAAAGGATCTTTTTGATCATATTTAGGCTCTGAAATAGTTCTTAAATGCAAAAATGAAATAAAAATAGTTAAAAAGAAGAAGATGCTTAGAAAGATTAAGCTCAATCCGGCACATAAAATAAAATCAAGATGGAAAAAATATAAAGACAATTGAGAAGAAATAAAAAAATAGTAAAAAATAAAACAGCATTTTACACTTATGCATATATTAGTATAATAAGTATATATAATAAGTATATATCATAGACTATGTGGAATTATTAATATCAATATATAAGAGTTTTCGTGTAGTAAAAAAGCACATCTAAAAAATGAATATCATTAATATAATAAATATATATTATATAAATAATAAACTCTTATATGATGTACATATATGTGTAAAATAATTCTCTTAGCTGATGGAATTTAATATAATAATGTAAGAGAAAAAGATATAATTTAATATAATACTATAAATAATTGTATACAAGGAAAAACTTATATAATAATATAGAATAATAATAAATAAATAAAATAATTGTATATAATAAAAGACTTACGTATAATATAAAAGAGTATATTTACCTGAAAAAGAAGCATTTCTATTCCCTCAATTATCCTGTGAATGCGTATATATCTTGAAGATACTTATCAATTATTCTAACAAACAATTGGCGAGTGATTGCAGCTCATAATCACATTGAAGGTGTTCATTATCTTCGTCGTTTATAATTTCGTTGCCTTTTCGTTGGCTCGGTTGCAGATACAAGCATCGAACGAGCTGTCGAAAATGAGCGTCATAATCAGACTGCAAAACCTGGCGTGGTCCGCCAACGCATTGGACATACGCCAATTTTTCAGAGGTCTCAGCATCCCGGAAGGAGGAGTCCACATTGTTGGCGGCGAATTGGGAGATGCGTTCATCGCATTCAGGTAAGCGCTGTCGCACAAATCGATTGCTTTGACAAGAGAGCTCTGGCGAAGAGCAATGAATATATTTACATCGTGCAACATCTTGCGTTGTTGAACATCAACATTACGATTTAAATATTTTATATCATTATTAGATCTTCTATCGACTCCTCTCACGACAGGCTTTTATGCATCTATAAATCTACGGTTAAATAAAATTCTGCTCTTAAAGAAGATAAATAATATTTTAACAGATTAAACATTTAGTAGATCATCTTTCTTCCGTCTTTTACGATTATTTGCAGCTAAAACTCGTTCATGTGCAATGATCATGATAATAATTTAATAGATTCTAGAGATCTAAGATAACAGTAAAAGATCTTTGCCACTTAATTTGTGATTAATTTTGCTTCAGGGATAAATTAATCGTGGATTACTTAAGAGGCTATTAGGTAGAAAGTTGTAATAAATTGCTTATACAGATGCATAAAATAGAAAAATAATTTCCTGTTATTGAACCTTGTTATTATTCACAGTAATAGTGTAATAATTATCCTTTATATACTCGTATCACATGTTTAAAATGGAAAATTATCTTACGCAAGAAAGAGAGAGAGAGAGAGAGACAGAGTAGAAGATAAGATCAATATCCGTTACATGAACACATTAGTATGACAAGTAGTCGCTTGGATAAAAATTGTAATTTTCTTACAATTCTGAAGCAGCGAGACAAACTGATGACACTTGCAACTTCTTTTTTGAAAAAGAAAATTACTAGAGCATTAGTTGCGTAACGAATTTACGAGAAAATAAATCGCGACGTCAGGAGTCTCACGAAAAGCTTCACTATTGCAGCACCGACGAAGACGCCCGTCAGGCGATGATGCACGATGGCGGCAAGATCAAGGAGATGAAAATCAAGCTGCTGTTGAGCTCGCGCACTGAGATGCAAAAAGTGATCGAGGCCGCTCGACAGCAAACCATGAGTCTGCAATCGTTCATGCAAACCGCGCCTATAGCGGTGCCGCCGGCCGTAGTCCCCGGCAAGCAGCCCGGCTCGCCGACTGACAGGAGGGAAAAGGACAACGACAGCGAGTCCAGCAAGGATCGGAAGGACCGGCGTGACCGATCGAGATCGCGGGACCGTTCGCGATCGCGCGATCGCGACCGCGATCGTGATCGCCGCGACCGGGATCGCGGCAGGGATCGACGACGCCGGGATCGCAGCAGGTCGCGAGATCGCGAACGCGACAGGCGCGATCGACGACGTCGCCGCGACCGGTCTAGATCGCGGGATCGCACGAGGTCGCGCGATCGCGACTCGAAGAGGGGCTCCGCGAACGATCGTCGCAAGGACGCCAACGAGGATGACAACAACGACGTCGTCTGCGTCGGTCAGTTTCACAAGGATAAAGCGTCGGCGGCTGCGTCGAAAAAGCCGCTCGAAAACGGTATATGGGAGGTACCGCCTCAAACTCAGATGCAGGCCGCTCTATTGGCACCCGGTATTTTAGGCGCCGGCGTCGCCGCTCTGTCCCAGGACTCGGAGACTCAGCGTTCGGCCATCGCCGGCTTCGGCGTGGTAGGTCAGCAGCCGATGTTGCAGTCGGGACAATTTTCTATAAACGGCCTCAATGGCGTTGGTAATCTTATACAACCGCACGTACAGGCCCTCGGTATGACGTCGTTAACGCAAAATCTAGGTACTGCAAATATACCGAGTCTGAGTAGCCTGGCAACTCGTTCCAAGGAACCTTGGAGTCAGAACGAGCAAAGCAGACTGGACCAAACCGGACGATTCTCCGGCCGATCGAATCAATTCAACAATCAGGAATACGGCACGAGTAGTAGCTATCGTGGCTCCAGACCGAATAATACCTTTCTAAGTAAAATGCAGGAGCTCGAGGGTCGGCGCAATCCGCATGCATTTCAAGCTGGGGTCTCCAATTTCGGAAACTATGAGAATGATCGTCAAACGTCCGGTAGGAAATCCAGTTCGAGATTTTCCGACAATAAGAACGGCAGTAGCAGCGGCGGTCATTGCGTGGAAGTACGCAACATGCCGTTGACCGCGACGTATGCGGATCTACGTCATGCGTTTCAAGGTATCTATATCAGAAAGGACGGCATGAAGATTATCAACGACAATCACGGTAATCGCGTAGGTATCGCGTATATCAAGTTCGGTAAAGCCGAGGGGAAGGAACAAGCCCTAACTGGAACGAGATATGTGCGAAATTCCGAAGTAGAGGTGCTTCACTTGGACGAAAGTATCTTCGACAAAGCCGTAAATTCTTATTCGCCTGACAAGGAGGACGATGGCGATCTGAGAAATTCCATGTGTATTCTCTTAACCGAACTGCCGTCCTTCACCAAAGAAATGGACATAGCTAAACTGTTCCACGACTGGAAGATCAACGATCTCTTCATCACCAATACCAAGGAATCTGGCACCACGCAATACATGGCTTATGTACAATTCGCGCGACTCGAGGACGCCAAGTCGTCGTTGAACACGACACTGAAAATCGGCAGCAAGCAAGTGACCGCGACCGCGATCAGCGAGGAAAAATTTGCTCAAGCAAAACGTGAACACGAGCAAGTGAGCTTGAATCAAACGGATTGTATTCTCATGCGCGGTTTGCCCTTCCAGACAATCGACCGCGACATCTTCGACTTTTTTTCAGACATCGGCATCGTGCCGCTCTGTATCCATATGATGCTCAATCAGCAGGGCAAACCAGCCGGCGAGTGTTTCTGTGAATTCGACTCGGCCGAGAAGGCGGAACGCGCTATCGCTAAAAACGGTCTGCCGCTCGGCAAAAACGTACCCACTATCGAGCTAGTACCACGCGCCAAGATGCTCGAGACCCTCGGGATGATGGAGGCGCAACAACAGACGCAGCAGCAGCACTTCCCGCCAATGGAGCAACATCAAAGACCACCACGCTTCTCTCCCGGCCCGTTGGGTCACATACCGCGGTTCGGCAATACCGGTTTCGGACCCCGCTGCCCGCCCGGGTTGATGGGTATGCCGCGACACATGCTGGGTCGTCATCCACCGTCTATGGACTATGTCGAGGGTTTCGGTAAACCTGGCTGCGTGTTATCGTTAGAAAACGTGCCGTTCAAAGCGGACATCAACGAGATCATCGAATTCTTCGGTGACTTCGACGTTAAACGGGAAAACGTAATTCGTCGTTACAACGAGAGGGGCATGCCGACCGGGGACGCCCGAGTGGCGTTCTCATCACCTAGCGAGGCGCAACGAGCGCTCAAGGAACTCAAGCATTGCAAGATGCGAGAGCGTACTATATACATGAAGCTGGCGTGAGTTCCGCCACACCGTCGTGCGCAAACTGACGCTGATACGTGAAGGGACATCGTCGGTGACGATGTCTAGGTGGGAGCAAATTCGTTTGGAATGCAACGAGGACAAATGCAATATTTATAATATCAATAGATGTACCTTCGGTGAATTATTCTAAGAGTCGGTTTTATACGAGAATCCTTGCCAATGAGCGCCGCAAGAATAAAGGACGCTTTGACAGTAGAACGTCTTCTCTTCGCGCGTACTACTTCCTCATTAAAGGGCGCGAAATTCCTTAGCGCGTCGATAAATTTGATCCATGTGTACATAGATTGCGTAGATTTAAAAGTGATAATTTTCTTCGTTTAATCATTGCGAAGTGACCATGTCCAGACTATATTTGTCCAGTTGTTATTAAAAATATTCAATCGATTATTTTCTATGTCGAGAACTGATATGGTATTATAGCGCGATCATAGTATTAAGTAATGATAAGTGGAAAATGCGCTCAGTGATTCCTTGACATGAAATGACATTAGAAACGTAGGACTAATCATAGGATTTTATTAAGAATACTTTTCATAAAATTCGTCTTGTAAAAAAGTTAGGCTTCTCCATAAAACCGAATCTTCATAGATCGGCTTTTTATGCAAGCCTAAGTTTTCTGTGAAAAGACCGAATTTTTGAAAAATTTGCAATGTATATCCAAATATAAAAAAATTTCATATTATTTTCTCTTATTATTATTAGTTTCACTACGTGGCAATACCAAATCTTATCTCTTAGTTTTATGTTAAGAAACGGCGGAAGTAAAGTACAAAGTTAGCAGTTTGATCGGTTACATTTTTGCTTTATGTTTTCATGTAAAAACATTTGGAGCGCGAAGTAAGTGTCGAAGACAGACTACGTGGGAGCTGCCCGTGCAACATGTTCCCTACAAGAATGAGTACATTACATACATTGCATATCTTTTGTAATATATGCTACGCATAGTTATACTCTACACGAGAGATAGATAAAATATATGTATATTACATATATTAAATGTACATAGACAAAGATTATGTATCCATCATAATCTTGCGTAACGATAAGTACGTCCACAGTATGTGGGCTTGTGTAAAATAATTTATAGAATGAATGAATAAATTTACAGATGCGTACAATTCACAAACATTGTCATAAGTTTATGTTATAGGATAATGAACACACATTGGAGATACTTCAATAAATTTTTATCTAAACTTATGACTATGTCTTTATTCCAACGAAATCTAGCATAGTATTAACGCACGGATAATTTTAAAATTCATTAAATATATGTAATTTTAATTTATATTTATTTTTCCGAGCAAATATTTTATAATTTTGTAGGAAATTTGTAAGCCTTGGAATCTCTTGGAATATGCAAATTTTGAAGATCGAGACAAGTTTTTTTTTTCTGTTGATTTAAATTTCATCATACTAAAAGAATATACCTTTAATATTCAATCGGCTGCAACATGACGGTACCTGATGTCGACGGCAAAATTCCTGTTACCAGGATCGTGCCATCCTACGGGACGGTTCCGTGACGAAAGAGCGCTGCATCAAATCGGCGCTGCCTAAATATTGAGTCACGAGCTATTTCTGTAGCCGCGCCTCGGCCATAAGTCCGTGACACATCGAACAGCAGTAGCACATTTCAACTTGTGACGAACGAGACCCTTTTTTCATATTAAATTAATTTATAAAAAAAAATTAACGCGCAAAATATTTGAGATTAAATTACACATTCTCTCGTATGTAATATATTTTTGTTTAGAATGACATGAGAGAGAAATATTCTAAGAGAAGCTTAGCTTATTTATATTGTATTCCTTCTTCGAGGATGTAGAAAAATGTAGATTCAAGGACTTAATTTAGAAAAATATAGTTCAAAATTATGTGATTTTTTTAATGATCATAAATATATTCAATCAGATTGGGAGAACTATTTATAAGATAAAATAGATCCCCGTATGAAATATATATTTATATTTTTTAAATATAGATTATATATATAAAAATATATTTTTTACTATAATACGTAAAAATATAAATCTATGTTGTTAAAAATCTTAAATTTTGAACTTATTTTCTCAACCGAGTACTTTGTTAGTTCGCGTACGCACATGATTGTTACACTATTATATCAGCTGATGCATGTGTCGCTTAAATTCATGATTGTCAAGACAGAAACGTTTATTCTAAGCAAATATACAATTCAAAATCGAATTTATAAAAATTGAACATTCAAAATGCGTATATATATCATAATAAACGGTTTTTTATTGCCTTTGAATTTTTTCAGTATCACATATTGATGATATCGCATAATTTATGACTATGTGAAAAATTATAAAAACACTTTTATTTTATTTCTTGCATTATTATATTTCTTATAACAGTTAATATATATGTATAATTATATTACTATATTATATTATAAGTATTAATTTAGTAGAAAAGTATTAATTTAGTAGAAAAAATATCACCGAATTTATTTTTGACAGTTATTTATTTTTGCTTTAGTAAACGATAAATATGACTAATGTAACTAGTGATCGCTTGATTTAGCGATTTTCAACCATTTCCATCATAATGCCTATCGTATACAGGAAGATTGCGATTAACCTTGTTCGATTTACCGTCGATACCGGAAGTTCGACTTTATCTATAAATACATATATCCGAAACACATTTGACACCGGATAGAGTGAAACGAGAAAAAAAATAGTATTTTGACATATAGTTTTTTTATCTTAGATTTTTCCATAAAGAGTTAAGAGATACACTTATTTTATGTTTATAAATCTTAAAGCGCAGTAGAAAAACTAAATATATAATTAAGAAACGCATCTGTCGATCGGCTTAGAATCTAATTTGCGTGTCTCTGTTCGATATAGACGCACATTTGTTACAGTTATGTAACAATAATTGCTTCCTACATATGATCGAGAGCTAACAAAACGAGACATCTCCCGTTGCAACGACGTCGTTGACGTCGTTGCGTTACGAATTGCGTAATCGATATTCGATATCGCGATGCAAATTACGGCGCTGACGATATATCTACGCCCCTTCGTGTACGTATGCACATCTGCGGACCGATCTGCACCGCAAGGACAAAACTGAAATAGAGGCGGTGAACAAAGAGCGGAAATCTCTCGGTGGAGGCGTGACAAACTGGTCCGTTCTGCACCAGCCTAAAAACAGACGGGATCTCCGGAAGTAACAAAAACAAATTGTGCATGTAGCTCAGACTTAAATGTAACCGTGCAAATATCGTATTTTCCATCTTTTAAATCATATCTTTTTTAAAAAATGGTGGTTGGTTTTTTCTGAAAAAAAAAAAATTTTTTTTATAAAATCCTATTCCAATTATTTGGATTGATTGGACGTTCGATATAATTACAAATAGAAAATTCAATCTGACGCAAATTTAGACAAAAAACGAAGAAGAAAAAAAAATAGATGGATGAAAAAAAAATAATGATCCATTTGTTTTTTACGATAATAAGTGAAAAAGTTAAAAGGTTCGTTTTGGCTGTGTTTTGCAATCACATACGGAGTCCGGAAAAAAAAAGATTAAAGGCAACTCAGAAAATTCCAATTGACAAGACTGGAAATAATCACTTCTATATCACTTTATTACTTTACCGCTGATGGACTTAATCACACGTGATCGGAAAATGCAGCTGAGACAGAGGCTGACTTTGAAATCCTTTTATGATACTCTCGAAATTTTTCTAAAGATTCCTCTCTTTTTGATCAAAATCATACTCTATCCTTCATTTTCTAAATTAGTATTTTTTTCCATTTTATATGTATAAAATTGGCCTTCCTTTTTTTGAAATCGAGAAAAATTATCAATATGCTTGCACGTATAAGAATCGCATGTTGCAGATATAATTGCGTCATAAAATAATTTATCCCTTCCAAACTTCTCCTTTCGACGACTCGAGGAGACTCGCAAAGGAAATTTCATCCGCTGTATTTCGTGTCAGCGCCCACTCGGGATTACGCATCTACCACTTTAAGTAACGCGTTATCATCGTATGCATTGCAAGTTTATCGATGACAAGTATTCCAAGGAATTCCGGTCATCTGGTAACATGATGGAGCTTGACCATGACAATCATTTGTATGTGGTAATGATATAAACAATCTCGAATGAAAGATACACAAAAGGCGGAAAATATAAAGCATATTTTATTTGAAAAAAATAAGATTGCTAAAGGAATAAGAAAGTATATCAACTGATTAATTGATTTTTTACCTGAAGATTAAAAAATTTAACAAAATATAATTGCAAACTTCTATATTAAAATTAGATATAAATATTGAGGAGAGAAATGTACAAAGAAAGTTTTAGAGAACCAAAGCTGATAAAGAACACTTGTTAGAGGTCATCGTCATCAAGTTGATGTAAATTTATCAATTTATCTACAGCCCCAGTACAGAGGGAGATTTTAAAGCACGATGAAAATCTTTCGTATGAAAGAAGGGGAATAAAATAGAAAACTGCCCACGTTAAACTTTCCGAAGAATGTATTCCGTGGCTTCGAGTGATTCATATCTCACTCTCGACACTTTAGAGAACTCGTCCAGATTGTAAATGTAGAAAGGAAGAGCGTAGAGAACGAGTGGAGAGTAGATCGTAGGAGGGGAAGGGGGAGAAACCATCGGGTACAGGATTGAAGAAGAGAGAACGCACCTGCTGAGGGCTTTTGTACCGCGTGACGTTGAAAAGAGATCGACGAGAATGGACGGTAATTGATTACAGCCCAGGAAACGTATCCATTCTTCAGCGACGTAACCCGGAGAACGAGAACGCCTCGCTCTTGTGCTACCACCGCAATTCTAAACTGGATATTTTCGTTACGAAGGACGTTTTCATCTCGAACGTCTCGGAGTAGATCTGATCGTAGTGCATGCTTCGCATTCCTTGCAACCACCATGATAAAATCATATATATATATATATATATATATGTATACTCGTATTATTGTACGTACGTTATCAACTTTATCAATTAACGTTATCAATTATTAATATAAATAATTGTTGATGCTACGCTTATTACATCTCTATGAAAAAGGATAATGTGATTATATTCTTTTTTTTTTAAATGCGATGTATGATATTTTTAATTTTTATATTAATATTCTAAATTATATAAAGCAATTTAGGAGCTAGTGATTAATCTTAGCATTAATTTCGAATTTTAATAGTATCTTTTTAAGCTTTATAAATTTTTACGTTTTAGTTTAAATATGTAAATATAAGATTGAGATGCGTTTTTTAGCACAAAACAATTGCATTATTTTGAATATTTCTTATTCATCATCATGTGATAGATCTTATTTCAATTTGGATATTATATAAAATTGATATTTATATTGTTCAAAAATTTATTTATGATTCCAGGATAAATTTTGATTAGAGGCTAAGACACGGTAAATATAAGATTTACATTTAATAATTAATTTAATATATAAGTAAGGTATACGTATTTTTTTTCATCAAATGACAAATAATATTGTATTGCCGCATTCTTTATCGTGATCTGCAGAGAGCAGACTTGTAATAATAAGGTCAACAAATTTTCCTCTGCATAATTCTAGCCGGAACGTCTGGCGCACATAAAGTCTAATATAAAGCATGTATCTCGCCATCACGGAGCCGGCTGGAAACTCAGGCCGATGTTAAGACTTCGTTCCTCGCGATTTTCTTCGTGTGGAATAAGGATATCTTTCAATATAAGCAGCAAAATATAATCTACTTGTGCCGTTTTATATAATTATAACAATTAAAATAATTTGTGTGTAAAACAGTCTTTTACGATTTAAGATAACACTATTTTGTGTAAATTCAATTAATAATATTTTATAGATTAAAATAATATTTTACATTCACACAAAAGACCTGAAAAAAAGTTTTGTTTATGTTATGGTTTTTGTCAGAAGAGACGCGCACATACCAATAACGCGTCCCCCCACCTTATCTATCCTACTCCCAAATTTTTCACAATTTTATACCATAATATTATTACGGTCACGTCTGAGGTCGGTTGTGTTTCACGTCTCTCACGCCTCTTTATCTGTCAAAAGTGAATTTCGCGTACGAACGAATGTCGGGAGTGATTGTTTTAAGTGCGTTTATTATTCCGCGATTAATGCATCTTTTGATATTCGACATCATTGCGATTTATTACCGAAACACTGCACATGATGGAATTAGAAAACTCTGATATTTTTGAACACGTAAGTAGATTATCATTACTTATATCATAATTATTTGCATTTTTTTGCACGTGGAGTAATGAAGGATATAAAGCTGTCAGCATGATAAAAATAATTAGTATGATGTATATTGAAAATAGTTGCATATATTATTCATGACAAGATATTAAAAGAGACAAACAACATTGATCGATTATGAAAATTAATACGTCTTGTTATATATAAATTAAAATTGATTATTCTTATCGTTAAAAAAATATATAAGACTATGATATAATTCAATCATAGCTAATATAAAGATGTTAAAAGAGACAAACAACATTGATCAATTATGAAAATTAATACGTCTTGTATATAAATTAAAATTGATTATTCTTATCGTTAAAAAAAATATATATAAGACTTTGATATAATTCAATTATAGCTAATGTAAATTATAATCTAAATTATTAGCAAACAAAAATAAATAAAAGAACCCGAGCAAAAAAATTAATAATTGCGCGCATTTCTTTTTCATCATAACAATTATGTCGTTTCATGCGATATATGTACAGATATACGATCGACAAGAAGACACGTGGATGTAGTGTCAATTTAAACAATGCTCGATGATAATTTTAATATTTGCGTAATGATTTTCCAGATTATATACATATGTACTTTACACGCGGTGACTCGGTATGTTGATACTTTCTCTCTCGTTTAATGTTCTCTTCGGTGCGTCTCATTGTACCTTGTATTGTTCTTACGCGTATACACATGTATTCAATGACAGGCGACAACGACCCCTCTATCGTTGCCTCTTTGAAGAATATGAATGATAAAAGAATGCCCACGCCTGTTTCTTTCGCCACTCGATATTCCTCGCAAGGACAATCGTTTGTTTTCAGAATTCTCTCTCAACATTTCTGGTATGTTTTATCTATTTTTTTTAGTTGTAAAGAATGTTTCATCTATTTTAATTTTAGAGAATAATTCAATGAAAATAATTCAATGATAATTAAAAATAATTGGATTATATCGATCATGTATATAATCGACTTATATAAAACTTATTCCACGTATCAATTATGTGAAATAAGAAAACATTATTAACGATAAGAATCATCATTTTCGGATTATTTACATGCAAAAAATAATTATCTAATGAGAGTAAAAGATTTATCACATTCTAGTAAATATCTTACTTTAAAAAATAGTGATAATCAATATCTTCATTTTTCACTCATTCTTCTTTAAATTAAATTTTTATAATTTTTATTATAAAAATATATATTATAATTTTATATATTGAATATACATTATATATATTATAATTTTTTTACTATTTCATGTATAAAATGAAAATCAATCGAGATAAAAGAGTCAAAATGTGTTTTCTATGAAAGATTTTTTATGATATTTTTTATGATATTATGTTAATTATTAATTTTTCTTTGAAGAAAAAAACTGAAGAGCAAGAAAAAGTTGAATAAAAAAATTGCAGGAAACTTGGCTAATATAATTTCTGGACATACAGATTTCTCGATATTCTCTTTTATCGGATTTGACATCAGGGATGAATTACTTGAAGAAGAGGGGTCGAAGAGACGACGGAATGAAGAGATACGTGATCGATGATATCTGTGGAAAATTAATCAAATCTCGTCTCATCGAGCTGTCAGATTCGTAAATGTCTACAAAATGTTAACGTGCAAGTACATTTCTCGCTATTTATAAACCAGATCGCCTCGGCGAACAGTCGATTCAATTAAATACTGTTATCTTTACAGAACGACTTAGGCCGCTAAGTCAAGACGATTGGTGCTTTCTCCCTCTCTCTCTCTCTTTCGCGAGTTCTCGGCCCTTTTTTTTTTTTACTTACCTCGTTGCCACACGGTAGGATGGAAATACCGCGGGCGTAGATGGGTACCCTTACTTTGCATACGATGCACGCTCGCGTTTCGCGGCGCGTAGCCCCTTCGGCGTGGCCGCCGGTGCGAGAAGGGACCGGCGGAGGAAGGGATGCGGTGGGAAAGAGCGGAGCGAGGAGAGGTCCCCGCGTACTCGGGGAGGCCTTTTGTACGTGCTACTCCCGCGCGACGTGCGATGGACCCGCTCCCGGAGTGGACGTGGACGCGAGTTGGAATCGCAGTAGTATAGTGGCTGCCGCCGCGCGGGAATTGGACGGGACGGTCGCGGCGGCCGCGCTCCTTGTCTTCTCCTCCATCTTCCTCCGAATCCTCGGTCCTCTTTCGCGGAACGCGAGTCCCGAAGATCCAGCGGATCCCCGACCGGATTCTCTCCCATTGATCTCCGGTGAAAGTGCTCGGGAGAGCGCGCGAATACACGCGTGTGCGCGCGCGCGCGCGCGTCCGATGAACTCCACGTGGTGCTCCGGCGCGACGTGAAAGAGGCTGCTTGTCGGACACTGCTGGTCGGGCGAAAGGACACTGCGATCGAGCGAAGGACATGAGGCCGCTCGTGGAGGTCTGGGTGCTGCTGGTCCCGCTGCTCCTGGTGGCGGCGGACCCCTCTGCGCGGACGACGAACGCGGAGTGCCCGCCGAGATGCGTGTGCTTCACGATGCATGTGCGATGCATGTTTCAAAAGCTGAGCCAGATGCCGCGGGTGCCTGCCAACACCACCGTTCTGTGAGTTCTCCCTTTCTTTCCCCCTTTCGTTCTCTTCGCGGATCGATAAGCGTCTCTTAATCGTCGCGACTCGAGGATCTTTTCATCGTTAGGTGATACCTTGTGCAATCGTGACGCAAGCGTTACACCTGTCACCGTAGCGATGAGATTTTTTTCTTGCGAGACAAAAATTGAAAATTGTTCTGTGTATCTTACGTCGAGTTTTTATCCAATGACTCTTGTTTTAGTAACTAATGAAGCGTTTCATTTAATAATCAGATATAATCACAATATTTTATAAATAGTTTTTAGTATGTGAAAGTTTTATCATTTTACAGAAATTCATGATATGATCGTTGTTTGATAAACAGCGCAATTGTTGATAATATTACGGTAAAAGGTCAAGAGAAAGTATACTATACAGATGCGTATTCGCTTATGGGAAAGATACTAATCGAGACGTATAATCATCCCAGTTAAGATCGAGACTGACACAGCGCTTTCAACAGAGAATGCATTCGCTCTCTTCGAAGCATTCAACGAGAAAGATAACGTTGTATATTCCAATGGTGTAAACTCGTTTGAAGAATCTATTTGTATTATAAAATAATCGATAAAAGCGATCGATAAAAATAATAATTGTATCAATATCAATCTGTCTCCAACAATTACCTACAATTGAGATGCATCGTCAGAATAAAGTTGACTGCATTGATAAAAATGAATTATTATACTCAGATTTAGCTAAGGAAATCAAGTTATTGATTCGAGACGCAGTAGATTTACAAAAGGAAATAGAAAATCGCGCTATTTAGAACTATATATAAGTTACGACTAGTAATACTAAAGTGGAACTTCGGCGAAAGGAATAAACGAGAATACAGTAAAGCATCTCGGGATCTCAATGCAAAACTAGAAATTTATTTAATCTGACATTCTTTAAGACTTGTAATTATAAGTAATAGTATATACCAAATTATTTTATGTATGTATAATATATATAAGCGTATATATAAGTACGTGTAATCCCATGATCGATTTTTCTCAATCAAAAAAATAATTTAAATATATATTATTTATATAATAAATAATATATATTATTTGATAATATAAATGAAAATATCAAAGTAAATAAGTTTCTAATTTTGCTTCAAGATATCACGTTGCTTTACTGCTTTCTCGATTTAAACCTTTCTCCGAAGTTCTATTTTAGCATTTCATCGAAACTTATATAGTTCTAACAATAAGACAAATTTTGACATATATATAAAATTTTATGTTTACATATATTATATATTATATTATATATCGAAAAATATTGTTAATATTAACATACTTTATTAAATTTAAATGTTACCAATAATTAAAAATACATTACATAAAAACCGAAAGACAAAGTTTAATTGAGAGACCATATAAATGAAAAATGCAACAATTAAATACATTTTGAATCATCTATCATCTATCTATATATATAATATATATCTATTTAGCTTTGCATTGCGAAGGACTGTTTCTTTCGTTTCAAAGAAACACGTACTACCAGCGTTATCAACGAACGTGTCTTTCCGATGGAAGTAAAAACGATATATCGAACCAGCTTCATCGTGACAATCGTTCTCCTAGTTTGCGTGAAACACGCGAGTAATATTCTGAAAAATATTTAATATTAAATATTCAATATTTAATATTTGAAAGAAAGCAAGATAACACGCGTGCTATCTCGAAACGGCCGACTATTTTATCATTTCACCCCGATTTAGCTCGAACTTCGATATCTGTCATTGATATCGCATCTATAAATTTGTTTTCGTTGGAAAAAAAGGAAAATAATACGGACGATAATCTCTACGAAGAATTCTTTATCATTTTTGTTGGAAGTTGTTGCGTAAAATCTCTCAGACAAAGACGGAGTAACATAATAAACGTCGGCGAATCAGCAATAAAAACGTGATTAAATCCCGTTTGTCCTAATGTGGTTTCGTAGCAATGCATCATGTCATCGTCATGTATCTGTCTCTTTTTCCTTCGATTTACATAAGCAATTTAAAAATAGTATTGCTAACGAGCGTTGCTATTTAATTGTCTCAAAAATAAGATTACTTGTTTCTTTTACTTTAACAATTGCTATTATTTATTGCACAATTTTTCTCTTTCTCTTTCTCTCTCTTTTTTCTCTATATCCTTTTTTCTTTATTTATATATTCTCTTGTTATTTAATTAATTTTAATTGGGTTTTTTTATTTGAATTAGTGTATTTTTTAAAACAAAATTGCACTTAATAAAGATTTTAACCATGACCTATTCTGTATTAGATAACACAGATCATTGTAGCCTTGGAACCGCATTGTGGAGTCACAAAGCCACAATGGGGATAAAATTCATTTAGGAATATAATTGCTTGCATTTAATTTCTTTGTTTAAATAGTGTTTTTCTCTTGTTTTTCTCTTGTTTCGTTATTGTGATAAAAAATAATTTTAATTGCTATTGTAACACACACAATTTTAACTTTATTAATAATTCATATATTCGCATATAAAGATCCATTATACTTTTACAATTTTAATTTTTTAAAATAATTGACATAAATCTAAAAATAATAAATTTAAAAAGAATAATTGATACAATAATTTTTTTTAATACGATGACTATCTCGAATTAATTTTTTCTAAAGTTGAATAGTGACAGCAAACATTTTGGATGTATTACTCGGGTTCGAGACGACTCTGATTAATTCTGTGATTATTGCTCGTGCGATGGTGACGAAATTTTGTTGCAATAAAGAACAAGTAAACATATGACCCGCAGAGAGATTATAATACGTATATATTAAGACATGAGTCACATGCGCGAAAGTTCTCCGGCATAAAATCCTTTCTCCTTGCATTGCGTTCTATGTTTAAATGCGCTCATAACTTATAATCCTGTCCGCTATTTCCGGTAACGATGAGTTACCCAACTCCAGTTCCCTAGTACACTATCAGGTTTTGTTTGGTAAATGCGAATAAAGGATTCTCTAATGAACTGGATAAATGAATTTAATCTTGCCTTTGGCAATTTAATACCAAAGAGATTGCGAGAAAAGTTTATAAACTCGTATGATCACTGCTACAAGATACAAAGAAACGCTGAGCATAGCGATGTCAAACGACGTGAGTCAAGTGTTATCGTAATTATATCTCTCGACAATGTGCAATAATTCTAAATGTAATTTTAATGAAACATCCAACTACAGAGTTTGACTTTTCATTCCCTTTATTATTTGTTTCTCCCTGGGAAATTTTATTTAATCCTCTCTTTTTCTATCTCTGATTTGCACAATAGAAAATTATGATTATCATAACAGTGCGTGTTTGATAGGTTTTTCTAATATATCCGGTTTTACCGTTAAATCCTCGCTACGTGTATCGCGCTTTATGCTATAATTATCTGTTTGCGATTTTTTAAAATTACGGAGAAATAGACGGTCGTCCGTGCTCGGTCAATAATTGATGGAATATTCATTATGGTCGAGTTGTGTCGAGCATCCTTAAGTATCCCGTCTTTCGGAATGTTAAGCGTCTCTTTGTTAATCATATATACTTGTCCGGTGCACGATATCTCGATAATCACTGAGAAATCATCATTCGCGTTGCACGTCGCGCCATAATCTTTGATTACATGTTAATTATAGTGTGCATAAAAAATTGCGGCTGGAGGTTCCGTAAAGGAGGTCAGAAATTATGCATCTGTTTAAACCCTATCCGCGCTCTAACGTTCCATATTGATATATCACGCTATTGTATATAGTCAACTGAATTCGATTAAATACATAAACGCACAAGACATACGTCAGCGATTCTCAATATTTTGAAATTTTTTTATTCTGTTAAAAAAATTTATAATAATGTACACGGTTCGTATTTTTGTACATGCTTATTTTGAATGATTCATGTACTTATTTTTATTTTAATAATGCAAATGAGTACATCAGTGTTACCTAAAATTTTTATGCTCCTATGAATCTACGAGGAGACTTTTGTAATATGCATGAAATAGAGAGGCGTATACACATCCAAGGATGTAGATTCCAGAATATATCTGCTCCCTGAGAAAATGAAGAACCTTGAATTCTTAGAGATTTATGTTATACTTGAAAAAATCACGGAATTCTTATCAGGGAATTATATTGGAACTCGGAGGATTTTTTAAAAAACGAGTCTCTCTTTAATAACTTTGTTCTTATATTATATAAGCAATCGGTAATTCAATTAGCTAAATTAGCCAATTAGTCAAATGATGTTTAATATATTTAAAATATTATATATTAAGAGCCAATTAGCTAAATTATGTGTATACATTTAAAAAAAACATCAAGAGAATATAGAATATGCAGTATATATATTTTCATTATAATATTTAATGATAAAAAGGATAAAGTATTGTATAAAAGAAGATATTTATTTTAAAGCTATTCAGTTATTTTTTAATAATTTTTCAAAATTAGCACTTGAAATGGTCCCTTTGTATAAGTGAAAAGCATTAAAAAAGGAGCACAATAAGAAAATTTATTTTAGAAAATTCTTCCAAAAATCTCCAAGAAAATTCTCTTTGCCTTTTGAACAAAAAAACTTGAAAGATCAGGGAATTTTTTTACAAGATTTGAATAGACATCCCGAATTCGCGTCATATAAGGTGTTAGATTGTGTCATCGTTATAATTTTAAGTATTCGTGCATCTCGATAAATCGAATGGCGATGATTTCGAAAGGCTTGCGGTTAAGCTGGACGTGACCAAAAGAAGAAAAGAGAAACTGAATGCTCTTTCCGAAACGTATTACATTTTCCACCCGCTATTAACGTCACTTAATTTGCACTTGCACGATTTGCCGTTATTAATACGAGCCTTTGATCGTACCGCATTAAATGAATGAATCGCTGATATTTGTATGCATCAACACACACAAATCTCTATGGACAAAGAAAAATCGAAGTGGCAACACGCGATAGTTGGCTCTATAAATAGCAAAATACAGAAATGTATGTACATGTGAGAGATAGAAAGACATAAACTGAACATTTCAATCTTTTTAGGACAAACTAGAGAGGGATGTATTTTTGTAATTCAGGAATTAATGGAGATACATTAATTTTTAATTACTGTATCTTATACATTAATATTCTCCCTTTTAAAACAATAATTAAATATGTCTCTTGATATAAATATGTTTGTCGATAATTTTAGATTTATCTATTTCCTTTTGGATAAAGATATATACACGGTCCGACAATTTTCCATCCAGACTTTAAATCTCCCGCCTAAATGCGTGGCACTATCTGTCGGAACTATATATCGTTAGAAAGGTGGAAATGTCTTCTGTATGTTAAGCGAAGTTTGAACGCTGTGTCATGTAAGATGATTGAATTATGACATTTCACGTGACAGCCCAAAAAAATTGTGTCGGAAAATTATAATGGAACAACGCAGTGTCATAAAATTCCATGCTAAATCAGGCATAAATGCCACAAAAACATTCGAATCGATGAAAAAAGTCTACGGCGATGAGTGTTTATCCCGAACAACAGTTTTCGATTGGCATAAACGTTTTCGCGAAGGTCGCGAATCACTCGAAGACGATGAACGAGAGCCGAGGTTTCGCAACGCCGATACAATCAAAAAAGTTGCCGATTACCTAGCCGACGATGAGAATGCAAGTATCAGGATGATTTCTGAGGACTTGCACATCAACCGAGAAACAATCCGCCTAATTATTACGGAGGATTTGGGCAAAAGAAAGGTCAGTGCTCGATTTGTTCCACACCATTTAACAGATGATCAAAAATTAAAGTTCGGCTCTCGTTCATCGTCTTCGAGTGATTCGCGACCTTCGCGAAAACGTTTATGCCAATCGAAAACTGTTGTTCGGGATAAACACTCATCGCCGTAGACTTTTTTCATCGATTCGAATGTTTTTGTGGCATTTATGCCTGATTTAGCATGGAATTTTATAACACTGCGGTGTTTTATTATAATTTTCCGACACAATTTTGTTTGGGCTGTCACGTGAAATGTCATAATTCAGTCATCTTACATGGCACAGCGTTCAAACTTCGCTTGACATATAAAAGACATTTCCATCTTTCTAACGATATACAGGGCGTTCCATTTTAAAAGTTCCACCCTCATAACTTTTTTAATTTTGATTGTAGAAAAAATTATTTCATATAAAAGTTATATGGCTTGAAGGGGAACATAAGATGGTGTCATTAGTTTGACATTGAAGAGTCACACCTGAAAGTCACGTGAAGGTGACATCCAACTTTTGAAATGGGACACCTTATATGCTTTTGCATGTTTTTATAGTTCATCTCGAAAACTTTCCAAAACACTATAATTAAGTTAGTTTTCATTAAGTATTTTCCGAGTTATGAGACTTGAAATCATTCCTTAATTTTACATACACCATAATATATCTAGTAAAATATTCATTTTTCGATTATCTTGTCTTAATACTTTTATGTACAAAATAATGAGAGGAATTAATTGGTGTAAAAAAAACTCGTAGTTATTTTTAAGAAAAAATATGTAATTTGCAATTAACAATTACATATTTTTTTCTTCGAAACAGTTTTAAAGTCTGGGTGGAAAATTGTCGAACCGTGTAGGTAGGAACTTAATACTACAAATTTCTCTGTCAAAATTAATACGACATTTTATTGAAGCTGTTTCTAAGGTGTTTAATTACCGTGAGAAGTAATTATGTCATCATGAGGAGTAATTTTTCGTTGAGGAAATGGGGGAACTAAAATTACTTTCTTTGATATGAAACGACGCTACACATTTATTGACGTCGATTGGCACTGCAATTTGCTAACACGTCTGATAAATGAAGGTTCCATTAAAAATTTAGATAAAACGGAATGTTTACATTAATTGCCATATGATCGACATTAGTTGAACAGTAATGCTTGTGTAATTTGAATGAAAAAGCGCAAGAGTATCGCATATGGTGAGCAATTTACGCTAGTTAAACGTCGGGAGCCTCTTCCACTTTTCTCGCGGCACGCGTGCGATTCGCTGGCACGATAAGAAATAGCGAGAATTGAAATAGCGGGTCGAGCGCGGGAACTCGAGGCCATAATTTAGAAAAGACGGACCGAATAAAATTGTTAATTAAGAGCCTAATATAACGGACTATCCTTGTTACGGCGAGCCCCCGTAATAATTAAGTATCGCGCTCGATGAATTTCCGAATCGTTGATTCATGCGTATCTGAATCTCGCGATCAGATTGACCCGCACTCGATTTCCTTATCGGCATTTTATATCATCTACTCTTATGTTGAATTATCTTTTCAAGTGCCGTTAATTAGGCATATCTTAATTCAGATTTTAATGACCTTTATCACAAAGCAGGTTCGAGATTTTGAGTTCCGCTAATCTAATCATTTATGACTCGGCTTGAGTATTCGCCGTAATTAATATACCGTTTATCTATCGAGAAAAATAACGACTGTGCTATTTATCCCCGATCTATACTCGAGAAAAGCATTCACACTGATCGCCCATTCTACTTGTTGGCGGGTGGGCGGTTAGCGGGTTCACAATTACGGTATTCTCGCCCATGCAAAAAAATTCTATTTGAATCTATCTATATCTCACACTTAACGCAGAATGCGGTCATCTAAGCGTAACCGCCTGATTCTAAATCCGAGATAATATTGCACACAGTTTTCATATGTAATTGTACAATGTAATCTAATCATTAGAATCGATCGAGTTTATTCTATTTTTATTTCAAATCCTGATAATTCTTCGATAGCACACAAAGGCCTTTTTTTCTCTCTTCTAACGTGAAAAACAATATTGTAATAATATTATGTATCATCAATAATATTATAATAATATTACACATTATTTTAGATTATATTAATATAATGTAAAATTAATATAATGTATATATAATGTATAGATTTTTCTTATATTAATATAATGTATATATATATATATATATATATATATATATATATATCATTTGTTTGCAAAATACGAGTCGCAAAGGTGTTTGCAAAGGCGTCTTTTCTCTTTTTTAACGTGCAAAAACAATATCGTAATAATATTATCATCAATAATATTATAATAATATTACACATTATTTTAAATTATATTAATATAATGTATATATTTAATATAATGTATATATAATGTATAGATTTTTATCATATTAATATAATATATATATATATATATATCATTTTTTTGCAAAATACGAGTCGCGTAATCTTTTTTTTCTTATGAATCGGAATCTTTTTGCAGAGATCTCCGATTCAACAGCATCACGGAGGTGCGGCCGGGGACGTTTCGCGGTCTCGACAAGCTGCACACCCTGCTGCTGAACGACAACCATATTCGACGGCTGGTCGCGGGCACGTTCGAGGGCGCGCCAAATCTACGGGTACTCTACTTGTACAAAAATCGAATCGAGCACATCGCCCCGGGCGCGTTCGCGGGGCTGCCGCGGCTCGAGCAGCTGTATCTGCATCACAACCACCTGCGGGAGATACGCCCCGGCACGTTCAACAATCTGCCGGCGTTGGAGCGTCTATTCCTGCACAGCAACAAGCTGCATCGGCTGCCGGCCGACGCGTTCGTCAACGTCGGTCCCATGACACGGCTGCGTCTTGACAGTAACGCGCTCGTCTGCGACTGCAATCTGGTCTGGCTGGTGGAGCGCACCCGAGAGAGGCCTACGGAGATGGCGGCGATTTGTCAGTCCCCACATAAGATGAAGGGTCGCTCCCTCACGACGATGTTGCCCGAGGACTTTCATTGCAGTTGAGTAAAATTGTAGGGTATTTATTTCCTGAAAGAACAAGGAAAACTTGGAATTCTCAGGGATTTCTTTTGTACCGGAAAAATGAGGGAATTCTCATGGAATTTTATTGAGGAGTTTTATTGAGGATTTTTAAGAACAAATTTTCGCTGATCATTTTACTCTCATATAGTAAACAGTCGACAATATATCGTAATTTTTAGTACTAAAAAAATTAAAATTTTATGCAAATGACAAATGCTTATCTTACGAAAGTTATAACTTTCACTACATTTATAAATCTAGTACTTAAAACTTAAAAGGTTCTGTATTTTCCCTACGAATAAAAAAATAGTAATAAATGCAATAAAAAAATTTATTTTAAAAAGCACTAAAAAGTCTAAATATTCTTTTTACTGGAATTTTGAACAAAAATATCTGGGAAGATCAGAGAATTTTCATAAGATTTGAGTAGACATAGAATGAGGCTCTCTTCCTACTGCTAGTTTTCACTTACAAATTTTCTGTATTATGCCTTACCATACACGTCTCATAGGATTTCAATATTACCGCTGCTGTAAGCTGTTAGCTTAACGATTATGTTGTCACGGTCATTGACATCATTGTGATCGCATGCTGATGATGCAGGGATAACATCGCGTGATCAACGCTAGGATGATTCGCGGTGTCTGTCACGTGATCCTTCATCGAAAAATTAAATCGATACTTCTATTCAAATTCAGTTATCGCCGACTAATTTTAAAACTAGACTTCATTTTCATCAAATCGATGGATGGCCGCACGAGTCCGAAACTACATTAGCATATATTTTTTGTAGGTTTCTTACAAAAAGAAATAATTATATGTGTAGCTGCTACATATTATGTAAGAATTGAAGGATAATTTTCTCGCGTGTATCTTGTAATTTTTTCAGAGAATATTTGTTATAACAGTAATTATAATAATCATACATTTATCTTTAAAATATTAGAGATTCGGATTTTATTTATCTGTATCTTTTTCTAATTATTTTTTGAGTTTTTTCACGATGACGTGGATAATATTAACTAATATTAAGAATAACAGCGAATAAAGAAACGAAAATATTACGAATAAAATATCAATATCACGTTAATTTATCTATTTAACCCATTTTTAATTGTCAACAATAAGAAAGAATTCTTTTTATAGCAAAACCACGTATAGTAGAAGGACCCGAAGATACCGTGGTGCGATTTGGCGAGACGATGACATTGACGTGCCGAGTAACGGGCGATCCGACGCCGAAAATCAAATGGATGAAGAATAAATGGTACTCGGAAGCGGACGATGATAACAGCGACAAGTACGAAATCCACGAAGACGGCGAGAAGTACGTAATTCGCGAGGATGGCAGTCTGGTGATCACCGACATGACTGAGCAGGACAGCGGGGTATACGAATGCATGGCCAGTAGTGATATGGGCTCGACCAAGTCCAGGAAGGCGAGGGCGGTGATCACGGCAGCGTCCCGTTTGGTATTCGCCGAGAAGCCAGAATCGCAAAACGTGACCGTTGGCACCAACGTGACCTTCTCTTGTCGAGTACTGAACAATGGGTTCAGTGTCAAGCCCAATATTCGTTGGCTTCGAGACGACCTACCGATCTTGTTCGGTGACAGAATCTTCCTCGAGAACGATGATACCAAGTTGCGTATCCTCGCGGCTAAGGAATCTGACGCTGGCAGATATCAGTGTCATCTTAAAAGCGTCGACAGAAGCGTAGTCCTCTTCGCGGATCTGCACGTCATCAACTTCATCGCGCCCCGATTGGTCTTCAAGCCGCAGGACATGGAAGCGGAACCGGATGCTATAGTCGAGGTACCATGCCGGGCCGAGGGCAGACCAAAGCCGGTGATACAATGGAAAAAGGATGGTAGTGCTCTTGAGGGCAATAGAATTAAGATCACTCGTGGCGGGAGTCTCCTCATTTTCAACGTGACTCCACAGGACACCGGCAGGTAAGACTGGAGTAATGTAAGCTTGATTAATAATTCCTAGTAATCAGTCTCAGAAGCCTGACTTGCAAATCTACATAAATGATAAAAATGGATATTAGATCGCATTCCTTCATTAAAAGTCTTCTGTATAATAATTATACAATTTTTTACAGATATGAGTGTTCAGCAATAAACGATTATGGCCGCGCAACCGCCGATGCTCTAGTACGCGTTCGGCAATCAGGTGCAACGGATACAATTATCGTACGAGCTTTTCAAAGTGCCACCGAGGAGATCGATCGTGCCATCAATAAGACGCTATCATCCTTATTCAATGGTGACTCATCTAACCATGTTCATCCATTCCGGTTAATACGATTCCCGAATGCCATCAGTCGCGCGGCTGCCAGACCTGCTGAACTTTTCGAGAGGACTCTCGTCAATATTCGACGTATGGTGGACGCCGGCGCTAAAGCGAACATAACCGGTGAATTTCGTTACGAGGAGATCCTGACGCGCGAACAGGTAAAAACAAATAGATAAGATCTTGTGCATCAAATCACAGTCTTTAATCAGGAATCTAAGATTTCATTCCCATTGTCAAGGTCAAAGAAATTGAACAGTTATCCGGATGCACCGGTCATAGACATCGGCAAAATTGCACCAACAGGTGCTTTCACCGCAAATACCGCACCATAGACGGCAGTTGCAACAATCTGCGTCATCCTACTTGGGGCTCATCGCATACAGGATTCCATCGAGTATTGCAGCCCATCTATGAGAACGGTTTCTCGACGCCGGTCGGTTGGGAGAAGGAACGACGATACTACGGTTATCCGAAACCAGCTGCGCGTCTCGTGTCGACCACGTTGATATCTACGCATGACATTACATCCGATCATCAGATTACCCACATGGTGATGCAGTGGGGCCAATTCCTGGATCATGATCTCGACCACGCGTTGCCATCAGTATCGAGTGAATCCTGGGACGGAATTGATTGTAAGAAGTCATGCGATAACGCAGCACCTTGTTTCCCGATGGAGGTACCGCCGGATGATCCGCGGGTTAACAATAGACGGTGCATCGACTTCATAAGAACCAGCGCCGTGTGCGGATCAGGCTCGACCAGCATCTTATGGGGTGAGAGACTGACACGGCGAGAACAGTTAAATCAGTTGACTAGCTACCTCGACGCATCGCAAGTCTACGGTTACAATGATGAAGTGGCGCGCGACCTACGTGATCTCACAACGGATCACGGATTGCTACGGGAGGGTCCTACGATCCCTGGTCATAAGCCTTTACTGCCGTACGCGTCCGGACAATTCGTCGATTGTCGTAGAGATCCGCTGGAGAGCTCGATCAATTGCTTCGTCGCTGGTGATATTCGCGCAAACGAGCAAGTTGGCCTGTTAGCTATGCATACCATATGGTTGCGCGAGCACAACCGCATCGCTCGCGTGTTACGCGAAATGAATCCGCATTGGAACGGCGAGAAACTGTACCAGGAGGCCAGACGTATCGTTGGCGCCGAGATGCAGCATATTACTTATCAGCACTGGTTACCGCGGATATTCGGTTCAACAATTGACGATTTTTTATTATCTTACCGCGGTTATGATTCCAGTATCGACGCTAGTATATCCAACGTCTTCGCTACCGCCGCTCTACGTTTCGGTCATTCGCTTATTCAGCCGCGCCTACAGCGTCTAAACGCCTCGTTCCAATCGATTCCTCAAGGTGCTCTCAATCTACGTGATGCCTTCTTCGCGCCCTGGCGGCTAGTGGAGGAAGGTGGGGTCGATCCCCTAATCCGCGGTATGTATGCTACCGCAGCGAAGTTGAAGCGGCCCGAACAAAATCTCAACGTCGAGCTCACCGAGCAGCTGTTCCGTAGCGCGCACGCGGTCGCATTGGACCTGGCAGCGATGAATATTCAGCGGGGACGGGATCATGGACTACCCGGTTACCTGGAGTGGCGCGATTACTGCAACATGTCGCATGTGGAGACGTTCGAGCATCTGGCCGCCGACATTAGCAGCGCTCGAGTGCGGCAAAAGCTGCGCGAATTGTACGGCCATCCGGGTAATATAGACGTCTGGGTCGGTGGTATTCTAGAGGATCAATTGCCAGATGCGAAAGTCGGACCGTTATTTAAGTGTCTTTTGCTGGAACAATTCAGACGTACTCGAGATGGCGATCGGTTCTGGTACCAGAATCCCGGACTCTTCCGCGCGGAGCAACTTGCGCAGATCCAGCAAGTGTCGCTCGCCAGAATCCTATGCGACAACGGCGATAACATCACTCGCGTGCAACCCGACGTGTTCCTGCTGCCCGAGGGCCGCAATGACTTCGTCAGCTGCGACGAGATTCCCTACGTGGATCTAAGCGCATGGTCCGATTGCTGCGACAACTGCGAGGATCACGACAATACTATTTCTCGCGTACGCAGAGAGGCTAAAAAATATCTTGCGCCTGATCACGACTATACAAAAAAAGTAGAATCGTTGAGCCGTAATGAAAAGGTGAAATACCTGGAGAACATGTTGGAAAAAAGCGATCGAGAGGCTACGAGATTACGAGAGCAGGCCGATGACTTATTGCACAGAGTAAAAAAGCTTAAGTCATTATTAGAAGACGTCAAAACACGATAATTGCATAAATATCCTTGCTTAGGTCCTTTCCTTCTATTGCAGGTAAAGAATTCTTGCGCTTTTGTCTCTGATATATTTTATCTTTCTGTCGTGCATTTATTAAAAACATACTGTAAATAGAAACGCATTATCTTTCTTAGTGCGAGATTTATATCATCAAATTGTAATTGTATGCACATATCTTTCGCAGCAAAATTTAAATTATGTAAAAGAGACAAGATATATTAAGCTATAGAAATTTTACAACATATTCTATTTCTTTTATTATGTACATATAATACAATACATGAATGGATCACTAAGTTATTATTCAATAATTTTATTGTTTATCTGTCATAATAAACTTGGTATGTTGTCCACGGGCAACAATGTCCTTACCATCGTTTTTTGTAAGTTCCACTTCAAGAAATGCTAAGGTCTTACCACTACGTATAGTCTCAGCATCGATTGTCACTACTTCACCAGGAAATGCAGCCTTCAAAAACCTGTGCCATTCATTTTACTGTATATTATAAGCATTTGTATGTTTTGTATTAATGAAGATGATTAAGTTTCAATCATCATATTTTTCAATTTTTAGATTTTCAATTTTTGATATACATCTAATCTTACAGATTATGTACATATATATCTGCATAAGGAATAAAGAAATTCAATTTATCAAAATATTGAGAACATAAAACCAATGTGTAAAAAATATTACAATGACATTAATTGCATGTATAAATAATATTGAAATATAAAGAAATAAAAAAATTTGATAATAAAGGTTTTCGGATATAGATTCTTACGTTATATGTAGATCTACAGAAACGTGCGCAGCTCCAGGAGATTTAGGTTCTCTTTCATAAGTCACTAGAGCACACCATGATATAACATCTATGGCGGTACTAGTGAAACCACCATGTAAAGTACCAAAAAGATTTAAATGCTCTTCAGCCACAGTAAATTGTGCTTTGCATTTTCCATCAGCAGCCGAAAGTAATTGTACCTTTTCAGAAAGATATAAATGTATATTTATAGATAACAATATAATAGAGGATTTTGATAGAAAAAATTGATAATTTATATCATTCTTGTTATAAACTTCTTATATAAATATACAACTGTCAATTACAAACATCAATCTGTATTTTAACGTAGATCTATATTTAAACAGAGATTTTTATTTTGAATTTGAATTATATTTTTCTTAAAAATGAATAAATTATATATAAACGAAAAAAAGAAAACTAAATTTTTTTTACTAAAAAATTGTGTTTACTGTGAATTTTATTAAAAGAAGCAAAAATAGATGTCTCGTGTAAAAAAGAAGAAACCAAAAGTAACATCAAAAAATCTTACAGTATTATTCCAACAATGAAAAATACTTGTGACGTTTCGTTAAAAATAGACATATTCAAATTATAATATATGCAACTTGCAAAAACAATTGAATTACAAATGTCACTGATATATATTTAATTATATATGGATTTAGATACTGATTTAATGAAATTTGTAGACTTACATTTTTCATACATTGACTGAAATTTTTAGTATTTTTCATTTTCTCCCACATGGCGAACGCAAGTTTCGTTCTCGACATTATCAATATCCTTGAATTTCGTATGTCTTTCCTAGTTGTCACGCGCTTCAAACTAATGAGATAACGAAATAAATATGTATCCTCACGTTAAAAAATTAAGTAATTCCTCTATTGATTTTTCTAATGATATTAAAACTATAAATGTGCATAGTCATGCCATTATTATGCTGTATCTCACTTTTACTGTGATGACATCAGTAGTAAAGATTAAAGTCGAAGGTCGAGGTTGTGAATAGCACAATATAAGAAAATATATAGCCAATTCTCGTATTTCTTTTTAAAGAATAAAGGTGCCCTTACATGGCAGCATCAAAGCATCGAGCGTCTGCGCAGAAAACCATACCGGTAGATTCAGAATGCGCAATGGTACCGGTATGGTTTTCTGCGCAGACGCTCGATGCTTTGATGCTGCCGTGTAAGGGCACCTTAACGTCATTAAGATGTCATTTGACGTCACTCTGCTACCTGGGTAATTTTAAATTGTAAAATACTTTAAAAAAAATAAACGTTTCACAAAGTTAATAAAACATTTTTTATTATACAACTCTAATTTTTATATATGTATTATCTTTTTGTATTAAAATTAGATAATTATTATATATATATAAAATATATGTGCATTCACACAAAAATTTGATAAAAAATTAGATAATTATTAAAATATATGTATATTCACAAAAAAATATTACTTTATTATAATTATCTTATGAATTTGTTAACATATTTTTTATATAATTGTTACGAATTTATCATTTATTTACACTAATTAAGTAAAATAACATATAACGAAATAAATAAAGTGAAATACAATAAAAAAAAAAACAATTTTTTTTATTTGTAAGATAAATACAATTTTACTGTCTTTGTGCAATAATGAATACTTTATATTTATTAATTTATTATTATAACATTCATGTCCAAAAGATATCCAGAGATCATCAAGAAGACATCCGGAGGATAAAATATCCCAAGATGACGTCTAAAGACGTCTACGACGTCATCTTGCTACCTGGGTCCTTTGGCTGTCCTCTAGATATTCTATGGATATCTTTTGGACATGGTGTGTTATTAGGGTATAAATCAACTTTTCTACTATAATATGAAATAAATAAACAAAAGCAAGAAAAAAATAAACAAAACACTGCATAATTAAAAAAATTAAATGTGATAAAATTTATAATTTCTAAATTAAAGTTTATAATATTGAAAAATATAAAAATTCAAAGTATAAAAAATAATTATATATTTTAAAAATATATTGAGTTATAGTTCAGGGCGATGAGCAGCTAAAATGATAAGATGATTGTGTATTGTGTGAAAATCTCAGATTTAAATCCTGATATAGCATTTTACATGTAAAGTATAAAGATTGTAGGGAGAAGCCAAAAATAACATAGAGAATTACATATAAATAATTTATTTGTTATTATAATAGTAGATAATAAAAATATATGTCAAATATATCAAGAAAAATTAATAGGATTACCCTGACCATCTAATAAGTGATCCTGTGGATTATCCAGATATTTAGGTCCATCTCCCACTTTAGTATATATTATGTACTTTAATTGTCCCGGTGGTTGTTTTTCAAACTTTAATTTCTCCAATAAATCCTACAGAGAAATGATTATAATAACAAGTTCATATCAAAATTATTAATATTCAGAACATAATACATTTTATATAATACATGAAATACATACTTTTGCAGGTTTGATTTCTTCGACAGGTAATCCTCTTTTGTATTCAATCGCGACATTTGCAACAGGAGGAAAGAAATAATTCAAAACACCCATCACTGTTGGAACATCTTTCTCTAATAAATATAATGTAGCATTCGTCCCAGCATCAAAAGTGTAAGCAACCTAACAATTTTTCTTATTCATAAAAAAATATATGTAATCCAAATTATTTTATGATAGATAGTTATTATAGACAGAAAAATGCAAGTAAGATATAACGAAGATATTTCATACCTTCACATCATTAACTGCATCATTATAGGAATGTATAAGATTCATGATACTGTTAGAGATATTGTTCATATAAACACATGGAGGATATGTATCAAGGCACACAGCATGCATTTGGTTCGAATCTTTCATAGTGAGTTCAGCAAAAGTTTTGAAATCCTTCTCGATGATTGCTTGCTGCATTTTATTAGTTCTTTCCGGAACTGTATGTGATATCCTATATTGTAGAAATTGAGACGTTTCCATGCTTCGTTTCATACCTATTGCACTTGGAATCTTCTTTTGTTCGTCGGTGACCTATAAATTTTATATAAATAGTATTTTATAAATAGTTCAAGTATTTCATTATATATTTATCAAATATGCTTATTTTTGCATAAAGAAAGTTTCTTTTCTTACAACTAGAATTAAAATCCTCATTTCCGGCCAATGAGAAGCAGGTACAATCTGTTTTGCTATGCTGTCTGCTCCATTCTTGTCTACACCCATGTGCCATCTTACAAAACCACCAAAAATACTACGACAAGCTGAACCAGAACCAGAACGTGCTATAACACTAATGTCTCCCTACAGAAATATTTATTTTAATATAATATTTTAATATAACGCATAAATTTTAATAATATAATAACGCATAATTTTTTAAATGTATTAAATAAAAATTATACCTCTACTTTATAAAGCTTGGCTAGTGCTGTTGCGAGACATGCATATCCTGCTGCACTGGAAGCTAGACCAGCAGCAGTTGGAAAATTATTCTTTGAACAAATGTGAATCTTCCAATCATTCATATAACCAGGTAATTGTGAACGTTTCTTAACTTAAAAAAAAAAAGGAGTAATATTTTAAATGATATTGTTTACAGCATTTTTTAAATGAATTTCTTTCTGCGTCAACTTACTCTCTTTCAAACAATTTTGAAGTCTTGGATTTTTTATATCTTGTTCCCTGAAAAATATGTATTTTTATATATAACAATATGAATATATAATACGCATAATGAAACCTCTTGTGAATATACCTCCCATTCAACCAAATATGATCTTCCTTGAAGTCAAGGCTGATCATGACACTAGTTTTTGCATGCAGCTGTAAAGAAAATAAAACAAGAATATTATCTGTAAATATCTGTAAATATCTAACAATAAGAAAACTTTCATGTTCTCTCTCTCTCTCTCTCTCTCTCTCTCTCTCTATATATATATATATATATATATATATATATATATATATATATAATTTATCTTTGAAGTTTAAATTATATTTACCTGATCTATGTCTAAAGTAGCACTTATAGAATCATTGGTTGGTAAAATTAAAGATTCATCTCTCTTTCCCCCTAAAACCATATAGAAGACCACATGAAAAATTTTAATTTAAACAAATGTAAAAACAAAATAGTCATGTATGAGGAATAATATTGCATATCATTATTATAGCTGTTTTAGCACTGATAGCCATTCAAATGCAAATACTTTTGTACAATACAAACTGTCCTTGAATGTTGCTCGAAATATTAAGAAATGAGTGTACAGATGTAATAAAATTTACAATAATAAATTCATTTACAAAGTTGTATTTATTATTCAAATAAATCAAATGAAATTTAAAAAAAAACAAGTATCCTAGAAATATAGTAGAAATAAATATTGACATTATTGTTAATATTGATAATTTTCTGTGCATAAAATATCAAAATTGGCGTTGATTAGATTAGAATTATCGATAAAATTATCAATATTATCAAATATTGATAATTTGCTGAAAAAATTAGAAGATAAATTATTATATATTAATTAATCATAGATTAATTACTTATAATAAATGTCATAGTGAATACGTACAATATTTAATGACTGCGATATTGACTGGTGCAATGCAAGTAACGGTATTCATAATTGAAATTCGTACCCTCACTCAATTGCCATCTATTACTCGCAACTGCGTCCTGCGTCTCACTGCGTCTTCAGATCGCTTGCGTGCGTGAATTTATATATGTTGGAGTGGGGGAAAAAAAAGAAAAGATCAAGACTCTTGGTTCAAGAGAAGGATCAGATCCACGTACCAGCGAATGATACATATTTATAAGGAACTCGAAGAATTTAAAATAAGTTCTGACATCAGAACATTTACTTATATAATAATATATAATATATTATATTTTTGCTTAATATATTTAACATTTGCTAACATATTCTTTATATATATATATTATATATATATATATATATATATATATATATATAAATTATATAAATATATATATTCAAAACTATAGAAATTTGAAATATATTTTCATCCTTTTAATTATATAAAAAAAGAGAGGAGAAAGAGAAAGAGACATTTACTAGCATCTACAATATACTTTAAACTATCATATTTGTTTGAAAACAAATATGATAGTTTGAATTATATTGTATTAACTATATGACAAATGCTTTATTATTATAATCATTTGTATCATATTTTAATAAGTTCTCAAGATAGTTAAAACTTTCGTTTTTATTTAATTAAATCATAAATAAAAAAAAGACGCACAACCTTGAACACACATAAGCATTCCTCTCGGAATCTGAATAGAGAAATATATGATTTACAATAAATATTACATTATTCAACGATATATAATATACTACATGCGTGCAATAGAATACATTAAATTTTTGTGAGAGATTATGCTGGATTAGATGGTAATCCCATAGACCATGCATCCAGTAACTTTTTATCTTGAGGTCCAGCGCCCAAACTGAGCATGAGTCCAGAAAGATCACCGCGATGACCTCGTCCGCTCATCGCATGAACAACTTTTGCAATACTGTAATATTAATGAAAATACGTTAATATTCATTAATTTCATAAATACATATATTTTAAGACACAAATAATATATATAATCATAGAAAAATAGTGTTCTTGTTTTAAAATTTATGCAATATATTTTTTTAACATATTAATTCTTAATATCTGAAAAATTATGTATATATTAAAAATTAATGTGAGAGAATATGATATAAATTTTTCACATAAAAATATTAACCTATTTATTTATATAAATTCTATATATGAACAAATATATAACTTATTAACTATATACATATATATTATTATTATTAAAACATTTTCTGCATAATTGTAAATAAATTCATACTTGGCCCATTCTTCTAAAAGAGTTGCAAAATGTGCTTTGAGAACTGAATTTCCGAGTTTCTCATTGTCAAGTGATTTTTCAATTTTTATTAACAAGGTTGGTAATTTTGATGGTAATATACCAGTCCATTTAACTATATGGGACTTTGTGTTTTCGAATTTGTGTTCATTGAGTATTATATCGAGTCTGCATACACTTGCGCAAGGTAAAGGAATTGCCACTGAGGTATCTACACCTGAAGATTTTAATATTACACATATTGTTAAGAAATTCTTTCTAATAATTGATCATGTAATGTTTTTATATTTTTATTATTTTTTTCTAGAATACCGATAAAATTGCACATGTCAGGATCCATATATTCCAATGTTTGTGTTTTTACTCTTCGACATGCTCTTGGTATAAGACTGCTAAGCCCGTATAAAGATTCCAATCTTTGAATTTTCGGACCTCTTACCAGCACTTGCACACCAGTTAGGCAAGAATACAGCAACTGTCTAAACTGATCCTTCCCTAGTATTTGTTTCAGATCTCGTAAAATTACAACAATAGATTTTTCCGCGATTTCAGCAAATTCTGGCAAAAATTCCGAATCGTCCGAGTTAAAATTTAAGTTTATTGGCAATTTTGCGTTTACTAAAGTAAAATTTCCTTCAGTATCTGGAAATTATTTGTGATAATTATAATTTTTATTAAAAAATAGGATATATTTTTTATAATATCAATTATATTTTATCATAAATATATAATTGCTAACCAATTTGATGTTCGAAATTATAATTAAGTTCGTTATCTAATAAACTCATTGGGAAAATTTCTATGAAGTGCCTTGCACCAGCACTAAGGATCCATACTAACCACATGTGAATTCTGAAATAGATATATTATAACATGATTAAAATACAATTAAAATATTATTAATTTATAATAAATAATTATATATAATTTTTTTCTTTTTTTTATTACAATTCGTATATAATATTAACATAATAGTTACCTTATAAAAACATGCTTCTCATTTGTTATATCAGTAAGTGTTCTGGATTGTTTGGATTTTATAGAACTATGGCAACCTGCTCCACTGTTCGCTGTTGTTAGTCTCATTGCCCTCTGAGGGCATTCTGCTTCTTCCACATTATATCTTTTTTCTGCAAAATCTTGCAGCTCTTTAATTACTTCCTTTAAATTGTCGATTAAAAATGGCCACATGTTCAATAAGAATTGTTTATCTCTCATGAAAACAATAAAACTGCACCACCTCCTAAATCCTCTTGCCTATCAAAAGAAAAACATATATACCAATATATATACCAAATAGAAATATAAAAAAAAACATATACTAAAAAAATTGTATGATATTATAACAAAATGTTAAGCTCTATAATAATTGAAATAATATCAATGACATGACTTGAAAAATTTGTTGTAATAACTACCAAACATGCTTTTTCGTTGCATAATTCACCTGGGCATCTTTTAATGTAAAGGTATGACTTAAAACATGCCCCCTATATTCATCTCCAAAGTAGCAAACACCTTCTTTGCCAGGATGTACTTCGCAGCTTAGACTCCTTGAAAAAAGAAATTGGCAATAACAGAAAAGAATTCTAAGGAATTATATATATTAAATAATATATTTAATAAAACTATGGGAAAAAACTTTAATTTATAATAAAATTGAATTTATGTAATTTATGATTAATAATAATTTATATATAATAATTTTTAATATAATTTTAAAAATTTAATTGAAAGATATAAACTGAATACAATTATTGTACCTAATGCAAGCATGTTTTAACAAATTTCCAATATCTTGCATCAATGATTGCTGAGCAGATAGAAAAGATGTCCTTGTTTCATGTTCATTACTCAAGTATTTGATATTTCCAATACTTTGACAGCCTTCACATTCATCCTGTATATCCTCCAAGGAATTATGGCTCTGTCTTAACACTTCTTTGGGCCCATAAAATTTTAATTTTTCTATGTTTTGTGTATCATAATTACGATATGTTTGCGTGGTAAATATAACTTTAGGTCCATGCATTTCACAGAAGGTGCACAATGCAATTGCAGCATTCATTGCTTTTGGAAGACACAAGAGTTTTTGTGAATCTTTCTTATTATTTATCTAAGATGAAAAGTCCACAATATTATAATTCTTCACATGGTCCTAGGTTGTTCTCTTATAAATTATATAGCCTAAAATTATATCACATAAATATATGTATGATAATTGAAATATATGTTTGACAATTTATAAGAATAAAATAACTGTATTTATGTACTTTATATTTATGTACAGCAAATAATATTGCATAAAATTATATTTTTTTAAATGTGTAATATGAATATAATCTAATATAATAATTGTATTTCCCAAATATAACTATCATATAGTCTTATCAATATAACTATCAAACATGGAGAATAACAATCCATATGTTAATTGAATATAATTACAATTGTGACGTAATGTTACTTTAAATGATTTATATTACTTTGAATGGCTTATGATATAACTTTATATATAAAAACATTTAAAGAATTAGTATAAACATATGTATAAACTTTATATAGGAATATATATATATATATATATATATATATATATATATATATATATGTGTAATGTATATATACGCAGCATATAAAATATTTTGTCCGAAATTTGATTGCAAATTAGAAGTCAAAATGAGCTTTACGTGATTCACAAATTAAAAAAAAAACGCAGAACTTATAAAAAAAAACTAATAATTTGTGACATAACCTTAATCAAGATATCTTTATAACACACAATCCCATCACCTATCTGCTCGTAGATTGTTCAGCAAAACTTTTCCACAAAGTTAATTTTTTTCGTCCTTTTCACGTGATAAAACAAAAATGAAGTCGACATAGTGACACGTGACATTATGATAGCTAATCTCGACGTTGGCTCGACAAGATGAGAATACATACATGTTTGCATGTACATACATACACACACATATGTGCATATATATACATACTCAAGAATGCAAACACAAAACTAAATTTACACAATTGCATATCAGGTTGCCAATAGGAAGGTGCTAGGCATGATAGTTGTCAAAACGATTTCATAGAAATTATATGTACTCAGTTATAATATATCATAATTCTAATAAATTATCTTACTAGGATAAAAATGTATGTGTAAAAACAAGAAGATATTTTATTTTTCTCCTATACATCAAATTCACAACCAAATTTTAATTTAAAACCTTCATAAGCAGCTCTCATCCATATACCTACAGCATGTGCTCCAGGATCTGGATACTTGAATATCTGTATAAATTATAATTTTATCAAATACCAATATCACAGTATATATGTGTGTAAAACATGTTAAATAATACCTTGCAATTTGTAGAATCAACTGCATGTGATTTTGACATATACACTGTTTGCATAGCAGAAGTTTCAGCAGCTTTAACAGCTTCTCCAAATGCATCAACAGGATTTAATCCCAAATTCAGCGCATCTCTTAATTTATGTTGCGCAGGTATCAAAGCATTCAACATACTTCGTTCACCGATTAATGTTCCACTGACCTCAGATAATGTCTTGTTTGCAGAGGTTAAGACATTTAACCACATATTTGCAGTTAATTGCTCATCATCTTGAAATCTAAGAAAACTCTAAAATATTTTTCAAGATTTCTCTCTGCAATCTTAAAAATAAAAAGAATTTCATAATCTCACCTTAGCAATAGTATCAAAAAATAATGAATATATTCCATCTTCTAAGCCACCCATTTCTCTCTCAATAATTCGACTTATCTGTGTAAATGCTATAGAGGGTCTTGTTGCTGAGATTCTGCCTTCCTGCATATATGAAATAATTCTATATACTATCATTGAAAATACATTTGTTGTATCCGTTGTACCTTGATTGCTACTTTTATGACACCAGCAGTATGAGCAAGTGTAGTTCCGTAATTTCCATCACCACATTCCTCATCCATTATATTTAATTGTCTAACACATGCTATTAGAGCTTCGCATGCAAATGTTAGGATTACAAGAAATTTTGGACCATTCTGAGATTGTATCATTGGCCCTATATCACTATTCTTGTATATAATCTATAAAAAATTATAATTGCAAAATTATAATTTTATATATTATATATAAACAATGGTAAAATATTCAATTACAAAAAATATATAAATTTATAATTTTATATATATACATATATATGTATATATGTGTGTATATATATATATATATATATATATATAATAATGTGTATATAATAATGTAAATAACAATGTAAATAAATACACCTGACTTATATAGTTACCTGCGAGCTTTGCGAGCTTCGCTCTTCCGCATTATGTGGCATTATTTCATCGGCTTTCATCACGAAACGTGAAAAATAGTAACTTCTGTTTCACATACTGTTTCTCTTAAAAAATATAAAAACTGACATTAGCTGATATATAATCAAATTACGATATAAAAAAAATTTATTTACTTACATCAAATTTCTCTTCTATATCTCTTCTATATCTTATTCTTTGTCTTGTGAGCGCCATCTCATTCAAGATTTCATTGAAATATTTAATACGGACAGAAAGAAGACTGAGAGATGTCATGGCCAGCTTTTAGATGATCCCTGGAAACGATACTCCCTCTATGGACATTAAAAACGAAGACATGAATTACAAAACAATGTCCACGAATGTTCTCAGAGGGTAACATGTATGTCCCTCTGATAATATAAATAATATAAATAAAAATATAAATAATTTAATTAATAATAATTTATTATATAAAATTATTAGTATGTCTCTCTTTTCACGCTATTATTTATATTATATATTTATATTATATACTTATATTATATATTTATTTATTTATGAGTCTTCTTTTTCTTTTTCTCAACATCATTTATTTATTTATTTATTTATTTATTTATTTAGTTCGCTCTCAGTCTTTTAAAATGCAAAACTAAATATTATAAGATTTGACTTTGGAAAAGCGCGATAAAACAATCGAATCATTCGTAATTCAAATCATTAGCATAACAAAAGGTTTCGTGATACATCAATCGTTTATAATTAATTGATTTAAAATAAAATATACTTCTATAATTTAAAATTCCACGTGTATATGTAGTACATAAAATATTTCGGCAGAGAATTATCAATAATATCATGTTCGGCCTTGACGACGTATAGCAAGCGAGCTATACGAGTACATGTCACGGCTTTGTTATCATTCTCACGGTATATTCGAATAATAAAATAGTAATGTGCCAAACGCTTTGTATATTATCAAATTCTTTTTCCAAATCAATCGTGACTAATATTGCAGAAATCTAAAATAATAAATTATGATTTCCATATGAAATCGATTTTTACGCGCAAAGACACAACAAATTTATTATTTTCATAAGATATATATAAAAGAATTATATGAAAAAATTAACAAAATAATTAATAAATATATATTACTTAATTTTTTTATCATGTAAATTCTTTCTGGGTTTTAATTATTAACAACGTTAAATAATTTTTTCATTATTTTTATGGTTGCCTAGTTGAAAGTATATCATTACGTTTTCAATGTGTGATGAATAATTAATTATCTTTCATAAAAAATATATTTTTTGTAACTACGTATAACGTGATAGATTTCGAAACGCATATTTCACGTAATTTATTTAATCAAGTAAGACTCGTAATGACAAATTGAAAATAATAAATTATCGTTTTGATATGAAATCGATTTATACGAGCAAAAGTTTTTTTAATAATATTAAGTCAAATAAAATTTGTATGGAACAACTTATCGTTTTATTTTTTAGCCATCTAAATATAATCCAGAAAATGCTCGATTAAAATAATCTAGTCATAGATCTAAATAATTAATATAATGGAAGGCTCCATAAAATATTATATATATATATATATATATATATATATATATATATATATATATAATAAGAAGGAAAATATTCATAAATAAATTAATAAATTACCGTTGCGAAAACACTGTATTTTTCTCGCGTTCTTTTTCGCATTCCTAGACGAGATTTTCGTTTTAATAAAAGAGTTATCATTGTTCCTTTCATTAAATAAATGTTAATAAAAGTTGCGTGGCTCGTACCGCCGAGGAGTTGGAATGATTTTCATCATGGAGAATTATTTTGATGAATATAGAAAAATATTTATTTCATCTTTGAACATTACATTGGAAGATTACAGTATCTTTCGCGCATTGAATAATTTATTTACTATCAATTTATATACATGAGTGTCTTGTTGTTATACTCTGGTGCTACCGGCATTTCGTGCACATAGCACGGAACGAAACCAGAAATTGTGCACATTATACCTTTTGAGAACTCATTGACTTTGGCTTTGTAGTTTATGTCCACATTTTCAATGTCCATAGAGGGAGTATCACTTTCAGGGATCACCTAAAAGTAGGCCATGACATCTCTAGTCTTCTCTCTGATAAGGAAAATGATACATAATGCAAATTTAAAGAATTATTTGCAATTATCTAATGTGTATTTTAATGTATATTTTCTTTTATTTATTTTTTACAGCATTTCCAAATTGTTTCTGAAAATAGAAGGCTTAAAAGTGCCCCTATTTTATGATTTTGACACTTCAATGAAATTACGTTCATACGCATGTGCGAGAAAAAACGTCTTTAATAAGAACAATAAATGATTTTAGATTCTAATCGACTTGACATATTAAAAAAGGGGGGTAGAGTGAAAGTGAGAAAAAATTTATTATACTAAAATAAAGTGATTATGGTGAACAATTGTTGTATCAAAGGCTGCAAGAATATTTGGCAACCATATAGCAATGTAACTTATCACAAGTAAGCTACATCTGCACGTCTGTATACGTACATAGTATTTACATCCATTAAAAGAATTAAATCGTATATAATTATATATACATAATATAATAATTAATTAACAATTGATTAACAGATTTCCAGTAAGAGATGTGGAAAGATTTGCAAAATGGATGTCAATCGACCAGTTGCGAGACATAAAAGTGACTTCAACAAAACGCATTTGTAGTGAACATTTTACTCCGCAATCTTTTGAGGAATACGGCGTACTGAAAAGATTAAAAAAAGATGCAATTCCTACTATTTTTGGAGACACTCTTTATGTGAGGCTTTCCTAAATTCAGCTAATCTTAATATTAACTAGTAATTATTTATTTAATTATATATATATATTTTTTTTAGAATATAGATGATAATCTCACAGAAGCAGATGATATAGAAACACATGATATTACAATCTATTTAGATGATATATGTGAAAAGCAAATGGAAGTGTTGGATGAGGTCTGTACACTTAGAAAAACAGTTATATTACTATAGAATTACATGTTATATTACTATAGAATTATGATTTATGTACATAGATATATAAGTTAATTTTATAGATATATAAGTAAATTTTATTAAATTACAGGTTTCAAAACCAGATGCGCAAGAAGCCTCAGCATTAAATAAAAAAGATAACCTTTCAGTAAGTATAATGAAATCTCATAATAGTAAACCTCAAAATAGCGTGCAAGATATTTTATATGTGCTAGATGCACATTATAATATGCAATAATATATTTATGGGAATAAATTATTAATACTATTGTAAGTCTTTTCTCAGCAGTATATAAAAGATGTATTTTTCGAATGTCACAAATTGTCATGTTTATAAATTAAATCTCTGTAAGCAAAATGCATGTAATATGTCAGCAGATTGATGACAAATTTATTCAGAAGTTAGTAAATTGCTAGTAAATTAGCATCAATTGTATTTACATTAGGCTTATAATATGTCGGTAAGACCTATTCACAAACCTGATAACAGAAACAGCAGAATCTACATACACAATCTATTGTCAGATTATATCAGCAGATTTTATTACAGTTTTATCGGGTCTGTCTATATAATTTATATATTAATTTATATTTACTAATATATTAAATTTATAAGTTTTCTGCTGATAAAAATTTGTAGTTACCATTTAGCAAAATCTATTCAACAGACTTGCTGGCTGACTGGGTTTTTTGAAGTGGATAATATTTTGGATAAAAAAAAATTCATGACATACGAGGATAAGATTTTTAATGTAAAACAAATTCAAGAAGGGAAATTACAAAGCGATATTTTAAAAATAGCATTTCAAAAAAATGTTTATATATAAAAAGAAAAACGAAATTGCAATTTTATCAAATGACACAGAATTTAAGAATACGAAATAAACATTCTTGCCTAGATGGAAAATTAAAAGAATGTTTAAATAAATGGCTTCTTCAAACAAAAGCATTAGAAGAATCATTTTCAAGACTAATTTTATAAACAAAAACTTTGCAATTAAATTATTTATTCACAAACTCTTCAGATTTTAAAGTAAGTAACAAATATTTATATTAAGTTTAGTGTATTTTATTCATTCTATTTTTTCATGAATTATTAATTGAAATATATATTATTTATTAATTGGAATATATTATTAATAATTGATAATAATTTTATAAACATTATTTGTGAATTGTCTTAATTCTTTATCTACATAAGTCTGCAAAATTATTTTGCAATGAAATATCTAACACAATTGAAAAAGAAGGTCTTTTAGAAAATGTGTATAATGCTGAAAAGTGATATTGTGACATATAGAAAGTGATATTTATTATGACATATATAAATCACTAAAAATGGTTAGAGTAGAGATCTGTTTATGGGAATGGTAATTTAACTTAATATATAAATATGTACAGATAGAAAAATATGTACAATTAATTAATAAAGTTATCATAAACCTTATTAAATATGTGTAATTAAAAAAATGTATTAAATTAAAGTTTAAAATTTTATTTTAATTTTAAGGAAACCAAATTAATTGTTCAAAAAAATATGAATCAGTTAACAAAATTATCATTTTTCATAATTATCACATAACTTCAATTTATTATAATTTATATATTTATTATTATTATGAATCAAAAATTTAAATTAATTTAGGTATAAAGATGACTTCATTCCAGCTGTTGGAATACAATAAAGTGTATAAATCAATTCTGAAAAATTTATAAGATATATAATGTGTGTGTGTGTCTATATATATATATGTATATATATATGTGTGTGTGTGTGTGTGTATATATATATGTATGTATGTATGTATGTATGTATATATGTATGTATGTATGTATGTATGTATTGTAACAATTTAGATAAGTATATTATTTATGAAACTTCCAATTCGATATGAATTTAATGTTGATAATATCTATTTGTTTTTTTGTTCAAACTTATACATATAATAATATTTTATAATTTAACAATTTATTTTAATAAAAAATTGATGAACAAAAATCGTTCAAAAATTCTATAAAGATTGTATTTTAAAATGAAATTTATGCTGCAATATACAGCATTAATTATTAAACAAAAAATATTTTATAATCTTATATTATCGTAATATTTTTACTCAAAAAATGTATACAAATGTAAGTAAAGTGTGTGGACAAATCGATACTATTATAATCCTGAAGTTCATTTGGGAATAAAGTAGGGACAACTTTGTTATTACATTCAGTTCTGCGCGCTATTAAGAGGTTTCAGTATATATCTATATAGTATAAATTTTATGTATTATCAAATGATATATATATTTCAGAATACGGGCACAGAAAAAAGTATGCATGTTTCTATTCAAACATCATATACATATTTTATGGAACGTAAAAAAATGTTACATTTGCAGAAAAAAGTAAAAACATTGCAACAACAACTAAAACGAAGAAATTCAAGAATTGCCAATATGCAAAAAATTATTTATCATTTAAAAAAAGCTAATCTAAATAAAAAAGATGTATATAAGGTATTGCAACAGCATTTAAAAAAATTAATCTTAGTTATTACAAAATAAGTTCACAAGAATCCTATCAATTACATGTAGTCTTCAATCACAAATATAATGTCCCTAAGTTTAACTATTTTTTAACTTGAAATTATTCACAAAATTATATTAAATTATCTATTTCTTATATTAGGTCTCAAGGACTGATCTCTGTTCTAATTGGAAGGAACACAGTTATTGTTTTCGCATTACATGAGAATTCCGAGAAGATAATTATAAAAGGAAAAAAAAAGTTATTTTTTTTAATATATTAAAAATCTTTATTCAATGAAAAGATGATGGAATATCAATCTTTGATTAGTAAGTAATAACTACATATATTGCAACAGTTTTAATTCATATTTTCTGTATATATCTCAAAATAAACTTTTTTATATATCCTATTTATTATTTATATTTTTAAATTATTTTTTTAATGTTACTGGTACAGATTTACAAAAAAATTATATATTTATAGGCATTGCACACACAGAATTAAATTAAACAATGTTTAATTCTATACAATGACATACGAAGTTTTTTAAAGCAAAAGAAAGCAATACATCTGCAGTGTTCAATTGTACTATTAAAATATATAGCAATAATTACAAAATATTTACATTATATCTATATATATATATATATATATATATTGGATAAACATGAAAGAAAAATTACAAAAAATAAATTATTGAATGATAACTCATAAATTTTAAAATTACAATTATAAAGTTTTAATTTAGAAATAATGATAATTTACAATAAAGTTTACAATAAAGCAATATAAATTTCATTTGTGAATTTTATATTTTTAATTCAATAATAATTAATATTTATTGCGTTATAAGAATGATAGGAATCACATAGATATCGATGAAGAATAAACGGGTAAAAAAAGGAAATAATAAATTGTGTGTATAAAGAGATTTATTCATGATCATGTGTAATTCAGCCACGCGTGGCCAAATTTGATTTATGCTACATTACGACTACTCTTGCGAACTTTGCTTTGTCAGACGCGTGATATATTGTGGCATTTAAATTGTCATTAATCGGAGCTCTATATATATATGTATAGTGGCCCGACAAATACGTAATAATGCGAGGAAGAAACAATTTAATCTGCCATAATATAACAATTTGATGAGCAAACTCTGCAATGGACTCCTATTACTGCAAGCTAACGCGAATAATGTGACTTTCAGCGAATAACAATATGATAACTTTCTTACATATTATCAGTCTACGAATTTATGCTAAACCCTTGCTCATACATAAAAGTATATTCGGACATAATCGTCGTAACAATACCCGTAACATTGTCATGCATTCACGCGACCATTGCATGCAATATATACATTTTCTAAGATTAAAAAATTCATCAACCTCACGCAGGATTCATACCGCACAGCACGGGGCCTTTGTATTTAAATATTTTGGTATATCCATTGGTATACACTGTATGACGTCCTCGGGGCTTCGGTTTGTGTTTTTAAAACCTAATCAGGACTTAATATGTATCTTTTCTAATACGAGGGACGTTTGCATTCGCATATCTTGCATTATTCTACTTATTGTCTACTGAAAGTTTCGCAAAACTTTGCTGCTGCTACATTTCGAAGCTCTTTGTACGAGAATGACAATTCTCTGTACGCTATTAAAATTGAGCAATTCTAATTCAATAGAGCAACAAAAGAATTATGTTATCTATATTCCAAAAATTAGAAAGATCGCGTTAACAAATGCATATAAACAACAATTGTTATTAACAATTTGACAGTAAACAATTTTATAATTAATAACAGTATTACTATTATTGCGTACACGTGTGCATTCTCGAAGCTCGCGGATATATATGTATTAATGTATTGCCTTGTAACAAATAGTGTGATGCGATCGTAGTTATATACGAACAATTTGATAGGATTCGATCTAGAATCTTGAACTTCCTCTCACACATCTGTAATTTATATTTAAATTATTTCGTTATCAATTTTCAGACTCAAATTTCAAACGCGACACCGGTTAATTTATGTAGTGTACCAGTTGCCCCATATTTTAGACTACTTTCAAGTACATCCTTAGGAAACCGCTTTCAGATTTTTTGAATATTTCAGAGCGACTTCGTGATGTTGTTAAACAATCGTTTGCCCCACCAAGATTCCAAATCAAATGGTTTGAAGTCTGAAATAATTTATTCATACTTTAACGCGATTTTCAGGAGAGAGACTTTGTACAGTTAATTATTGTAATATATAATGTGAGGAACAAGGATATTATAATTAATTTTAAAACAATGTACAACAAATATTGTTATATATAATAATGTTACATTTACCTTGAAGGCTATTGTTTGGTTCACCATCATTGTAATATACTATGGAATTAGGATCTGTAGCAAGCAAAACATACATATATTGTAATATATTAGAATGTTTTTCTTTTGTAATTATACTATTTTTATATAGAATGTAGAAAATTAAACTAGAAATAGGATAATTCTGTTTATGGAGAAATAAATAAAAAATATAAAATAAAAATTTATTTTATATGTATGTATTGAATGCAATTGAAAAAGATTATTTTCAATATAGAAATATATATGTGTATGTGTGTGTGCAAAGAAAAAGACAAATAATAATATTATTGCAAATTGCTAATTAATTTTGGTTTGTCGTATTACTACTTACTGCAAAATTCTGTACATTCTGTGCCATTGCAACACTCGCATCTTTGCAGTGTACTAACTTGATTCCATGCTATTAAAAAAAAAATAAAAATTTGGCTCAATTTTAAAGAGGATATATATCACACAATATATATGTAAAATTTTTATTTTTTTTCTTGAACTAGAATTTCACACCAACACCTCTTTTGAAGATCACATTTTCCTCTATCACACCTCATTTAGTCTATTCATCTCATATGTAACATTCAAGAAAGCAACTCTACATTCTATCGCATGCAGAGAACTTTTCTACCTACATTGTCTAATAAATAAGACAAGTTCCTTGTGTTGCGGCGAAATGTCTTCTTGCATCTGATGTCGCTGTGAGATGAGCTTCGATTTCCCGTTTATATGGAAGACCGGCTTTGGTACATTACTGTGAGCGTGAAATATATGAATAGAGACTTCATTATAAGTACTAAAGCAAATAATTTTTTTTGTTATGCATTATTACACACGCTTACAATCTTATGTAACAGTATGCAATGTATTGTTAAAATTGCTTGTCATGTAAATATATAGCATAATCTATAAACGATGCTTGCATTTACGTGAATAGTTGTAGAACGCGATTCGCATACGCTAGCATATGATGTAATAAAGAAATTTTATTTGAAAATTTATTGGAAAAAAAAATTTAGCATTTTAATATAGTTTTTTAATATAATAAAAAATTATCACTATATAACTGTAAAACATCTTTCTTATTACATCATACGTTAACGCGCTAAAAAAATGTAAGCCTCGCGCTAAGAGGCAAATTTTCAATAATAAATTTTCGCATTATATTGCATTAAATAAGCCTGATCAGAAATCTCGACGAGTGACGCATCACACAAACAAATCGCACAAATTATAAAAACTAATATAAGTAATGTGGAATTTCGGCGATTTTACGCCGCAAGTTACACGTGAGCCTCTCGGAAGAGAACTCAAACTCTGCTTTTTGTAAATTCCTTAATTTCAATATCACACAGAGCATTAATCGTACGTCGAAATTAAGAAATCTACAGCAATCGTACGTCGAAATTAAGAAATCTACCAAAGACGGAGTCGATTGGTTCGATTGCCGAGAGTTCATATGATGAATTGCGTAATCGCCCGGCGCAGCGGGGGAGAGGGAGGAACGCATGGAAAAGAAGTTCGAAAAAGAGGTTAAGATCTATCGCTTTCTTTCTCTATTTCTCGCTCGCTCTTCCTCTCTCTCTCTCGCTCTCTCTCACCGGGTGACCTCGTGGTCGGGATCCTCGGGATCGGCCTTCCTCGTCATATCACGTAGAGTTTCCAGCCTCTCGAGTTTCTGACTGATCCCTGCGAAAAGCGACGATTCGCGAGAAGTCAGTTTTTCACAGTCAGTTTTTTGTTTTTTTTTTCTTTTTTTTTTTTCGCGATCGATCGCCGATCGTCGACAATCTCGACGGACGCGAGAAATCCAGAATCAAGTACCTCGTCGTGTTTTCGCTACGATCTTGCTAGGTCCCTTAGACACGGTATACATGATCCTCGTCCTCGGAGAAGTGCGGGAACCTCGTTTCGCGTGCGCGATGCCCAGATCATCCGCGAGCGAGTCGTTGTCACGCTTGTCGCGTGTTCACAGACGGATCGTCGCAACAAATTGCTGCCGATAGCGAGGCAAGCCCCCGGTGATTACTCCCCGGCTTCTACCACGCGCTTACGAAATCACGAACTGGTGCTACTCATGATGACGAACTTGGTTAGAGATTGGACTACTGGACCCACGGAAAAGAGTGGGAGACAGTGCGATAGTGGATGCGGGAGAGAAATTTCTTGAATATCGAGACATCGATGAGTCTGTTCTTTTTAGCTGCACTAGTGCAAGATTTCTCTCTGGTTAGAGTGAAAGAAAGTACGTTTGTCACTTTCTATCTTATTGCAGCAGTGCAGCTAAAAAGAACAGACCCGATGTTACAATCGCTTATCTCATTGTTTTTTTCCTTATTAAGATAAAATACATAAAATACAAGAAGTAAGATATGTCTTACCATTAATTTCCAAGGAATTTTTTATTGGAGTATTTTATCTTGCATTTTTAATTGTGTGATTATCTCTCTAAACAAATAATTAATTTAATTCTTTAAACAATCTTAATTAATTTAGGCCTGATTACACCAACGTTATTCTAGCTTTAAGCGAGACTTAAATATATACTCTATCTTTATCTTTCTTTCTAAATAAATAGACAGATATTTAAGTTTCACTTAAAGCTGAAATAACGTTGGTGTAACCGGGCCTTAATTTCTCTAAACAAATATTTAATTAATATAAAAAATGCCTATTTTTAATATATCTTCAATATATAGATTTATGTCAAGCTAAGATCTTTTAAAATATATATAAAAATAATTGTGTCTCTTCAGATACATATAATAATTAATATAATATAAATTACATAGATATTACATATATAAATTTTTTTTATATTTAAAAATGCAATATACATAAAAATCACAATAAGAGATAGAAGAATAAAATTTTGTTATGATGCACAGTTTTATTTTTTGCATAAGTGAAGAGTACATATTATATCCTTATTAACTGCGAGTTCAGTCAATACAGGCACCGCAGGTGTACTTTTTTCTATTTTTTTAACCATCTATTCGCACTAAATATGCATAAATACAATATAGAAACATAAGCAAAATAAACTTAGGAAGTACAATATTGAATGTTAGGGTAAATAATATAAAATTCTCAGGGATTCATTATGGATAAAGCTAAAGTATCACTTTTTCTCCAGAGCTGTAACATAGGACAAAAAAAAAGATCTCTGGTCACCAATGTTACTGTTGCATTTACAATAATTCCAGAGAATATATTAATCATTTGTATAATATTTTATAATATTACATAACTGTATTAATGGATACTAGCAGTAATAATAAATTCATGATTCTAAAATTTATATATTAATAAGTTATTAATATAGAGTCTCTACAATAGTAGGAATCATAATAGTAAAAATAACAATAATTCTGTAGAATGTGTGTACCTTTGTATAGAATGTCAAATAGCTGAGACAAAATTTACTTCAACATAGAAAAATAGTTTGTTAATATATAGATAAGATCGATTATATTCAATTGTAAACGTTTGTCCGAATATCCATGCATCAGTTCGGAAGTTTGATCTAAATGCGATCTTACTCGATTCTGATTCGATCAGACAAGATTTATCATAAGATCTATTATGATCTCTGGAAATTTTCATGGACGCATATTGTCGCTTATGTACAAACATAAATTAATCCTTAACATGCTATCATTCGCATAATTCATAATCACAACTTTGAAGCAACTTATCCATATTACGACCACAATTTTATAACAGAAATAATATCTCAAATATGATTGTATAGTATATCAGTTACCTTATTAAGTACGTACAAGCATAAAGCATTTTTCTCCTGTATGTACTTTGTCTCCCGTGCCTTTGTATGTTCTATATCTTTCCAGCTCCTAATGTTAAAAATACAAATCGATATTTTAAATTATAATTATTATAGTGATACAGCGGGAACGGTGATTTAACCAGAAAATCATACATGCCGTTTAAACTTAGCACGATAGTCCCAGTTTAGTCTCCCACGTTTTACAACAGAGAGTTCCAAGGTACTTAAAGAGCGAATAAAGATTTGTCTTGATCTTTGTTAATTTGGCGCTGGATATTCTGATTACCGGTAGTCGAAGAATTCGAGGTGGCAGTTGTCGCTGTAGGGAGAGTTGGTAAAGCTTCAGCCGCGGCCGCGCGTTCTGCTAAAAAACGCTCGAATTCCGATGATGTCAAAGATTCCTGATCGCCTTGTCCTCCAGGCTGCAATGTAAAATATACTATTCAACAACGATTTTCTTATACAAAATGTAATTGCAAAAAAATGTGATGTGTAATCCCTTAAATTCGTATGTTATGATTATTTTACAAACATTTGGAGCTTGTTTTTAACTATTATAAAAAGATTAATTTTTACGCCTAGACGATACTTACTGTGCGATCTAACCAGGCTGCCATTTCATTGAATTCAGATTCCACATTCGGCTGAGTATCGAAAAACAAACACAAACATTGAACAAAATGACAAAACAAAATAACAAACAATATGTATTAATTTTGATGCAAACAAAACCCAACAGTAACATAATCGAAATTAAATCTTTTAGAAGCGATGTGCAATTGTGATGTAACAAATATTTAAGCATATAAGCAAGATTCATCAAGTTACCATACCTTGTTTCCTTTTAGTGCCTGTATGTTTCTCTAATTTCATCTATTATCTTATACTTAAAGCAATTTCGCATAAATTTTAACAATTTTACTGTTTTAATAAATTTCTTCAGACTAATAAAAATTCTTTGATTTATCTTTATTGTTAAATAATTTGAAATATAATCTGTGATATCCGAAATTGCCTTATAAGAGATTTATAATAGTGCCATTAATACTCAGATAATCAATATATACTTATATAACGATAACACTTAATTATCTTGAATATATTTATCAAGACAATCTCAGATTTATAATAAGTACTCTTGGATATTATCACAATTGTAAATAACAAATTGACACCTAAATACTAGGCATAGAGACTAATGTATTGAGTATTAACAACACTTGTCACATTAAAGTTAACATCAAATATCAATAATCAATTGTGTAGAATTTGAATGTTTATATTTAATTATATCTTATGGACTTAAATTCCTTTAAAAAGGAATAATTTTGTTGTATGATTCGAGAAGAATGATGATTAGTTTTAGCTAACTAATTAGTTTAAGAAGGAAAGAGAATGTGTGTGTTACGCACGCTAGCGCTAGTAGCTGTCTGCTGAGGTAGCTTAGGATTATTGCGGTTGAGAATTGCCGTACTTAGGCTACCTCCTCTCACCTGCTCCAAGTTATCCTCGTATTTGCTGCCGCTGTAAATTTAAAAATATTAAAATTGATTAAAAATTAATTTATAATATAAACATATACATATGTGTTATAACGTAAAATTTATATCTTTTGTGTGGGTTTTGAAATGATTAAAATATGCAATATAATTCATGTTTTCTTGACTTATCATTTTTGCTAAAAAAAATTTTTTTATATAATTGTGTAGAACAAAAATTAAGTCTTTGTTTCCTATTTTCTGTTACACAATCTTATTTTAACTATGCAATGTTTTCTTGAGATTCAAAAGATTATATTTCTTATAGTGCATACACACACATACATATGTCTATACTAAACTATATATAGTAATATTATTCCATTAAAATAATTTTAATTTCATTAAAGTAATCTGCTGCTATTACAAAAATAACAATTTTATAAATGTACAATAAAATAAAATATAGTACCTATTCTTTGTTGTTTCATATGTTGCATTACGCGATTGTGCAAACATATCAAACTCATCATTATCTCCCTCTTTTTTCTTCTTTTGGTCCATTTTATTTTTATCCACATCTTCAGCTGCACCTATTATTTGGAACAAGATAGAATAATATCAGTCTTAAGAAAAGAAGACAAATATAGCTATACATGAGATATAGAAAATATATGGACAAATTACACATAGAATTTAATGCAACATCTTATATTGTTCAATTTTTTATTAAATTATTTTAATTTCGACGCTTACCGAGTTCGCTCATCTGTTTTGTTAAGTCTTGCATATCGTCAGATAAATCTATAAGCGATTCCGCTTCTCGTTTAGTAAGAGCTGGTGCTGGAGTCGATTCGGCATTCGGTGGATGTCCGATCGCCTGAGCTAATATAGTGCTTGCTGGCACTTGCGTCTTATTTTTTGTATAACGTGAATAACGAAGAAATAGATTGTTTAATTCATCGTTAATGCGTAACAATTCCGCTGTCATTTCGTCATGGGCCAATTTACCGATTAAATCGACAACACGCTCTTGCATTGCTTTACATGTTGAATAGAGTTCCTGCAAATAATTATTTTAATGTATAAACTTGTGTTATAAAAACATAGTCATAAAAAGTCATAAAAATATAGTCCCACAAAGTAAAAAACATATATACATGTGTAAAAAAAAATTATATAAAATTCTATAAATAAATTTGAAATAAAAAAAAAAGATGCATTTAAAAATCATACATTTAATAGCTCAAGATCCGCGGAATCTGGTTGTTGTTTACTACTTTGATCCGGGCTTGTAAAATACGCCAACATTTCCGATAATACACGCATGTTTCCTTGAACGACATCAAGCTCGCTTTGTAACTTGGCCAGTTGTTGTTCATTTAACTGATTTAACTGTCCAACAGATTGTGATGTTTGAGGGGGTACATGTGTTCCCAAAGAGGCAGGCTGTTCACATGTAGTCAGACTTGCTGGAATTTGCTCTGTTTCAGGTACACTCTGTAAAAATATTATTTAGAAAAAAAAAGAGTAATTTTTAATTTGATCAAACATTAATAATCCATATTCTATTTAGAAGATATCTCACTCTTTCTGGCGTTATAATTGGCGCCATGGCATCCAGATCAGTCATTGGAAACTGTATGCCTTTTATTTTCAATTCTTGATAAACCTGTACAACACCCTGAGTGTGTGGCTGATGACGGAATGTATCTGCCCATGTTTGGATCAAACTTAGAACTTTCTCTTGAACTGCAGTTGGTGGTTCGTTTTTGGGACCAATTAATTTAACTAGGTCCTGCACAAATTCTCTTGAACAAGCAAGAGCGTGAAAGCGTTTCCCACAATTCTTCACACATGTCTCCAATACCTGTTACATAAAAATGGCATCACTATGGTTTACTCAATTATAATAGTATGCTATAAATTTTGTTCGACATAATCTTGCAAAAATATTATTATATTTATAACATGTCTATAACTATATAGACTAACTGATCTAATTGACACTAAGTGTATAAATTGATCAAAGGTCAAAAATGTCAATAATGCCTAATTATATCATTTACAACATTATGCTGTAAAGGTACATGCATGACTAATGTATCCTTCAATTACATGACATTATGTAAGTGAACTAGGTCATATCCAATCATATGATTTTATCATTATGGTTTAATACTAACGGTAAGCGTATACATGACTATAGTGTAATTTTTGCCGGCCGCCTGATTGAGCCTGCGTTTGATCGCTTTAATAGCATCCTTCGGTCCATCTTCGGTTTCGTTTATAATATCACATATTTCCATGTTAAGCGTCCAATTCTCGCTTGGTAAGCTACCATCTGTAGCGGACTCTGAAATGAGATAGAAAATACTGAAGGCAAGCTACAAGAACAAGACAACTCGCTATTGCAGTTTATCTAGAGCATAATGTTTTTATTTACATTGAAATTAATTCATTAAAATACGTAGAACGTCTTCTAGTGTACACGAGTTCTCTTCTCTGGCAATCTCAATTTATGTCAACGCGATAATTGCAGGAAAAATGGGTGTAAATACGCACGTAATACGTCATACGGCATGCGTAAATAAAAAGCAGACGTACCGATCTTTTGCCCTACTGGCGTGGAAAATGGGTTGCCTACTCCGAAAAGTGACATCTTCTCGTGGTTAACGTACAAGGACCTGTGTTGTTAATTGCCGCGTCTTCTCACCGTCCGCGCGGCCGCGATAGTCGCCTGACAGCTGACGGATGACAATTGGCGCACACTGACAATCTGTCAATTCCGCGTAACGCCGCCTGACAGAATCATATGACGGTACGCAACGGTACGCAGATACGTGAAATCGCAAGTGTCACGAAAGCGTGCGGTGGCCGCCAATCAGCGCTGCGCAGAATAGATGCGAGACGCCCTTTAAATAGATTTCCCCCTAGGTTTAAGCGCGTTTCGCTTCACCACTGCACTTCTCGCGCACTTTCTCGCCCCATTTCCCTCCTCTTCCGCGTTTTCGCGAGCGCGAGTGCGCCTTTTCCCGGTCCTTCACTCGCTTTTCGAGCGCAGCAGAAAGCGCAGTCGAAGGCCAGCAGCTCTCAATCCGCGAGTCATTCGCCCTTCTGTCCTGTGATTCACTCGGGACGGCAACGGTGCAGTTAGGTATGGATGGTAGGGATTGCATCGCGTAGAAAATAAGAGCCAATCAGACGCATTTTCCGGCGTGACGTTACTTTACCGCACTAATTGCAAATCGTGCTGAATAATCGGGATATTTTTGCCGTCCGCGGATCCGCGTTTTGCGGGCGAAAATGACACGGGTTTCTTTCAAGCGCGAAGACACTTTTCAGGTGAATGACGGCGAATAAATTTCGCGTCGAATAATTTAGCATCAGCTGATCACGATCGTTGTCAACGACTTCAATGTGAGAGAAAAACACATCGAGCCGCATACATTCAGGTATGCGAATGAGACAATGTCAATATATAAGTGCGCAAATTGATGCAAATGTAATATTGGATTATACAAATGTACTGGATTACGCAATTTTTATTTTGCAGTGTCGATGTGAACTACCGAGACTCCTTCATGACATCAGCGGAACACTTTATTAGCCTTATTACAGTAACAAGTGCAAAGAAATTAGCCACTGCGCTTGTTATCTGTTTTATTATATACCATGGAGTCATACATCTTATTTATGGTATGATAAAAGTAACTTTTTTTATCTGACTGTTGATTTATTTGCCTTGTATATAAAATTTTGAGATAAACAATTTTTATATATTGGTTGAATAATTTTATCAAAAATATATATTATTTTAATTCCACAGCAACTCTTTTTCTTATTACTGTTAAATTTCTTCAAAAGTATTTTATTTTTGTCACATAATTTATTGTCAAGAATCTGTTTTTGTAGGTAGTGATTCTTGCAAGTGGTTATTGACAGAAGGTAGATACAAAGGAGATAAAGAATGGCAACCGTACGGCTGCATGATGCATCACTATACGCAAACGTAAGATTATTATCTTCAATTTGCTTTGGAGATTAACTGTTGTATGCATAAAAAAAAGATTGTGTCTTTTTGCAGAGATAGCAGAAGATGTATGAGGTATCTAGCTTTCATGGGCCACCATAATCATTTTGTATTCATTGGTGATGCTAGAGTAAGACAATTATATAAATATTTTGTTTCACAATTTGTAATCGATGGCAAAGCATCAGATCTCACGGAGTTGCCGGAAAACTCCGACTTAGGCTTTAATGATGGACAGCTTAAATTAAATGTACAGTTCTTATGGCGACCACGACTCGATAATTCTATGATAGAAAACCTTAGAAGCTTGGTAACATTTTTTAAATATTATATAGCAAAGAAATATATATATATATGAGATTATATATAATTGGAAATGATAAAATTTCTATACATAATTTGACATTGCAGCAAACGGATGCACCTAGCGTAATCGTCGCGGGTTCTGCCGCAGCTGTGATTCTTGCAAACAATAATAGTGATACGCAACTCAACGTGGAATATAGTAGAGGTTTATTTCGACTGGTGCAACCGGTAGACTTTCTGGCTAAGAAGGGATCTCGATTTCTTTGGCTCTTGCAAGATCCTGTACTTAAGGAAAGACTACCTGCTCAATTGTCGAGTTTAGATAACAAACAAATCAATTTATGTAATAAAGCAGCTGAGAAGGTAATATCGATGAAATGTGTGTAATTCAATTGACAAAATATAAAGGAAAAAAATTAATAAATATTCTATCGTCGTGTATACAGATATTGTTTCATAGTGAGGCTCGCATATGGCAAAGCAGTAAACTAGTCGGTATGGGTGTTCTCGAACAAAGCCCAGATGGTTATTTAGCAAGTCCATTATCGCTCCGTCATAAGGTTCAAATATTATTAAACACATACTGCAATGATCATATGAATTTCGATGATGGGAGCTGTTGCAGTTATCCTGAACCGGCAACTACTCTACAGCTCTTAAGTCTATCTGCACTTGCATTATTGTAATTAAGTATTTAATTTATTATTTGTATGCAATATATATTTTTTTCAAAAGGACTGACAATCTGTTACAATAATTGATAATTTGTTACAGTATAACAATAGGAGGAGGAGTGTGGTTATACAGAAAAACGTGCAAATATCGTTCTGAAGTGTCTTATTCTCATGTTACCGCCGAAGAGATAAATGATACAGAAGAAGCAAGCGCTTCAGAAGTTATACAAATTCAGCAACCTGAGATGCAAGATTTTTACACTCTTATTACATCATTGGCCCTCTTTTCTATCATATTAGCATATTTCTATTTATGCGATAGGCAAGTATAATGACACACTTAATATTAATCTGTAATTTTATTCTCATTATATATTTTTAATAATTTTCTATTTTCTTATATTTCACTTGCAGGACAAATTTTTTTATGAAAGAGAATAAATATTATAGTGAGTTCAGCTTTTGGTTACCACTAGGATATATCTTGGCTCTTGGATTATTTTTTACCGAAGATCGTGAAAGAGGACCGAGAGTATTAAATAGAGAGCAAACGGATGAATGGAGAGGCTTAATGCAAGCAGTTGTGCTCATATATCATGTTACTGGTGCCAAAAATGTTCTGCCGATTTATATGTACTTAAGATTAATTAATTCTGCTTATTTATTTCTATCTGGATATGGACACTTTTATTATTTTTGGCAAACCGGCGACGTGTCTCTTGTCAGATTTGCTAGAGTATGTATTAGAAAAATTATATAATTGATATACTCAAATCGTTAAAGTACGTTTTATGCTCACAATAAAATATAATTGTATGTTTTAGGTCATGTTTAGATTAAACTTATTGACAGTATCGTTATGCCTTTGCATGAACAGGCCGTATCAATTCTACCATTTTGTACCATTGGTGTCATTTTGGTTTTTAGTGATTTACTTTCTCGCTTGGCTACCACCCAGAATATATTCCGGAAGCTTAGCGGAATATGGGCCGAGAGCCTTGCTATATTTTGCTTTGAAACTCTTGGGTCTTGTATCGATAATTACTATACTATATATGTCAGAGGTAATGAGTAATTTTTATTAGAGAATACGTTCAAAGAATAACACCTATCTTATGTATCAGTACAGGTATTTTTTGAGAAAGTTTTCGTCACGAGGCCCTGGAAAGCGTTATTCGTAACAACTGACGATGACATTCGCGAATGGTGGTCTCGCTGGAGAGTCGACAGATACAGCGTGGTTTGGGGCTTGACTTTCGGAGCCGGTCTTGTCGCACTTCAAAGATTAGACCACATTCCAGGCACCGCATTATCCTCCGTATTGGCGTTGATCTCCTTAATAGCATATACCACTTTTACAATTTTATGCCATTCTGTATCAGAGTGCGAGGAGATTCATTCTTACGTCGCTTTTATTCCGGTATAAATTCTACTTTCTGTAATACTAATTGATTTTCAATTTTTCTTTCTCTTCTACTTATTAACTCTTATCGTTACTATATTATATTAATGTTATTTTTTACTTTATTAGATTATAGGATATATCGCTCTTCGAAATGCATCACTGGCATTACGGGGAAAACATTCTGCACTTTTAGCCGGATTGGGTAGAATAAGTTTAGAGACATTAGTTGCACAAGGCCACATATGGTTGGCGGCAGATTCACATGGAGTGCTTGTGTTATTACCTAGATTCCCAGTATTGAATTTGTTGGTTACATCATTTATTTTCATCTGTGCTAGTCATGAAGTAATTTCTTTTAAAATACTTGTTTATATTTAAAAAAAACTTATAATTTCTTAATAGCAAAATTACAATTAATTTTGTATCAGTAATGAAAATTTTATATTTCAGATTCATAGATTAACACATGTTTTAGCACCATATGCAGTACCAAATGATTGGAAATTAGTAGCTCGCAATTTGCTGTTGTTTACAGCTGTATTGGTACCTATTGGCATTCATGATGGAATGTTTTAAAATTTGAGAATGTTTAAAAAATCAAAAATACTTGCGATATTAATGTGCAGAGTGTAAAAAGACTTCATCTCATATGTAAGGCCAAAGCAAGAAGATTAATTAGGTAAACATATTATATTACAGTTTTTCTTACAATATGAAAGATAAAAAGATTACATATCACATCACAATATATTTTAAAAATTATTGTGTAGCGTAAAATATTTTTTATCTTATCCATATTTCACATGGAAATAAATTAAAGAAATAGCAGCTTTTTTATTTATTTGTACATTTTGTTTATATTTTATTCACATCTATAATTTATAATTTTATAAACTTATTCAGTTTTAATTATATAATATATATATGTGTGTGTATGTATGTGTTATATACAAAGTATGTACATACAGTATATATGTATTAATATGTTACAATAAATGTCAGAGATTGAGATTTTAGTCCTGCCTACAAGAAATTACTGCAAAAGGCACAAAGGATGCTATAAAGACAAAAAAGATGATACAAAAAAAGCTTTTCAAATTGATGAATAAGTTTAATTGTTGCTTAAATTCATTTCTATTTATAATTTCATTAAAATTGTCCTATTATTCAAAATACTATTAATTATTAACTTGTTCGTATATCATGCTTTACATGACTGGTATATACATCATAACCAAGAGATATCATGTTATCATAAAGTACTCTGTACCGTGTAGGAAGGAAATAAAAATTAATGACTTGTGCTGGAGGCCATATAACCCATTCAGCTATGTACAATCTGTGTGCTTTCTTTCGGACTTCATCTTTAAATTCTGTCAAGCTACTATTCTCCAGCACAGCTAATGTCAAGAAAAATATACCTATACAAAGAGGTGAGCAAATCACTTGATCTACAAGCACTTTTTTTAGAACCGTACCAATGGTACGTCTAGTCATTCTAGCGTCCAAGAAACTGTACCAGTAATGACAAACTATTCCAATAGACATTCCAGATATGGCCATATTTCTTGTTCTGATAAAACTCCATTTATCCCAGTCACCCTGCAAAGCATAGAGTTGTTGGAATATCATAAAAATTAGCAAAGTATTATAAGTCTATAGTTAACAAACCTTTAATATCTCGTAATGCTGTTCTAAAATATCTCCCGTTCCAGAAAGAGAAATTGATATCCCTACATTTGTATATAGTAAGTTTTTAGGTGAGAATAAGCGTTCCTTTAAGTGATTTACTCTGCCAAAAACTAGTTCAATTCCCCTTACAATATTCATTGTCTAAAAAACAGTAAAAGTAATGAGAAAAATAGAATTTATGGTATTTTTATTTCATTTTCTTATATTTTATATCAAAATGTTTACTTTTTAAGGACTGCAATAATCGGAATCTCATAAAATTTAAGATGTTTTATAAAACTTTATTAGATATAAAAAATTGTACATTTCGCATATAACCAAAATATACGAAACTTCTTTATAATTTTCTCTTAACAAGATACTTCCAATTGAAGTTACATTTTTTAGGTTAAGCAAAATTAAATTTAATCACCAGTATGAGAAATTTATCGAATTAAATTACTTTCACAACAAGATCGTCTTCTTTTCATGATATATTGTTTATTTTAATCATATATTTTACACATTTCGCTAGACACGTTTAATTATATTTAATCACGTGTGCACATGGAGATACATTACATGGGGGAGGGGGTCACACTCTATACATATTGAAAAAATATAAAAAATATAATAGTACATTCCAGATATGCATATTTCTTTATCTGATAAAAAAACTCTGCCAAAGTTCAATTCCCCTTACCAATATTCATTGTCTAAAAAACCAGTAAAAGTAATGGAAGAAAAATAGAATTTATGGTATTTTTATTTCATTTTCTTATATTTATATCAAAATGTTTACTTTTAAGGACTGCAATAATCGGAATCTCATAAAATTTAAGATGTTTTATAAAACTTTATTAGATATAAAAAATTGTACATTTCGCATATAACCAAAATATACGAAACTTCTTTATAATTTTCTCTTAACAAGATACTTCCAATTGAAGTTACATTTTTTAGGTTAAGATATACCATATGAAATTATCGTATACTTCAAAGATGTCTTTTTTATTTTTTTTTTATATTTTAAATTTCCTAAATTTATTTAATCACGTTGCACATGGAGATACATTACATGGGGAGGTCACACTCATACATATGAAAAAAATATAAAAAATATAATAAAAAGTGACAATTCCAAGATACTGATTATCGATACTTCGAAAGTCTCAAATCGATTGATTCATTGACCAATGAAAGAAAAGAATTTTTTGGTCTAATTCTAATCATTCAAATGGACCGCGTCCCATGTTTATAAAATGTACTGAGAAAACCAATGATACTCCGAAATATCTCCCTTAATTAACATTCTTGCCGCCAGAGTTCGCTTCAGTAGTCTACTTATTTATCAGTCATACCTACGTATTGTACATTCCCGACTGTTATCAGCTGATTCCTGATTCATGACATTGTCGCGTTGAAAGGAGAAAAAGGCGGGCTTTCAGAACTAGAAGGATAACCTCCGCGTACGTCCGTTATTCTCAACATTATATTGTACCATGTCTCAGCCATCGGTAGCAGCGTACTTTAATACGCGCAAACGACAGGCATGCGACGAGTTACGCGGTAAGTCTAAGGTTTTGCTGCTGGAGCGAGATCACTCGAGTAGTGAAGCGTTGACACATATCGACGACTCGGAGCAGATTGCACCTGATGAGAAGGGTGAGAGAACGAGACCGTTGATCGTGGTAAAAGATGCCCCCGTGAAAAGCACTCGTGTCAATAAAGCGATTCGAAATATACAGTTTGATTCTTCGAAAACGAATCTCGAGAAAACTTCGAACAGGCCCAGAATACGAGCTATGCGATCGCGTGCAGTATCCGCCACTGATGAAAGCCAGCCGGATATCAGAGATAGTTTGCTGAAGACGAGCAGCGACTCGGGAACCAAGAAAGTCCCCTTCGCGAAGATAGGTATGCTTAGTCCGAAGAAAAAGCTGCAAACTCCCACGAAATCCTCCACCGTCCCAAAGAATACCGTGATCGACGAGAAGAATGTTAAGGAAGAACAATCTGCTAGCAATTGTCCGCTCACTCCATTATTATCAAGAAAGGTCGTGGAGAAACTTGCGAATCACGAACAGTTGCTGGAGCAATCGCAGAAACAGAACGATGTTAAGAAACCTCAAATGCAAAAATTTGAAAAGATAGAACTTGAAATTCCTACGAGGTAAGAAGATTATGCTTTATATTTAATAGTTGAGTAGATTTTCATCTTTTTGTAACATATTTCTTTCTTTTTTTTTTTTCATATGAATAGTCCACAGAAGGGATATAAATCTCCAATTAAAGCTTTGCGAACTCCAACCAAGAATATAGATCTTCCAAAAACAGCCAGTCCTCAGAGAAAGATTTTATTTGAACCTAAAGAAACAACATCAAGTCCGATAAAATGTAGTCCTATCAAAGCATATCAAAAGTATCTGTCATTAGCTGAAAGTGAAATACCTGGATTGGTATTACCTTATAACTATAGATTCCTGGCTGAATTATTCAGATGTGTAGATATGGTAATAAAACTATTCCACATCTTGCATTATATAATTTGGATTTTCTTAAATATTTTATATCATTAGCATGATTTACATGTTTTAAAGATGAAGCATTTGATTTTATCTTTAGGTTTCAGCAATGCTGTTTAACAGAAAAGAAGTGATTACTTTCAATAAATTGAAACCTGCAGTTCAAGAGCAGGTGCGACGAAATTTCACTCTGGAACATTTGGCTCAAATAAAAACTATTTATCCTGATGCATATATTTATCATCAAGAGAAGCTTCGCAAATTTGGTTCAGTATCCAAACAGGAGAGATATGAGTTAGTTTTGACACCAGTGGTTGAAAAAAATAATGGAAGGAATACTCCTGATGCAGATAATGTATTAAAGACTGCCTCTGAAAGTAGCATGAGTCCTACAGTATTGCTTGAAAGAAAAAAGAAATTTTATAATGTTTTATTAGGTATCATATACATATATTGTTTAAATAGATTTATCTCTCTCTATATTGCTAAATAATAATTATATATAATAATATTTAAATCACATCTTATTACAGAGAGAGTGAAAGATGAACATGAGACATTTTTATTAAGTTTGAAAAGTCCAAGATTAATGAATATACCGAGGGAAAAAATAATACGCTGGCATCCCGAATTTGATGTGGAGTCCTGCAAGGAAATTGAACAAGCCGAATTACCTCAACCACCTGTTGTCGAAAAGCCAACTGCTAAAAATGTTCTTGGTAAGAATTACAAAATATTTCCATGGAAATAAAAAAAATGGGAAAATTTATTTTTTGTATTTATATTTTATATTTACTTTTTATATATTTTAAATATTCGTGTAAGATAAAATAAGATAAAATTTTTCATATTATATACATTCATATATATGGTTTTCATATTGTATATATTCATAATGATGTAATATGGTTTTAATGAAAGATAATAAGTAGGACAAAACATATATTGCACAAGAGGATTAAAATGCGTCCACGTATTTGCGAAATGTGTTTTACATAGCTTTCAAAATCTAATTGATTAATCAGCATATAATGCGATTGGTATAAAAGTATTGCTTACATGTAATATTGCTTACATGCAATATTTAAGTAATTATATTGTGCATCTTTGCATATGAATTACCAATCTTCAATCAATAAAATTAATTTTAGAAAATGGATTTAAAATATAGACTTAAGAGAGATTTAATTATTAATAGGATATGTGAGCTTCTATTTTGTTAGCTTGATGAAACAAATTTGTTATATATTAATATTGTGAGTATTCTGTTAATTCGTTTTTTTTACAGATAAAGCTAAATCTTTGTTCAATTGTGGTACACGTATGGAGAAGGCATTACAAAGACTGGCTGAAGCAAAGTTGACTGCAAAATCAAAGTCTCCATCTTCTATGCATGATTCTACAACACAAACCACAGAAGATGATATTCCAAAAGTTAATATTGCCATTACGGACAATCCACCAATTACGGACAATCCACCAATTACGCCAACCACACAAATCAAACATTTGAATACATTATTTAAAGGCATTCCCAAAGCTCTACTCGAAAAGGTAAGAATAAACATTTTAAGATAGCATACACACTTAACATTTATTATATATTTTTTAAATATGTATATATATATATATATAATTGCACTTCAAAAATTGTAATATTTATAGGTCCGCGCAAGGCAGGAGGCCAAAGCATTAGAAGCAATGACAAGAACTCCAAATGTAGATAAGGAAGCTGCATTATATTCCAGACTTCCGGAATTAGCAAAGTTTCTTCGCAATATTTTCGTGGCAGAAAAAAAGGGTGTTTTACCTTTAGAAGCAGTGATACAAAAATTAGATAATTCTTTCAGAATAAAATTAACATCGCAAGAAATGGAAGAGCATATACGGCAATTATGCAAGTTGATACCTATGTGGACCAGTATAATCAATGTACGGAAAGTAAATTATTTGAAATTAGATAAAAATGTTGAACTTGCAAAGGTAATTAAACGATTAGAAATTTTAGCTAATGATAAAGTCAAGACAACATCATGATGCAAATGCTATTTTTCTTATCATTATTTTTGTTTTTTTTAATGCTTGATTTGAACATTTTCAAATATTAAAAATTATAAAACATGAAATAAACCAAAAAATGTGAATATATATAATATTTTAATTACTTATTAATGTATGTTTTCAAGTTTGTTATAATTTTTTATTCTTATTTAATGAAATATGATATCATAATAGAAATATTGAGATATGAAGTTTCAATAAAATATCAATATATAGATTTATATATCAAGTTAAGAATTCAAATCAAATCATATAAATGTTCTAAATTTCTCAAAATTGCTGATAATATATATATATGTAATGCACTGCCTTTAATATTATAATAATAAATAAAGCTATTATATCTATATATAAGATTTAGTCCATATTAAATCCACACATGTGTAATTTGATTTGAATATACAATTATCAATTTAAGACCTTTTGCAAATACGAAAATTTAATCAAAATTAAAATTTAGTTTTATATAATCTTTTTTTTATAGGAAAAAATACATTATATCTCTTTTAAACTATTCTCATATTTCCTTTATTTTTTCAAAAGCATATATGTAATTATTTAAAAGAAAAAATCTCTGTATGTGTTCTTTATTTAATATATTATACCATATTATAACGGCATACTTTAATACGCGCAAATGACATGCAATGATTACGCGACAAGTCTAAAATTTTGCTGCTGGAACGAGGTCACGAGTAGCCAAGCATACATTTCGATATATACCAACGAATCGGAGTAGATCGCACCAGAAGAGAAGAATAAAAGACCAAGCCGTTGATCGTGTTAAAAGATGCACCCATGAAGGAAGACATTCGTGCAAAAGCAGTTCACAATTTCCAGTTCGATTTGTCGAAAGCGAATCTTGAAAAAACTTTTAACAGGCTCAGAACATGAGCTATGCAATTACGCGCCAATGGAAGTCAGCCAGATATCAGACAGCTTACTGAAGACAAGCAGAGCTAAGCTTACTCATTTTGAAAGAGCCCTTTGAGAAGATGAATAGACTTAAACCGAAGAAGAAGCCGCAAATTCTTACGAAATTTCTTACGAAATCATCCATCATCTCGAACACAGTGTGATTGAGAAGAAGAATGTTGAGAAGGAATAATTAGCAGTTGTCTATTCACTTCATCATCAGGAGTCCTAATGATAGAGAGACTTGCGAAGAATGAAATCGTTCCTGTCATATCAATGTTTAAAATCCTAACAGAATCGATGTTGGCCAAAAAACATTACAAATACTTTAAGATTTTAAATTTTATAAGATTCCAGTAATTCAGTGTATTGTGGTTTTCAGTTCCATCCTGAAAATTTTTAGATTTTGCTTTTAATCTCGGCTAAACTTAATTCATATAAGTCTCCAAAATTAGTATAGTTAAAAAATAATTAATTTGAAGTTAAAGTTTGTAGTATTTACTTTACTTTCAAGCGTTTGATTGACCAATCAGGGTAAAAAGAGTAAAGATTTCTTTAACCTAATTGGTCAATCGAAGCATATTCAGCGTCTCTGACCGCAGCCTAGAAGTAGTATGTCATGACGTCATCATATTTATGTATACATTTTCGATTCTTTACTGCTATCAGCTGATTCGTGATACGATATTAGCTGATTCATGATACGATATCAGCTGATTCGTGATACGATATCAGCTGATTTGTTCGCGCCAAAGGAATGAAAAAGCGGGTTTTCAGCTTTCACTTCTAGGGTGCAATCATTTCTAGTCCATAATTCACAACATGTCGCAGCTACCGATAACGGCGTATTTTAATACGTGCAAACGACAGATGTATGACAAATTACACGGTAAGTCTAAGCTTTTGCTACTGGAGCGAGATCACTCGAACAGCCCAGCGTTGACACATGCCGACTCGGAGCAAATCGCACCTGATGAGAAGGGTGAGAGAACGAGGCTGTTGATCGTGTTAAAAGATGCCCCCGTGAAAAGCACTCGTGTCAATAAAGCGGTTCGAAATATACAATTTATTTGATTCTTCGACAGCAAACCTCGAGAAAACTTCAAACAGGCTCGGAACGCGAGCTATGCGATCACATGCATTATCCGCTACCGATGGATGGCAGCCGAATATCAGAGATAGTTTGCTGAAGACGAGCAGAGACTCAGAGACCAAGAAAGTGCCCTTTGCAAAAAAATGGATATATTTAGCCCAGAAGAAAAGTTAAACTCCCACAAAGTCTTCCATTGTTCCAAAGGATGATTGAGGAGAAGAATGATAAGGAGGAACAATTGTCCACTTATTCCATTATCATCAGTCCTGATGATGGAGAGACTTGCAAATCACGAACAATTGTTAGAGCTACTACAGAAACAAGACGCTATTAAGGAACCTCAAATACAGAAATTTGAAAAGATGGAACTTAAATTTCTACTAGGTAAGATTTTCCTATATACTTAATAGTTGAGTAGATCTTAATCTTATAATATTCTTTTCATGTGAAAAGTCTACAGAAGGAAAACAAGTCTTCCATTAAGGCTTTGCAAACTCCAATCAAAGATCTTTCGAAAACAGCCGGTCCTCAAAGAAGAATTTTCTTTAAACCTACAAAAATAACATCAAGTCCAGTAAAAAGTAGTCCTATGGTACATCAAAAGTATCTGTCATTAGATCAAAGTGAAAGACTTGCATTGGTGTTACCTTATAACTATAGATTCTTGGCTGAAGTATTCAGATGTATAGAGATGGTAATACTTTATATACATTTCACATCTTGTAACATTCTTATAATTTAAATCTTTTTAAATGCTTTGTATCATTAGCATGATTTATATATATGTTTTACAGATGAAGAATTTGATTTTATTTGTAGGTTTCAGCAATATTGTTTAACAGAATAGAAGATAGATAACAAAATAGAAGATAGATAACTAGTTTAACAGAATGATAACTTTTAATAAATTGAAATCTGCAGTTCTAGAACAGATGCGACGAAATTTCATTCTGGAACATCTGGCCCAAATAAAAACTATTTATCCTGATGCATATACTTATCATCAAGAGAAACTTCAAAAGCGAAATTTTGTTTCTAAACAGAAGAGATATGAATTAGTTCTGACACCAGTAATTGAAAAAAATAATGGAAAAAGTACTCCTGATGCAGATGATATATTGAAGATTGCCTCTGAAGTAGCATTCAGTCCTATGATATTGCTGGAGAGAAGAAGGAAATTTTATAATACCCTATTAGGTACATATATACATATATATATATATATATATATATATATATATATATATATATGCTTTAAATAGATTTATTTATTGGCGCATAATAATTATGTATAATAATTTTTAAATCTTTTTATTATTAAGAGAGTGAAAAATGAACATAAGAAATTTTTATCAAGCTTGGAAAGTCCAAAATTAATGAATATACCGAATGAAAAAATACGCAGGCATCCCGAGTTCGATGTAGAGTCTTGCAAGGAAATTGAACAAGCCAAATTACCTCAACCACCTGTTGTCGAAAAGCCAACTGCTAAATATGTTCTTGGTAAGAATTACGAAATATTTCCATGGAAATAAAAAAAATAGTTGAGAAAATTTATTTTTTGTATTTTAAATATAATATATTCGTGTATATAAGATAAAATTTTTCATAATGTGCATAATGATGTAACATAGTCTTAACATGAAAGACAATAAGTAGGACAAAATATTGCACAAGAGGATTAAAATGCGTTCGCGTATTTGCAAATGTTAACTTTCAAAATCTCGTTGATTAATCAGCATATAATGCAATTGGTATAAAAGTTGCTTACATGTAATACTTGCAGTTATATTATGCATCTTTGCATTATGAGCTATCAATCTTCAATCAATAAATTAACTTTAGAAAATGGTTTTAAAATATCACTTAATAGGAATCGAATTATTAGTAGAATATGTAAGCTTGCTAGTGCTTGATGAAACAAACTTGTAACATATTAATATTTGTGAATATTCTGTTAATTTTTTTGTAGATAAAGCTAAATCTTTGTTCAATTGTGGTACGCGTATGGAGAAAGCATTACAAAGATTGGCTGAATCAAACTTAACTGCAAGATCCAAATCTTCATCTTCTATGCAAGAGTCTACAACACAAACCAGAGAAGATGGTATTCCAAAGATTAATGTTACCATTATGGATAATTCATTTATGCCATCCACACAAATCAAACATCTGAATACAAAATTATTTAAAGGCATTTCCAAAACTCTACTCGAAAAGGTGAAAATAATCAATAATTCTAAGATAATAGTTGACATTTACTACATATTTATTTTAAACATATGTAGGGTACGGCGTTAGAGCATGACGAACTCCCCGATCAGGATATATATTCCAGACTCCCGAATTAGCGAAGTTTCTTCGCAATATTTTCGTGGCAGAAAAAAAGGAGTCAGCAGCAGTGATACAAAAATGACACTTAAAAAAAAAACATCGCAAGAAATAGAAGAGCATATTCGCAATTATCAGGCATTCTTAATGTTTACTTAGATTTAGACTGTGATAGAAAGATGATTAAATGAATACATCTTATTTATAATATTATCATTATTTTTCTTTTTTTAAAACTTAATTTGTACATTTTCGAATATTGAAAATTATGAATTTTATTATCGACCATGTAAATTTACTTGTTTATTTGTTATCTATAGTAGCACGAAGCAAGTTTCTACTAGTCACGCTAATTCCCGTAAGATGGCAATCGTATATTTACTCAACCTAACCTAACCTAAATTAAAGTATAGTGCACTCGTGTTAGAAGTACGGTTTGTTGAATATTTATTCACGATAGATCAGATAATAGATGATGTTTTAAATCGCGATATCGAAGAAAGTGTCTGTCATGTTCTTAACAAACACGCTATTGAAAAAGCCGAAGGCAAAGTAAGTGAGAAAGTTTCAATTAAATGAACATTAATTTCGAGTTTAGGTTAGGATATTGATGGAAAACGGATATATCTCTAGTCATAGAGAAAAAACGACGAAATATCGCTTTCTATTCATAATCAGAGACGTATGCAAAAAATTGTGCAACTTTTTATAAAATCAGAAATTAATTCAATATATTGTATGTATAAATGGAGTATTTTTTTTCTTTGTGAAGAAATGGGATCACATATAATTATCAATCGAAAGATGTCTATTTTGATTTCTCGTCAAAGACACTTGTGTCTATATAACAGTGTATAATCGAAATGCCTTGCATATATAAATGCCTTGTTTTGTTTCATTGCAGATTTATTTTAGTCCTTACACAAAGTATTGTAAGCGGTCATCAGTTAGTGCGTATGCGAGAGAGACTGGCTGACAAATTAGAATTTATACGCTTTGATCCTCTTGGTAAGTAGCTATTTATACATTACCTTTTTAGACAATATTTTATTTCTTTAGATAATTTCCTATAGAATATAGAATGTTAGGATATATATATAGAACATTTTTATTTGATTTTTAAAATTATAATTTCTCCAATTAAGATTAAAGCATAATACGTTAATTAATAGAAAATATTAATATCGAAATTATGCTAACATTGCAATGTTCCTTTACAGTCCAAAGTGCTGCATTATACAGAGAAAAGAAGAAAATACGTAGTATAAGATAAGATAGTGCATATGATATTTTATTGCAAAATTTCCATCAACAATAATATGCAATGAAAAATATTTATTGTGTATCAATATAGTTATCTTCAGAGAAATACAATTTATATTTATTATAAATTAAATCATGATTATTAAACGACACGGTATAATATGTTTATGTGTATTTACTGTTTATGGATTTTTGCTTCATAAACATTTAAATACTATACTTTAAATATGAACTTTTGATGTTATATAAATATCATGAGAGAAATAAAAAATGATACACACATATACATATATATATGTGTGTATATATAAATGATTATTTCTGACAATATTAATTAATTATATTACGAAATTTTCCTCACATGTATCTGATTATATTGCGCAACAATATTGCAATTTCCTTCCTTTTTATTTACAATTATTTATCGATATGTTCAGTGATACATTTCAACGTTATAAAATTTCGGTCATGGGAATAAAGAACAAGCTGCATCTCGATTCCACTTTACGTATTATTACCGAAAGTTGTTAAGTAAAGCATACAGTCAGTAAACGCTTTGCCTAAGTTTCATGCCGGTCGGAAAGACCGAAAGAGAGACCAGCCAAGAGTCTCGACATCGAGATTGGGGGTAGATTTCCTTTGATCCTTAACAAGGAACACAAAGTTGTATTATTTCCACCTGGGTTTCAAACGGTTCGGAATCCGCCAGGCGTGAAACGCGATCCGCCTCCCCCCTTTCTCTTTCTCTCTCTTTCTCTCGCGCCCGTTTCATTTCTCCATTCCTATCATGGTCCTGGAGACTACTCCTTTTCTCCCTTTCCATCCCCCTGTCTTTTCGCTCCTCCGTATCTTCTCGCTCCTTTCCGATTGCGAGAGACGACGTCGCGCAGTTTACTGATGTTGCAAATTCAATTTCTCCTCTCGCCTGCGGACCATTGTCCAGAGGAAAGGGGGAGAAAAACCGCAGAAGGGGTTGCGTCCCGGAGAAGGAAGCGTCTCTCTATCTCTCGCGATTGTGCGCGTGACAGCTCGTGAGATTCAGAATCTTTCCTGCTTTTTTTCTCTCTTTATCTCCCTCTTCGAAGAAAAGGCTTCCCGACTTCCTCCTCGATGCACGCACGCGAGCCTGTAATTGCGAGATATAAATTTTCGCAGCTTCTGTATCGCGTCACTATTGTTCAAGATCTGTCAAAGCGTATTTAAAGAATCAGACCACAAATCATATATTATCGTAAAAGAATCATAAGTCTATCGGGTTATTCATCGAGGGTTCTCCATTTACGTAAAATTTTCGTTTCACAAATGAAACAGCCCAGAGCAAGAAGCGAAAAAAGGGGGAGAGGGGTAAAAAAAATGTGCAGAAAGCGACTGCAGAGAAGCCACGAAGAGAAAGAGAGAGAAAATAAACAGTAAGCAAAAGGAGATCCCGGGCGGGAGCGAGTTTTTCGCGGGGTGAGTTTCAGTTGCCTCGCATTCGAGGGCGTGTTTTTTTCTTCACGTCCGCGCGAGTTATTCTCCGCATTAATAGTGTACGCGAGCCCGCTAAAGTGGCTTGCTAATTAACTGCGTTATTTTTTTACAATTCTCCGTTCGTCGTTTGCTTCCCGCCCCCTTCTCTCCCTCTCATCCCCCTCACCTCTTAGCGGCGCCCGGATGAGGTTCAATATTTTTTTTCGCGGGCGCCGCGCGCGGAAGAGACTTCCGCATTTTATGTAAAAGCCTCTCGGCCTTCATATGTACACGCGAAGAGAAAAAGACGCACGAAAAGTCGAGATAATAAAGAGAAGAAAAAGAGTGAAAGAGAGTAAGAATTCGAGCTTCTTTTGAATCGCGTCAGGTGCGTCAGAATCAACTTGAATTCACGATATAATTTCCCGGTAATGTACTTTGACTTCTCAAGGATAAAGCAGACGTTGCAAACTGTTTCAATCATGTCTATCGTATTGACGAATAAAAGAAATTCAAGAAAATTCAGGAGGGGCACTTTGATTCGAACGCGAGCGAATCGTAATCGATCGAACACATCTGGAGACACGCGAGAATCGACGACATAAACTCTTAAACCATAATATCGTCGTGTCGAAGTCCGCGTGCGAAATCGTTTGCGGGCGACAGTGTGTGAGAGACGTATGATATGATATGGTATAGAGGTATCTCTCTGTGCCAAGAGAGAGAGGAGGGGAAAGAGAAGGAGGGAGGGAGGGGGTGCAAACGCGGCGCGGCACCCTTCTTTTCTCCGCCACGAAAAGGCACTTGAAATAAATTGAAAATGGCTGGTATCGCTCTGCCCCCTCTCTCCCCCCCTTCTTCCTCCCCCATCGGATAAGTGATACCTACATCATCTACACGCACATCAACCGCTATTTCTCAATCTCTCTCTCTCTCTCTCTCTCTCTCTCGCTATCTATCCTCCTCCCTCTCCGCTTTCCTTCATGAATTCGAAACGCGACGTTCGAGTCGGTATCGGGATCCAGTCGAATCGCTTCAATTAATTCAATCGAGGATAGACGGGAGAGGGTCGAGAGGAAAGGAACAAATAGCGCGTGTTGCGCCTCGGAAAAGTGTATGCGCGAGCATTGAAAGCTTGTTAATTGCGATAGCTGACGCAAGTCTCGCTGTTTCATAAAAAACACCCTAGAAAATCCGATATATTTGTGCCCTTATATAATAAAATATTTCATACTCTTGATACATAATTTTTGATAATTGTCAAGTACATTTATAATTATCAATTACATTTTGGATATTTAAAATGTTTTCATCTTTTCGAAGGAGAGTAAAGATCTCAATTTTTGACATTTCCAATTCTTTATCTTCCAGATTTTTACATTTTTTCTCTATGGTGGAATTTTAATTTTTTTAAAGCGTCCAAAGCTCGCTCTCTCTTCTCTTCAGAGAAAGATTAAAAATTCTACCTCTATCGTCATGAGAAATAGTGTCGCGAGTCGAATAATTCGTCGAATTTTCCGCGCGTTAATGTGGAGATGCATAAACGAGTCTCGCAGTTTCATAAAAAACACTCCAGAAAATCCGATGTAATTGTGCCCTTTTATAATAAAATGTTTCATATTCTTGATACTTAATTTTTAATAATTGTCCGACACCAATTACATTTAAAACGTTTTCATTTTTCCGAAGGAGAGCAAAGATCTCAATTTTTGACATTTTCAATCTTTATCTTCCAAATTTTTTTCTCTAGTGGAATTTTAATTTTTTTTAAAGCATCCAAAGCTCTCTCTTCTCTTTAAAGAAAAATTAAAAATTCTCTATCATCATGAGAAATAGTGTCGTGAATCGGATAATTCGTCGGATTTTCCGCGCGTTAATACGGAGATGCATTAAACGAGTCTCGCAGTTTCATAAAAAACACCCCAGAAAATCCGATATATTTATGCCCTTTTGTAATAAAATGTTTCATATTCTTGACATTTAATTTTTGATAATTTTCAGGCACCAATTACAATTTTACATTTAAAACTTTTCCGTCTTTCCGAAGGAAAGCAAAGATCTCAATTTTTGACATTTCCAATCTTTACCTTCGAAATTTTTACATTTTTCTCTCTATAGTGAAATTTTAATTTTTTTAAAGCATCCAAAGTTTCCAAAGTTCGCTCTCTCTTCTCTTCAGAGAAAGATTAAAAATGTTACCTCTATCGTAATAAGAAATAGTGTCGCGAGTCGGATAATTTGTCGGATTTTCCACGCGTTAATACGGAGACGCATAAATGAGTCTCAGTTTTATAAAAAAAAACCTTAGAAAATCCGATATATTTGTGCCCTTATATAATAAAATGTTTCAGATTCTTGATTATTTAATTTCTGATAATTGTCTGGCCACCAATTACAATTTTACATTTAAAACATTTTCATTTTTCCGAAGGAGAGCAAAGATTTCAATTTTTGACATTTCTTTACCTTCCAAATTTTTACATTTTTCTCTCTAGTGGAATTTTAATTTTTTTTAAAAAGCATCCAAAGCTCGCTCTCTCTTCTCTTTAGAGAAAAATTAAAAATTTTCTATCGTCATGAGAAATAGTGTCGCGAGTCGGATAATTCGTCGGATTTTCTGCGCATTAATGCGGAGACGCATAAACGAGGGCGCGGCATGAAACACACACGTGCATGTGCACGCACACACGCATACACGCACAGTAACTTCAGCGACGGGCCAAACACATACGTACGCGCGCTCACGTAGCAGTAAGCAAAGGCACACACGAGCGACAAGGTGTATTGAATCGACGAGTATCATGCAGCTGACAGCTAGAGCTAATTGAATCTTGACTCTATCTATCTGTCGACCGAGGTTGAGACTCGCCACCGACGCTGCCACGAATTGCATTTCCCGTTCGGCGGTATCGCTCTCGCGCCCCCGAAGAATTCTATCCTCCCCATCACTGCTTTTTTTTTTTTTTTTTTTTTTTTTTTTTTTTTTTTTTTTTTTTTTTTTTTTTTTTTTTTTTTTTTTTTTTTTTTTTTTTTTTTTTTTTTTTTTTTTTTTTTTTTTTTTCCTTTTTCTTTTTCCTTTTCCCCTCCCCTCCCCCTTCCCCCCCTCCCCCTTCCCCCCCTCTCCCCCTCCTTCCCCCCTGCGACGTTTTATCGCTTCCATCATCCTTCCTAATGTCTTCCTTCTTCTTCCTTCTCTTCATTTTTCTTTTTTTTTTTTTTTTTTTTTTTTTTTTTTTTTTTTTTTTTTTTTTTTTTTTATAATGTTTTGGATCGTTTTTAATTTTCATGTGTATTGCATATATAAGTCGTTAATATTTTTTTTTTTTTTTTTTTTTTTTTTTTTTTTTTTTTTTAAATGTATCTCGGTTTCTTAAATCACCTCTTTTCCTATCTATTTTCGTGTCTTTATATGAACATACATATTACGATTAATCCTCTTATCGAATATAAATTTCAGAGAAGCGATTTTTATAATCGCATGCGATTGAATTTTGTCGAATATTTTTTCGTAATTTTATTTTCGAGCGTCAGCTTCGAATTTATATCAAATAATATCACATCTGAGGCGACAATCGTATAAATTATAAAGGAATTTTTTTGCTGTATAATTTCTTCTCCCGACTAATCCTTTCTTAATCTTGATCGAATACCAAGTTTTTTCACAATCTTGTAACGTAATCTAAATATAATCTCTTTTTCTCTTTAATTAACGGTCAAA